AACCCTAAACCCTAAAAACCCTAAACCCTAAACCCTAAACCCTAAACCCTAAACCCTAACCTAAACCCCTAAACCCCTAACCCGCCCCGAGTACAAGGACCACCCCGAGTACAAAAACCGCCTCGAGTACTAAAACCACCCCGAGTACAAAAACCGCCCCGAGTATAAGCACCGCCCCGAGTACAAAAACCGCCCCGAGTATAAGTACCGCCCCGAGTACAAAAACCACCCCGAGTACAAGGACCACCCCGAGTATAAGTACCGCCCCGAGTACAAAAACCACCCGAGTACAAAAACCGCCCCGAGTATAAGTACCGCCCCGAGTACAAAAACCACCCGAGTACAAAAACCGCCTCGAGTACTAAAACCACCCCGAGTACAAAAACCGCCCCGAGTATAAGTACCGCCCCGAGTACAAGGACCACCCCGAGTACAAAAACCGCCTCGAGTACTAAAACCACCCCGAGTACAAAAACCGCCCCGAGTATAAGTACCGCCCCGAGTACAAAAACCACCCCGAGTACAAGGACCACCCCGAGTATAAGTACCGCCCCGAGTACAAAAACCACCCGAGTACAAAAACCGCCCCGAGTATAAGTACCGCCCCGAGTACAAAAACCACCCGAGTACAAAAACCGCCTCGAGTACTAAAACCACCCCGAGTACAAAAACCGCCCCGAGTATAAGCACCGCCCCGAGTACAAAAACCACCCGAGTACAAAAACCACCCCGAGTACAAAAACCGCCTCGAGTACTAAAACCACCCCGAGTACAAAAACCGCCCCGAGTATAAGCACCGCCCCGAGTACAAAAACCACCCCGAGTACAAAAACCGCCTCGAGTACTAAAACCACCCCGAGTACAAAAACCGCCTCGAGTACTAAAACCACCCCGAGTACAAAAACCGCCCCGAGTATAAGTACCGCCCCGAGTACAAGGACCACCCCGAGTACAAAAACCGCCTCGAGTACTAAAACCACCCCGAGTACAAAAACCGCCCCGAGTATAAGTACCGCCCCGAGTACAAGGACCACCCCGAGTACAAAAACCGCCTCGAGTACTAAAACCACCCCGAGTACAAAAACCGCCCCGAGTATAAGCACCGCCCCGAGTACAAAAACCACCCCGAGTACAAAAACCGCCTCGAGTACTAAAACCACCCCGAGTACAAAAACCGCCCCGAGTATAAGTACCGCCCCGAGTACAAGGACCACCCCGAGTACAAAAACCGCCTCGAGTACTAAAACCACCCCGAGTACAAAAACCGCCCCGAGTATAAGTACCGCCCCGAGTACAAAAACCACCCCGAGTACAAGGACCACCCCGAGTATAAGTACCGCCCCGAGTACAAAAACCACCCGAGTACAAAAACCGCCTCGAGTACTAAAACCACCCCGAGTACAAAAACCGCCCCGAGTATAAGTACCGCCCCGAGTACAAGGACCACCCCGAGTACAAAAACCGCCTCGAGTACTAAAACCACCCCGAGTACAAAAACCGCCCCGAGTATAAGTACCGCCCCGAGTACAAAAACCACCCGAGTACAAAAACCACCCCGAGTATAAGTACCGCCCCGAGTACAAAAACCACCCCGAGTACAAAAACCGCCCCGAGTATAAGTACCGCCCCGAGTACAAAAACCACCCGAGTACAAAAACCGCCTCGAGTACTAAAACCACCCCGAGTACAAAAACCGCCCCGAGTATAAGTACCGCCCCGAGTACAAAAACCACCCGAGTACAAAAACCGCCTCGAGTACTAAAACCACCCCGAGTACAAGGACCACCCCGAGTATAAGTACCGCCCCGAGTACGAAAACCACCCGACCACAAAAACCGCCTCGAGTACTAAAACCACTCCGAGTACAAAAACCACCCCAATACTAAGACAACCCCAGGACTAAGACCCCCAGTACTAAGACCCCCCAGGTACAAGCACCAACCCGAGTACTAATTCCACCACGAACATAACTACCACCTCCAGTACTTCCTTAAGATCCCCCGTACCGACTCCCTGAATCGAAGGTTACCCCTTAGGGTTCCTTCTCTTAGACGACCTAGGGCCATTCTATCGTGAATCTCCAGCCAGAAGTGCAACAATCACATACGCGGATAGGCGCTTAGGCGGTTCCCTTATAGCTCCCACCCCTTCCCCAGAGATATTTGCAATGTTCAAGAAGTCACACAACCTATGTTCCTACCCAGAGCCTATCTCTGTGCTAGGTGTAACGGGCCAGAGCCCGATGTTGATCACGTGTGTCACGTGAAGGCCTCTATACTTAGGCTCCCAGGAGGCCCCATGTGTTTACCTTTCCTCAAGCTTTCGATAGACAGATTGTCGGCCACACCCAATTGAATCAAGTTCGGTCTGAGCCCTTCACAGAACAAACTTCAGGGCCAAACAGGCCACTCGATTATAGCATGCAGAAAACGTGAGGGCGTACCAAAGGTGGTCTCTCCCATACACGGTGTTGGTGAAAACTGCTCAACGATGAAATTGCTAAAACGGACGCACTTAGATTTGCTCAAACGTTGACGGTCAAGCATCATGTTTCTTTTTTTCATGACCGCCCGTGTTCCACTGATAATATTTACTTGGCCGCTTCTTGTTCAACAGTGAGAAGGTGCGCTATCTAAGGTTGGTTCTGAACGCTTCAGCTTATTTGCTCGTGCTGTAGTTCAAAGGCTGTTGATAAACAGCCATATTCGTTCTATTTTCAACACTACATTTTGCGCCGTCAAGTATGTTCAAATAACAGTGTTCAAATCAACACTGAATTTTCAACGGTCACGCCTACGATTTTTTTAGGACAAACTATGGATACCATCACCATTATGTGGCGAATTTGCAGGAATGAGCTGTGATTATTGAACAAACGACGATCAATTCGGTCCGGCAAATACAGAACACTATCAAGAATCTATAGTAAGGTCAGCTGACCATCCTCGGATACCGTTATTCATGTGGCATTTCGTACAAAGATGCTGTAGCTTTAAGGCTTCTCAAGATTTTGATGGAATTCACCGAGTCTGACCGGTGAAAGATGTTTCAAAATGCTCTCATTTAAGCTATGAGGTGAAATTAATACTATAGAGTATCAATCTAAGATATAGTGACAAATACTGGAATACTGGAATCCCGTTACTTGTTGATATCCGTATAAGTTGCGGTATTAAATCCAATATCTTCTCAGGGCCTCAATGACTTTATTTCAAGCAGTAAACCCCATGCAGCAAGCATACTGAGCTGAAATTACCCCCGATGTGTCCCGCCCGTCAACGCCAGAGGCGAACAACGGCTATCCGCCCCCAGTCAAGTTCCTCCGGTCGCTCGCTCTAGTCATCGTGCAACAGCGATCCTCGGCTTTCCGGATCATAGATCCCAGCTTCGAGGTTCGGCCTCCGGGAAAGAATTGGCCGCAGGGTTTTTACCTTCGCCATCCGCAGTTGAAAGGGCGACGGCTACGAGCGATCGATTGGAAGCGAGATGATCGGCAGATCGAAGAGAAAGTCCGACACTGGTTTGCCATCATTGGCCGTGAACTGGCCGATCCGGCCATCCTCCCGGGGAATGTATATAACATGGATGAGGCTGGAGTTCTTCTTAGCGTTCTCAACTCCCTCAAGGTGCTCGTCGGCAAAGACGATTTGAGAAAGCATCGAGGAACCACGGTGAAACGGACGCTCGTCACCGCGGTCGAATGCATTTCCGCCGATGGTCGCTCCCTTCATCCTCTCTCATTATCTGGCCGGCCTCCGCCCATCGTGGCTCGTGGACCACTCATGCCACCCCCGGATGGTATTTTGCCTGCTCCAAAACAGGCTATACGAATACAGAAATCAGTCTATACTGGATACAACATGTGTTCGATCCACAGATTCGAGAGCGAGCGGGCGATCGCCTCCGACTCTTAATCTGCGATGGTTTCGGTACCCACGAGTCTCTGGAGGTCATGAAATTCTGCTTTGCTAACCGCATAATCCTGTGTCGTGTCCCGTCTCATACGTCTCATTAACTGCAGCCGTGCGATGTGGGTGTCTTTGGTCCCTTGAAAACGGCATACCGGACACAGGTTGAGCAGGCATGCCGCGCTGGTTTGGGTACCATCGGTAAGCCACACTTCACCTATCTTTATGATCGCGCCCGAAAGGAGGCCCTTACACCCCGGAATATACGATCCGCTTGGTCGAAAAGCGGCCTCTTTCCATTCGAGCCGTCTCGCGTCCTTCGAGAGTTTCAAGCATCCCAGCCCGAGAAACAGATCGTGGTTCCTGTGGACTATGCAACCGTGTCCTCTGATCTCCGTTGCACTCCCAACACCTCTGACCATTTCTCTTTGCTTCGGAGCGAGGTCGAGCGAGACACTCAGGATCTGGACAACGTATGCAAACAACGTCTACACACACTGAGCCACGCGGCCGAAAAGGTCTTTGCTGAGCGCGCGTTGTTGCTGGAGGAGAACCGGATCGTATTTGAGCAGAATAATGGAAAGTCCTGTCGACAATCCACTGGCCAGACGGTCGTAGGACATGCAAATGTCATGAGCTACGAAGATATCGTTGAAGCGCAAAAGAAACGCGATATGACGGTGGCGAAAAAAGGTCCGAGGCGGAAAAAGAGGGTGAAAGCCGGGGACAAGCTGCTTACAAAATCGGAGGAGAAGCGCAAGGCGGCAAGAAATACAAGCGTGGAATATGAGTGATTATTGTTCAGTTCTAGATTGATAGTCTCATTCGAAATTATAGAATTTCCCCTGTTCGCCAATCATTGTGCATAAGTAAACCTACAGAACCCGCGGCCGTCAGTCGGGTTCTATATATTTCTCCCTATGTTACTCGCGTATCCTTATCGACTATGTATATAAATTATTAACTTAGTGTTACCTTGAAGTGTACTTATTTAGGCTTTGGACGTAGCCTGCTGTCACTAAAGGCATTTATCGTAAGTTGCTCGACGAGCCTACCGTTGACGACGCTGTTTTGTGGATGCGACATGAACTCTGACCTACGTTCCTGTGAGCGCCCGAAAGCTCTCGAACATGTGAGCACAGACCCCGCTATTTTGCAACCACTTTCATCAAGACCCAGCCTTGCTTTTAGTTACCGCTTCTCCCTAACGGCCGGCATCTTTCTAAACATAAGGTAAATCACATGAAAATTTTACGCTTTCAGAAAATGTCAACAAACAGACGAACCTCGTCATTGCCTTGTCCCTTCCACAAAGACGACCAGCTCAATAGTGACCTCGACGCATCGCCTGATCATTTACCAGGTCATCCCCCGGTCAAAGTTGGCGATCGTAAAAGCTTGTTCCACTTCATTCGCCAGGAATTCTGGTCAGAGGACCTCGAATCGATATCAGGCAGGCTTTGGTGGATGTCGAAGCACGATAGCGCCAATATTTCTCCGTTACAGCGAAAGTGAAGGGTCGACAGATCATAGTTAGCGAGGATCCCCGACTACATCTCATCTGGATCGACGACCGAATATTCCTTAAACCCCTTTCCCAGTATATAACGTCATACGCGTTCTGGGACACATTTATGAGCGATCCCTCTCAATATGGTGCTATAGCGAACCTCAGAGAGGCCGCGCTCGGGTATCTACGAACGTATCTCTACCTGATACAGTATGAATCAGATCTACGAGTCGCATAAGATCCGGCTCTCTGCCTAGTTCCCAAAGAAGTGACCTGGCCTCAGTTCTGCCAGTTTACTGCCCGTTTCAACGACATGACAAAAAACCAAGTTTCAGGCCGATACGGGGAGATCCGATTGACCCGACTGAACTATTATGCGCCCATTCTCCTAGGGAGAAGCCATTATCAACGTGAGAATTATCAGTATCGAGCGTATTTCGCTCGAATCCAGGGCCCTTTGATATCCACATTTGCTTTTTCTCTCGATCGTCCTCAACTGTATGCAAGTCAGCCTCGCAGCTTCCACTTCCGATGATAAATATTCGAGTGCTTTGTTAGTTGCGGGTTGCTTCTGGCTCAGCACTTTGATTGGATTTCTGACAGGTGCCTTCATGCTTATCCTAGTGTTCCTTTTCGTTCTCAAAGTGACCAGGGAGTGGAGGTTTGCGATAGCCCATCGAGCTTATTGGAAAAAGAGCGCACATGGGAGACTAGAGGACCTTTCATGAAAGATGAACTTGAATTATTTAAGGACAAGCATGATCTATTTAAGGGAGTCAAAACCTTTACGTGTAGGTACATGGATATATAAGGCAGTCTCATCCTGCGCCTTGCACTGGAAGGGTAAATCCATCCATCTATCCAACTAATTCACTGTACGCATGATGCTTCATTCTGGCGACATGTGTGCATTGGTAGTTGACGTGACACTTCATCGACAAAAAAGGCCCTCGAAAGGCCCACATGTACTAATGCAGAGTGTGAAGAAGATACTCGACTGCGACTTGATTACTCGGCAAGCTCTGGATTTGCCAGACCAACCATGATATTTCTTCAGGATTTGTGGACCGGAGCTTGGCAGCCAGTCGAACGAGACCAGCATGGGAATTCAACAGCCTGGCAGTATATGCTTTGCGTCGGCGATCGCTGCTTTGATTGTATAGACAATGGCGGGCTTCGGTTGCACACCTTGTGCATGGCGTCGTTCCAGAGCACTGCATGATGAATAGGATATTAGCTCTGTCCTCCAACCTGGGAACAACTGGGACTGTGACCTTGGTCTTCTTTTTCTGGCACTCTGTAAAAGCAAGAGAGATGTTGCGCCGAGTTTCTTTCTTTGCCTCTGTAACAACAGGCTCTGTCTCCTCCTTTTCCTTCGCAGGCAAGAGTCTGCGAAACTTGTTCTTCGACATTGCGGATGGGCGAGTGGGCTACACGCTGAAGGCTTCGACAAGACTGGGCCAGGAGAGAAAAACAGATTCTGGGAGATTAAGTGAGGATCTTAGGAAATGAGTGGCAATGGTTAAAAGGGGGTTCCCTTCTTGAGTACGGAGCTCTCTTTGTTTGCTCTACAAAGTACCGTGCGGATAGCAAACAAAGAATCCAGCCCATCGACGGTGACTCTAACACTCGGATTGGCCAGGGCTCGACAGATATGTTTTGGTCAGATCTAATAATAATTAGCATTGGATAATTAAGATAAACCAAGTTCTTCCGCTCTAGCGAATCCTTAAATTTGCTTCGGCCTCCAGGGTATCGCGATCAATCGACGCGCAAGACCGCCTCCACGGCCGGAATAATGTGATCCCGCTACCCGCAGCTTTCATCTGGCAAAGGTAACTTGAATAACGGTGATATTTGGGGAGGTCTATGAGGTTTATTATGATCAGCTTCTGTAAATAATAAGAAGAACCCTCTTAGGTTCAAGGGTAGGACGGATTATACATGGCTGTGAACTTTTCTCTCTGATCAGTGATAGTAAAAGGATTTGATAGCAGAAGTGACCGTAGGTGCATGCATGCTCCTTGATACCCCGCACCTGTTAGGGGATTCAGCCTCACGAGAAGCCTGAGCTGACCATCATCAATAAATGACTCACAGTCTACTCTCATCTAATGCATCACTCTGTTGAAAGCAAACTACGATGGCTAGCCAGAGAAAGTCGCACGTTTTTCGGGTGACGGGCCTGTCGAGGGAACAGCCCGACTGGGATCTCAAGACCGCATTACAAGAGGTACTCGACGACAGCTTCACCGATGACGAGAGATTACAAATAAAGACTGAGATCACAATCGTGCCTTCCATGCTATGAAAGCGACACGCAGAGGGTGGCGCTGGTGCAGTTCCGCGGTGGGGTGCCTCAGTTCCTCGGTGAGCTTAGAGTCCACCCTCTTGGGGACTGGCAGGTTGAGATGAGAGACGATGACATCAACTTTGACTGCCACTTCTTTGGATTTACCCAGCTCTATGCGCCGGAAGCTAATGAGCCAGTGGTTGCAGAGTAAGGACTTATTATCTGCATCTAGATGGTGAATACTGACTGATATCGCATGATAGTGTCATTGCGATTACCGGACTCGACGGACATGCGTATGGATCGTGGCAAGGAAGAGGAAATCTGGGCCGGATGAGGCTCCGTGACTTCCTGTCGAAGGATCTTCCACAGTGCCGCACGATGATCTACGGGTACAACTCCAAGCTGTCGGGCCACGGAGTCGACACGATCCTCGACTACGGGCGGGAGCTGATGGAGGAAATCAAGAAAATTCGGAACACGAAGGAGGTAGGAGCTATCGGACTTGTCTCTGGACAAGAAATTAGGACTAATCATTCGAGCAGCTCCAGTAGAGGCCTCTGATATTCATCACACACAGCTTCGGAGGCATTATCTTGGCTCACGTGGGACTACCATCTGATTTAAGGTACTATATTTATATGCTGACATTAACTTGCAGTGCCTAGTGCGGGCTATCAAGACGATGGAGGGAGACCACCCGGCGATCATGTCGCTGTATCGGGCCACGTACGGCATGCTCCTTTTTGCCATCCCACATAAAGGATTAGTGATAGACGATATCCAGCAGATGCTAGCCGGTGATAAGAGCCACCCGAGAGGGCCACTACTGCAACGGATCTCCAGCAAATCCGACCTACTGATCCACCAGCTGGCAGATTTCCAAAATCTGATCCGAGATCGAAAAGTGGTCAGCTTCTACGAGACGGAGCAGACAAGACGGTTGGTATTGGTACGCATTGGTCTTTATCAGAAACAGGCTATGGCATGTACTGATGATCGAAATAGGACTCGGAAAGCGGACGATGGAAACGTACCGGAGATTTCATAACGACGGTTGGCGCAGACTCGGCTCTTCTCCATCTTCCCGACCATGTAGAAGATAAGGTGCCTCTGCATGCAGATCACTCGATGTTGGTCGAATTCGACACACGCAACACGGCCGGGTATCGAACAGCACTCGATAAACTGCAGCAGTTCTCCAAGGATGCGCCCTCAGTGGTGGCGGCGCGGTTTAGTGAGTTACATCCAAAGATAGAACATGAGCATCTCATCAATCTAAGCACCCTGGTCACGCGACACCGAGGCTGAGAATGAATGTCCTGCCATTTTCTGGAAGCTCTGACATTAATCTCCCCAGACCTACGCGATGTGCATTACGAACACGCTATGTCCTCCATATCGTTCGGCATGAAAATTCTGGGGAACCAGGTGGGAATCAATTATGGAGTGATTCACCTGCCTTCAGGTGGGATTCTTAATGCATAGGCCCTTACAGTATCTAGCCAGGACTAATGACCGTTTCTTGGTGGAGACCAACAGAAAACCCCACCACCGACACGTCCGAAGCCTCAGCCATGCTCCACGGTGCCTTTTAAGAAGGACCCGATGTTTGTGGGCCGTGAATCTGTCATCAGTGCGATCAAGGAAAGACACAAGGAGATCGGCCAGAGTCATGAGCGAGTGGCATTGGTAGGGTTGGCCGGCGTCGGGTGAGCGGTCGCATCAGAAAGCATATTGAATGATGAATGACTGATCTCACTGGCGTTAGAAAAACGCAGACAGCCATCGAGTATTCCTGTCGCCTGCGAGAATCCACACCGGACACGTGGGTTTTTTGGATCCACGCGAGTAATGCGGCGCGGTTAGAACAGGGCTATCAGCAGATTGCCGCAGTCGTGGAGATTCCGGGACGGGACGATGCGAAAATGAACATCCTCCAGCTCGTGTATCAGTGGTTGCGTGATGCACGCAATGGGCGCTGGCTGATGGTGTTGGATAACGCGGATGACGATGGGATCTTTTTCAGCAGCAATACACCTGATGAACGAGGGCCACTGGTGAGGTTCCAGCTGCAGGCCGCCCATGGATCAATGCTGATCACGTCGCGAAATGGACGTGCGGCACGGAACCTGGTGGGGCGAGAGGGTCATGTGATCGAGGTTCGGCCAATGAACGAGGAAGAGTCCCTCGCCCTTTTACAGGCACGGATTCCGGCACGCCAATCTGGAGATTCTGGAGAGCCTGGAGCGGACGAGAAGGCGCTGGTCGAGGCACTGGAATATATCCCACTGGCAATCACTCAAGCGGGGTCTTATATTGCCAACCGGTTGCCCCTGGTCACTGTCGCGGTATACCTGCGACTTTTCCATGAGAGTGAGTCGAAGCGGACGCGGCTTCTTCAGAATGAAGATTCCGTGGATCTCCGGCGCGAGCCCAGCATTCGGTATGCGGTGATCACAACGTGGCAGCTATCGTTTAAGCAAATTCGTCAGCAGCGGCTCGCAGCGGCAGATCTCCTGGCGTTAATGAGTATGTTTGATCGAAAGGGAATCCCCGAAGATCTGGTGCGCGACTCTGATCAAGATGAACTGGACTTTCACGATGCGTTGACGCCGCTGCTCAGCTATTCCCCGATCCGACTGGAGAGGAACGAACAGTTGGTCGATATGCACCGGCTGGTACAATTATCGGTCCGGGCGTGGCTAGACATGCACCAGCAGCTCCACGGGTGGCAGGCCAAAGCACGAGCGATTATGGCACGGGTATTTCCAGATGGGAACTATGAAAACTGGACACAATGTCGAACGCTCCTTGCGCATGCCAAAAGCGTGCTGCAGCCTGCGTGTGACGTTGATGATGAAGACGTATTGAATGCGGCGACGCTCTTATCTAATTTCGGGTGGTTTCTAGATCTTCAAGGAGCTCACACAGAGGCAGAATCAATGCATCGATGGGCATTAGCAACACGAGAGAAGGTGCTTGGGCGCGAGCATCTTGACACGCTCACCAGTCTCGTTAATCTTGGCTCCGTGCTTGAGAGGCAAGGGAAATATGAAGAGGCGGAAGCGATGCATCGAAGGGCGTTAGAAGCACGCGAGAAGGTGCTTGGCCGCGAGCATCCTCACACGCTCACCAGTGTCAATAATCTTGGCTTAGCGCTTGACAGGCAAGGGAAATATCAAGAGGCGGAAGCGATGCATCGGCAATCTTATACTGCGATCAGTCTCGATGTCTAGGTTTCTCCGATTACCACAGGAAAATGAAGAGGCTTCTGAATTCTAGACTGGATCTATCGCAAGTACAGTAGAGCAGCATATACTGTATATCGATCAATATCTAAACTTCATCAATCCGTTTATTGCTCTTTATCCTCATAGGTTAATCCAGTCCTGAGCCGAAATTACTTCCACCAGACTCATGTTCCACACTTGGCCAACAATCCATCTCCAACGTCCGGACACGTTTAGGCGTGGCTGACGTTTTATGTGTGGCTCACGCTTAGGTGTGGCTGCTCGCTTAGCGGCGCTAGTACAGTGACGTTCCAAAAGTTTTTAACACACTGGCCTACCCGGGACCCACTTCCAATTTTCTGCCGGACAGAAAACCTCGGGCAGAAACTCTAGACACAAAAGTGATTGAAATCAACATGCAATTCAGCGCCTAGTAGGCAGTATACCAGCCATCAGAGTCAATAATAGCCTGCACACGATTCGGCATGGTCTCAGTGAGGTGCCCTAGATGTTTAATATCGATATTCTGCCAGGCAATCTGCGCGGTTTCCACCAAAATTTGCTTTGTAGTATCATTGTTCTTCATGTGAATCAGATCAGGCCGCAGCTTATAGATTTCTGCCTTCAGAAGCGACCAGAGATTCTCAATTGGATCTAAATCTGGCGAGTGCGACGGCCAGACCATACACTCAATTTCCATGTCTGTAAGAGCATCGCGTACAACTAGTGCAGTATGAATTGGTGCGTTATCATGCATAAAAATTCCACCCGCTTCAGGTATTGAAGTTGGCAAAATGCGGCGGTATAGCTCCTCGATAGGTAACGAATCGATTAATACCGCCACGCTCAGAAGTTGGATCTCCGAAGTCCAACCGAGCTCTCACGTACGCGTATAGGGTAGGCGGTAGGGAGTGAACCAGGCGGTCAAAATCGGTGTGGGCCCAGTGTGTTAAAAACTTTTGGAACGTCACTATATCTTTCATACAACACATTACTCATTTGTATTCTTTGCAGTGTAATCGCATTATCGTTATTTTTATTTCTTGTACCCTTTGTGTGCCAAGACTGTCACCAAAATTGCTATGCTCCCAGGCAATATGATTATGATAGGCTCAGATATCACTTTTTGGCCAAAGGTAGACGAAACGATGCAGCCTTCCCTTTCTTGCCCATCTCAGACGTCTTGGTTGATGGTCTTGGCGTGATCATCCTCAACAGCAGACTTTCTAGCAATGGGTTCTGATCTGTAATTCGGCACGCTAACAGGTTGTAATCCGTGTTTGAAAATTGAGCTATCAGAAAAGCATTTGATGATTGTTGTGTCCGCAGCTTTGAAGCAATATTCAAGATGTATGTTGGGAGTGACTGGCCTCGAACGCGCAGGTACCTGGTGGGCGTTTCATCATTTAGGGCATTTCATGTCACCGGGATGGGGGTTACTGCACCTTTGATCAGACGACCTAAAAGTCTGTTCTAGGCCTATCGTGGCCCATGGCCATTCTCTGAGACAAAGGGCCATATAGCATAGCTAAGTTTAGAGAGAGGAAACTGAGACAAATGGAGATATAATCGACCATCTACAGTATGTACGTATGTGTGCAAGTGTCAGTCACCTTTAAGGTCCCTGAAACGAGCACGGGGGCTTATGCCTTGAGCGAAGAACGGGAGGTATGCTGGTCCGACTGTACTTATATATTCAAGGTCATTTACACTTCACTTTCCGTATTATATGAGTTATGGCTTGGGATTTTATTTGAGGAAAGCTTCACGACTAGAGGGAAACCAGACGCAGACCAAGGTCTTCTTCCCTCAATCCAGTCCACCAATAAGAAGCAAAACCCAGGGATTCTCTAACCTTGCATCTTGAGTGGTTTATTTAGCCTAGTCACTGTTAGTTGAGGTCACTGGTACATAGCTAAGTATCCGAGGCCTCTGGAATGCTTGACTCTCCAAGCCAGGGAATGACTTCATTATGCGGGATAAGTGCCTGGGGTATGAAATGTGTTTTGAAACTAAGAAAAACCCTGACATAAAGCTTATAATACTGTATGAATGAGCAAGTTAAGATGAAAATGGAGCTAAAGCTGCAGGATCAAACATCATTCTCGTCTTTTTAATGATCTGTTCTATTTGCAAGCTTAATTTGCCGACAATTTATACTGCAATTCAAAGACCCGGAAAACACTAGCTTCGCCATGAGGAATGAAACACATTCCCCGCGACGCAAAACATCAACGGCAATTTTTCTGTCGTCTGATATAAATCTCGGATTTCCTCTGCCGCTTGATTCGTAATTCGTATCAAGTCGGCCACACACATCTTCAAGTGTTGCAAGACCATCTTCTAACACGCTATTTCCTCCCAGTCGGCTGCATACTGCATAGGAATGTAAGTACCAAGAAGTTGCTTTAAGACATCCGTTCAAGCGTCTGAACAAGGGGATCAAGGTAGCCGCAATAGTCTTCCTTTGGTTGTGCTCCGTGTCTTAATTTTTCAACATTTGCGTGAAATGGGCTTCATGCTAAGGCTCGAGTTGGTAAAAGTCATTTGATAAGAGACTTGCCGGTGGGAGCGGGTAAAGTGGTTTGAGACACAGTTCAATGAGAGCCCACGGAAGGATTTCTACCCATATTGTATCGTTCGTACCTTCTAATCCCTCTGCCAGTCTCAATTGTTCTTGGGTATTACTGGAGGATATACCAGTGAAGTGCATCCCAGGTTCATTAGCACGCACCTTGCTGCAAGCTTTAGTAATAGACCTGAGGAGTTGGATGCGTTTCTGGACATCACGATCATGATTATTAACAGAACAGCTTGGATGGTCTGCATTGATCCATCCGGTGCGTTTCCAGAAAGCCTCCGAAAGCTGGGATTTTCGCCCCAGCAGAACGCTCCTGGGCTCCTTTCCAAACAGTAAGCAAGCCGTCCTGCAGTTGTGAGATAAATAGTATTGACTTACTTTTCCCGTACACAAGACAACATCTGGACATTTTCTTTCAATCGCTAGTAGTACAAGGGAGTAGAGTCTCTCAAGTTTGGAGTCTTCGAGCTTCAGTTTCTGCTCCTTGCATATACATTGCCTTATTTCTAGTACTGAGACGTTTTAGCGTGCCAGCTGAGCCGATGGAAACACCTTCCCTCAATGCGCTGAGTGTTGGGCATCGAGATATTACAGCATTGACTCCATCATGCCAGGGATGCACTTGCAGTGGCTCGATAAGAATCACCAAAAGGCCGCCATTTGTAAATGGACCAGCAAGCCATCTTGTACAATCAATCTCGGCAGCAGACAGTGGTTCTTTTCTTATTTCATGGATGTAAGAAATGATGGAATCAAAGCTTTCAATGTACAGTCATTCTCGAAATCGCCTTGACCAACATACACTGAGAAACTCTTTGCTGGCCCCACCGCCAAGGCATTAGCGCAGATCATTTATTGAGCGAGTGGCATTAAATTGAGGAGCGCAGTAAACTTGGCCGTGTACAGTGGATTTCGAAAACAGTTTACCCCCCGAACACACGCATTTACTCTCCCAAAGACCCACTTTGGCGCATCGCCCATGTTCTAGATCCCCACGCAGCCAATAATACGGCGTCATATCTCCGGGAAGGGGCATCATCTAGCCGGAATTAGCATAACGAAATCTTAGTGGGGCGCTGGGAAAGAAAGCTTGTGTGTCTGGGGGGTAAACTGTTTTCGAAATTCTCTGTATGAGGATGGTGTAGAAGAAGATAATTCTAATTGGGAGGTTTTGGCGATGATCGGATCCATGTTGTTCGACTTGTTTTGCCAAGTTTCGAGCTGAGTGACTGAAACAACTAGTAATCGATCTTCGCAGTCTCTGTGAACATTTCGCGTAGATGCCTGAGCAACGACGTGATGCGCCAGATGAGTTTTCCTATATCTATGAATCATACCGAAGGAGGGAACGAATCATAATTGATTAAAGGGATGTTGACGTCATTCATTTGTCGTTGCTTTGACGACATTGGGAGGAACCTAAGATCTAAGTTATGTTCCGGCTGCTCTGTTCTGGTTCGTTCAATTAATATTTCTTCATATTAAACGCTAAGTACCATAGGAGTTTGAATGCAGAGTGCAAGCCCGTGGTCGCGTTATAACTTTCTTAGCCTAACTTATCACCTCAATGTCCAGCTCTCAAATTTAGTTCGGCACATCCCAAAGCTCGAAACCAGAGGACCATTATATTTCATTCTTCAACGGGCCTCGAAATATTTACTCAATGATGGCCAAAAAGAAGGGCAACGTTCGGCACCTACGCGAGGTGCCATGGTGGCCTCAAGAATCCGAGACTTCCGTCAAGGACCTATCCGATGAACACAAACTTCAAAACACAATTCCAGGCGAAGAGCTTTTCAAAGCTTTGGCGAGGTGAGAAAAGAATTCCCTCAGTCTAATCAGTTCTGACAACATACAGCATCAGACTTGATCCTAAATATAGCGACTTGACTATTGTTTGCGGCCGCGACGAATATGCTGTGCACAAATGCATAGTATGCACACGATCGGACTTTTTTAGGAAAGCTTGTGATGGTAATTTTGAGGTAATTAATCCCGATAGCAAAGCACAGAGCTTAAATTAATTGATTCAAGGAGTCTTCCACCAACAGGATCGTATTGCAAGAAGAACCCGCGCTAGTTGAGCAAATGATTGAGTACTTTTACTCCCTGGACTACCAGGTAAAATCGGGCGGTTATCCAGACTCCGATCACGAAATAACTGATGGAACCTCACTTAACGAAGATACCCACAGCACGACTACTGCAGGGGATCGTTCTTCCCAACATTCAGACAGTGAGATGGATCCGAAGAGAGCAAACAAACCCAAGGACTTAGCTGAAGATTCGACAATTTCCTTCGACCCCTTATCATTTCACATTTTGATGTACTCGCTCGCAGACCGGATGTTTATTGATGGGTTGAAAGCTATTTCGAAGGAAAAAGTCAGAAAAGAGTTGAGACAACGATTGGACCCAGATGCATTTCCCCAGGCAATATTTGACATCTACAACTCAACACCCCCGACTGAGCGTGGTCTACGAAACTTGGCCGTAAATATGACCATGAGTCATCTTACTGAGCTAAGGACCAGCAGTGAATGCAGTCGTGTGGCTTTCCCAGACCGCTTGGTGACGGAGATCCCACAGTTTTCTTCCGACTTGCTTGTGGCGGTGATGAATAAGTCGGTATCTGAATGGAATCAGTGGGGATAATGCGGAAAGAATTGGGCCTAAATGGACTGTTGCAAAAATCATACAGTATATGCAAATTTTATTGACATGAAGGCCCCCGCTTGGTTAAATGTCACATTGGCAGTCGCATGGACGGACAGAATATTCTTATTGACGGTGACGGTAGCTGGGATCCACAAGCAATATGGGCGAGGGGGCGTGCGGTTGTATATTCCTTACTTAGGCCCTCAAGGGGCTAGGATTGGCATCCGGTCCAGACAAGTAAAAATAATTGAGAATTTACTGATAGTGATTTCAGCGTTTTTAGCACAGTTGCCGCAGAAAAAAATGCTCTTTATTAAATCGTTATAGAGATTATTTGCACCATTAAAATTGAAGGTGCAATTCCGCCCTTCAATATGTTGGCTATAAGTAAAGGATGAGAATTACGTAGACACAAATTGCAGCTCATACCTTTCGCAGCAAAATTAAATAGATATACAACGCCCTTGAAGCAGTTCCACGGGCTTTCTCCTTCGCCGAACGGAAGCTAGTTGCACAAGAATTAGAGAAATGAAAACGGAATGAAAATTAGCGCGGACCAAGATTGTCTCCTCCAGGAGACTGAATGTATTTTAAGTAAGATATGGCAAGCTCTCAAACCTGTTTTTCCAGAAGGAAGGTTTCCTCCTTCTCGCGCGGGAGTATCCTCGAATGATTCTTATAAACCAGAATGCGAAGCTCAAACATAACATTCTCGCTTGTATTTTTTCATGGGTTCTTCTTGCAGGATACCTGGTTTTTCCTAACACATTCGATTCAATTCGCACTTCTAAGACTATCCAGTCTACGGTGGCTCAAAACGAGATCAGCAAATTGACCTAAACCTCCTTCTCAATATTCCGCTTTTAGCCTTTGCGGCTACTTTCTGCCAAATCGGTAGCTGTGGCCACATACTGCTTTGGAGGCAAAGCTCCAATCTTATTTGGGTTCAAGCCAGAATATTTCTGTGAGTCAAGGCTAGGAAATTGAAATTAATATTTTCTGCAGTTCACTGATCTTTAACAGACCAGTTCTCATCAATTCCGCCACAGGTTTCATCAATACATTCGTAAATGTTTACACAAAAGCAGACCCATCGTGGTCAATACTTCAAATAGTCACAGCGTCAGTGACTGGTGGTTTCATGCTATTATCTGGAATTTGTTTCATAATCTATCAATATAGACTATACCTACTGAAAGAACCTTTAATGGACGGGATACAAATAAAGGAAACACACCAACACGGAAGCTCATAGCTGTGGCTGTCCCTCAATTACGATGTTGATGGGGGCTGATCTTCAGTTGGTCCTGTTGCAAAATTTTGGAACACATTATTTTTTTCCTCCCAACTGGCGCGACTTCACTGCGATCTTAATTGGGTGAAATCGTGGTCACGATCCGGGCCGCTCGCGAAATCGTTGTGCATTCTACATTGCATAGTTCCTTCTTCTTTGAGATTGATCAAGTTTAGAATCTGGCTACATCTGATGTTAAGAAATATTCTACAGCCACTAGCAAAATTTGCTTCGTTTCTGCAGCAAGATTATCTTTGGTTCAGGCATTTTCCAAGGGCTTAGCGCAGATCTTCCATTGATCACCCAACATTAATTTGAGGGTCGTTGAACAATGCACGGTGAATATTACCATTTTTCCTCCTGAAAGAGTGGATCCACTGCTGAATATTGGGCTGTCAAATCCTGATGAAGGCGATGTCATAATACACGTAACTTACGACGGTCCTCAACTGAGCATTCTCTGATAAATCAAAGATCCGCGCTAAGGACTTGGTAGAGGGTCTTGACTCGAGGAAGTCATGGTTTATATTACAGCATTAGTGATCCTTTAAAGAATCCTCGATCTATTGCGGCATCATGACAATGAGTGTGGGTAATCGCTGGAAGGGTAATCCATAGCCAGTCTTAAGCCGCATCATCCGTAGAGGTGACTCTACGACGAGATGGTGGTTTTTAATCCCTGAGTTTTGTGAATATTCTTTGAGTACAGCACTTCAGTGGTTTGGAAAATCTCGTAGTATGAAAGCCTCCGCAGTTTTGAAGCTAGACTAGTAAAGAAGAATTACAGCTGTCCGCCCCTCAGCGTCATGCAGGGGGCTAGAACCAACGGGTGAATTGAGTGATGAACCTGTGCTGTTCTGGTGTGCAATTTCCTATCCTCCGGATGGATGAGATGTCGTACCACTTGATCTGTGTTTGTTGATCCCAACAGGTTGCCGAAGTTGCTTGCAGGTATGCCTTAGTATAAAGGCGTTGCCTTGCCGCTTCCATTGCGATGCGGGGCGTAAATATACCTTCCATCGGGGGATCTACGATAGTCCTTGCCTCTTATTTCGGCCAGATCGGACCTGCTAAACTCCTCTTCACGATTCAAGGTGTTGACATAGTTGTTCCGTCCTGGAGACTTTTCCCAGTCCCGTCTTAGCTCCCATTTTTCATTGAAGATCCTCTTATCCAACCATGACTGCGGAAGGCCCGGAGAGACTTCAAGAACGAATGGCGGCTCATGCTCGATGCGGCGCTCCTTGCGTGTTTGCTTCTTCCAAGCTACTTGCTTAGTTAGCTTTGTCCTAAATGCAGTCTTCTTGGGGAGGAAACCTCACGCATTATTATCTGACGGAATCTTCCCATTATGCTGCAAATGGTAATGTGTGAGAGTGTACGTGGTGACTTGGACAGTAGTTCTGACTCACAAAAGCTGTCCGTTCTCGAGACCGGTATAAGTACTTGTTTCTCAAGCGTCGTTATCTATACCGGAGATTATATTATGAACGGGAATGGTTCTTAGAGCATCCTCAAATTATTGCCGCTGTTTGCCCGGAGAGTAGTAATGTAGGAGAAAATCAGATGGAGCTTGTTCCCTTTATGAAGTCAGAAAAGACACTTATTGATGGAGGTCAAATACTTTTGAAGGCGATATTCTATGGACTGGAACTCTCTTTTTGGGCCGCGGAGCCAAGTCCTTTCTGCAGATAATTTGTCAACGAACCTCTTTTATTTGATAAAGACTATATAGTAACTGTTGCATAGTACTTTACTGTACTGGCTACTCTTATAGAGCAGCATGTGATGACACTCACCCGGTATACGGCAAAAGGTAGCTCTGCACAAAGATATCCTGTAGTAGGTAGGCCCTCCAAAAGGACACGCTATTTGGCAGGTGAAACAGGATTCCTCGCCTTGACGAGCTACTTCAGCTGCAAGTGCACACTCTTACGTCGCTGGGGCTTTTCCCATCAAAGTGTCATTTCCATCATCCTCAAAAATGTCGATGGTTTTGCCCGAGGTGGTTGAGAAAAAGCAGACCTTCAAAGGGAAGCGGGGCGTCTTGAGGGTAGAAAAGAGCCTTTATTGAGGTGTGACGATTAATGAGCAGAGGATACTTTTTCGTAAGTCTCGGCATAAGAGCATATCCTTCTACAATGCCATTATCTTCATAGAGCCCTTGGTACAGTACTGTGTGTAATAGCGATTGAACTCTCTCCCAACTCTTATCTTCTTACTTAAGTATCCTTGATTCCCCTCAAAAGTTGTTATTATACAAGCTCTCCCATCTCACCCACCCAAACAATCTGAGGAATTTCTAAGAGGCATGGAGGTCTATCGTTGTGTGCGGGATCCACCTGGACAGAGCATCGAAGAGATAACTAATGATAGTGTGTTGGAGAAGAGAGATCAGAACCATATACGGTTCCCTCTCGTGACTGCCACTCCAACCAACATTACAGGCGTCTCAGCTGCAGAGGCGCTGGCGAGTACCGTGTTTGCAGCTGCTCACGCAGGCGAGGGTGCGCCGCAGCAGGCTTCCAAAGGAATCTCAGCACGGCAGCCAGAATTGCAGCCTAACCGCACCTCTCTGCGCAATCCCGCGGAGAAAGTCACTACTGAATTGAACTTGGTTTCTGAGCATAGAAGCCATCGAATGCTCATAAACGGGAACAGCCAACTTCTAAAATCGTTCAAGATACATCCTCCGGGTCATAGTGCCAGCAGAACACGGTCTCGCTTGCTGCGAGGGACGCGACATCTCGCCCATCAAGTCTTTCGGCATATGCTTGAGCATCAACATCCAAGTGGGTCAACACACTTGCGGAGAGGTTATGCAACTCGGAGCTCTCTGTTGTTATGCAGAACGATGCTAAGTACCGGCGATTGCTGCGTGTGGTTCCAGTTCTTGTCAAGCTTCTCCCAAGCAATATAAGGGATGGATTGGCGTCAAAAGAAGGCGCAGCACTACTAGAGTTTGGCATGTTTGTTGCAGGAAAAGTTGTGTCCAGGGCCTCGAATACATGAGAGAATAGAGCTCTGCTGTCGAGTCAGGATCTTGCTTTTGATCTCAGCTCTGAATAGAGGCGTTTTAGCGTATTCAAACGGTGCTACAGACCTCACAGTAAAACCAAAACGCAGGCCACAACGAATATTGGTCTGAGTGCAGGAAGTTGGTACGACGTGCTGTACGGACTACCTTGAGTGGCCGGTGGTGCAGAATGAGGATAGAATCAGAATGTACCTTTTTTCCGCATAATACATGGAAGAAGTGTTGAAAACATACAAAGGCATCGTGCGTCTTACAGTACCACTGTTGATGCGTGCTTTATTGAGCCGTTCCAACGTCCATTCAACGGACGCTTCTCACCAGAACAGGCCCCTGTAAGCCGTAAAGTCAATATTCAAAGAGAATCAGGGATGTTGAAGGTAACCCAAGCTACAATACGAGTATGTACATGGAAGAGAGTGCTGAAACCAGAATGCAGTACTGTATTCCACCACTCCTGCGCTTCCACCTTCTTATTCAGATATTCACCGTCTCACTTAGTACTCGATTGTAAATGAATCCTATTCCTGGAAAATGAGAGACCAAAAGCAAAATATTGAACCACAAAATGTCCGCGACCGAAGTACGCGTATCCCAATTCCACTACAATTCCTGGCCATTTAGCAACTGGATGGCGGACAACACTCATGGATTTGACAACTTGGACGGAATTCCTCTACAGTCCAAACCCTTTAGTGGGCTTCTTCAAACAAATAATTCTTCTGATAATTTGACTATCTTTTCTCCAGGTGAAGACTGGCAACACATCGTTCTGAAACTTCTGCAGGATAGCTGGCCGGTGTTCAAACATATCCGCTTAAAAACATGGGTGGAGCGGGTCATTGGGCTACTAGCGGCATCCCTGAGTATACTGGAGACTTTCCATGATCGACTGGCCTTCTCGCTGTTTACCCTGTTGCGTCAATTCCCTCACGAACTCGAGAAACACCGCGAATTGGCGCAGGCAAGTCGAATCTGAATGACCGCTTCCTCGATTGCTTCCAATCTGACGCAAGTAACATACAGGCTCTTGGACGCACAGACAACTTTCTGCACCAGAGCGTCCGTGATGCTATTGAAAGAGCCAGAATCGGACCAAAGTACAGAGGGTTCGAATTGGATGCATCGCTGGTTGTGGAACTCTTGAAAAAGTTGATGCGCGAGCCAGACAAGAGCATATTAGTCCGATTGGTCGTACTTGAAGTTCGATATAGCCGTTTTCGCCTCAGCGACGGCTTTACCCGAGGGGAGCACTTCTCTGTAGACACGCAGTTCCTCGAGCTAGTCAATGAGCATCGGGTGAAGACTACCGCAGAACGGCTGACAAAATCCGCAAAGGAAGGATTTCTGGCGCTTTCAGCCTCAAGTGTTCTTAGCTACAATGAGCCAGTCCGTCTGTTAGGGCATACGTGACCATGGCCCAAGATGCCCGGGAGCTTGCTGCTGCAGATTCATTCCATGAGAAATTGATTCTACTCGCCAAGGCAAGTTCTTGAAGCAGGAGAATCTGAAATTGAGACGAACAGTAGCATAGGATTTGTTGAGTCTAGACAATTTCCTTTCCCTCACCGCGATCTTGACTGGCCTCCATCTTGCTGGAGTTTCACTTGAACACATTTTGGCAGACTTTATCGATCCATCAGACAATCGCTGCAGGTACCGTCAGCATCTACACAAAGGACCATCCTTGCCGTTCTTGTATCCTCTGATTGTTGACCTAAGAAGAGACAACCGCAAAGCTCTGCAGGCAATCTTTCGCTTCCTCACGTACATCTAGACTCTGAGCATATCATGAATAGAAATGTCCGGGGTGGTACAATAACCTCAGTGCTGGCTTTGAACTGCAACAAGTCTTTACTTGCCTTCCCGTATCCAGCTACCCTATCTGGAAAGTACCTTATCTCACAAGTCAAGGTGTCTCGCCCGCAATTCTCAGGTAGTATCCCACCTCGTCTGCCCCACTTCGGATGGTACCGCCAAACGTGTAGTAACTGGAGATTTGGCAACTTAATGTAGCTTGTAGGCTAGATTGGCAAAGTTCCGACATTTAGTAGTAATGGGTGCAGTGTTCTATACGAGTTAGAGATTCCGCTCTTCTCATCCACGAAAGGTGACGTACGTAATTGCAAAAGAATAGCCCTGACTGGTCCAGGTACGATACACGAACACAGTCCTTTGCTTCGGCTGTGCACTCATCCTCTCCGACGTACAGAAGGTGTTGGATATTGTCAGCAATTGGTTGTACATATGCAACCCCGCGTGCATAGTAGCAGGTTGGTTTCCCCTGCAAGATGTCTCAGTCGCTGATCAAGGGTCGGTAAATCAGGTACTCACATTAGTATCAACACCCGCTGGCAATGCTGGTGCGGCATAGTGTGGTGGTTTCAGCACCTACGTGGGTAAGTCATGGGACGATCAGACTAGAGTCCATCCACTATACCTCTCGCATTTTCAAGTTCCTATATGATCCTCGACCCGCAATGGTCGGACCGGCGAGCCATATCATTAGACCAACAAACTTACATGAGAGAGGACCTTACCGCCGAAGAAAAGAACCAGTAAATTGCGAAAAGGCCATGTGGCAAAGTCATTATCATATCGATTGATCTAACCCTTTAACCTTGATCAAATGGTCTGGGTTTTGTATTGTATTTACACAAGGATCGTATGAGCATGTGGTGCGGAACTCAAATTATGCAGCCCTGATTGACGCATTTTTGTGCTGTCTTGTATCCTCAGCGAGATAAGGGAGTGTGATTTTAATTGGCTCCTCATTATTAGCCTGCCAACACCCGGCCAGACTTTACCAGCAGACGATATGTATAAGAGCAATGTCGGCCCTAAAAATTGTCTTGAGGCACGCTCATATCGCTGGAATGTATTCAAAGTTCTTCTTTGTGGCCTTGGCCGCACACTCATTCGCACAACTCCAAGTCCGTCAGCTCTCCGAAGATGTCTGTAATTTTCTTGATACATGGAAAGGCGTCTCTGGCTCAACTCCCTCCATTCGCTTCAATCTCAAAGGAAAGCTCAATGAAAATATTCTTTTTCTACAGACTGCGTTGCCCGGGTTGAATCTAGTTCCAAAGCTGTGAGTTTCCCGTGTGGTACAAGGGCGAGACAAGTACTGACTGGTTTAGGCATGAATGGATCAGCATTTGTTTGTGCTGGTTTAGAAATTTTGCTGGATGGTTCATCGTCTACTCAATATAGCCAAAGCCTTTTGGCACGACAGGGTAATGCCTGCGAATGTGAAAGCAGTGTGGCATCTGTTAGTACTACAACCGTTACACTGATCCAAGCATCGACCAGCACTGCCAGCTCTACCGCACCTACCGGCTCGACCAGCACTGCCGTTTCCACCAAATCTACCAGCTATACCAGCACTGCCAGCTCTACCGCACCTATCAGCCCTACCAGCTCGACCAGCTCGGCCAGCACTGACAGCTCCACCACATCTACGAGCAAAGCCAGCTCGACCCATACATCTCCGGATCGGACAAGTAGTCCCCTGTCGAGTCCATCAAGCACCCCAGGAATTCTGACAGAATTGTCATGTCTGATTAAGTAGGTTCCATGCAGCATGTGCTGTGTCCAAGAATTTCAACCACTGACCTGAATTTTAGAAAAGCGGACTATGATGCTGGTGACTCGTGTCATTGCTCAGATGGTACCGAGCCGAAATATTCCTCTGGTATATTTGTACTGTGTTCGTAAACATGCAAGGTATGACTCGTCAGGTAAAGATTACGAGGCTTATTGGAATTATACACAATCGCGCCACACCAAACAAATCAATGTCATTAGGATTACGGTAGAGATGTTGTACTGTACAACTCTATAGAATGGAGAGTAAATTCCGTCTTTTGGGCATTTCTAAAGACTTCGTAGACTGAGCCAGACGATGCGTAGCGCTTCAGTGAAAGCCAATGCATGATTTTCTATTTTCGAAGGAGGTAGCATCACGTCAGTCAGTGCTGTGACCGCCTTTCATGTCTTCCAGAATAATGGCAGATTTTCTAAAACATTTTTCCCTTCCACCCCTTCCAAACACACAAGCTTTCTTCCCCAGTGCTCACTCAGATTACTCTTATCCCGATACAGCAGACTGAGTGCCTCTCCAAGGAGAGTCTAGAGGGTTGATTGGCTAGATAGTCATCTTAAGGGTCTACGATCTAGGCCCGGACCGTTAGGGGGCTCCTGGGAAAGAAACTGGAGGGAAGTCTGTTTTCGAAATCTTTGTAACCACTATGCTATGATCATGACTTCTGGTCAAGCAATACCGCGTCACCGTTCGACTATCAAAACTCAGATATCTGATGAGCCCTCGAATAGGGATTGATTGGCACCGTTCAATTGGTCCAGCGTTGCGATGGCACTTTGTAGCCAATGCCTGGCATCTTGAAGCTCAGGAGTCTCCATTGCGGTTGGTACAACGTCTGCGACTTGCATTGGATCGTCAGGGAATGGATGGTATGGTCTGCTCATTAGGATCGCATGTAATCGGCTGCGCGGATTCTCCCGGTAGTAGCCACAACAATCGTCAGCAGTCATGCCCCTTTCGTGATCCGCAGGGTTTGAAATATGGAAATAGTGTTCCCCCAAACCTTGGAAAAATTTGAACCGGGTGTTCAAATCATGAGGGAGACACAGGTGATGAGTTTCGTCATCTACAGTCACGTCTACTGCATAGCCTGTAGGCACCAAGCTGGCCTGGCTGCTGGAGGGCAACATTGGAAGCGGCTGGGGGGTAGTGAGGCCGTGGGAAGTGTTTGGTAGCTGTGCCGTGGTCGACTCCGCCATGACAGTGGAAGACAGACTCTGCGCGGCCGGTCCGTCTACTGCACCTCGTGATGTCGCAAAGTCCTGGAAGTTCTCGGGCAGCATCTGCACGTTGAGACCGTTCCTTGGTCCGGCAAGGTAGCGAAAGAACATGAAGAAAACCGACTGGCGAAGAAAGCCTGCTGTGACCCGTGGAAATGTCCACGTTTGTTCCAGCGCCTCCGTGGACAACGCGTAATGATCTCCAACGATTGAATCCATGTACGGCTTCCCATTTCTTCTCTTTGCGGGGACCTCTGGTTCCGTTTCGAGAGACACAGGCTGCGGCTGCCGGAGAGGTGGTAGACTCAGTGACAGGTTAGCTGATGCGATTAGATGATCAGGAACCCGGAACCCCCTCTGCTGAACAAAACGGAGAAAATACTGCCACAATACAGCGCGATCTTCGGTGAGAGGCTGACTTGTATTCGTTGGGCTGTCGTGCCTCCCGCGAAAAGACGATACGCGACGCTGGTGCTCCGTCATCTCGAATCCATACTGAAGACTGAACCGCCAAAATTCCCAAAGATCGGCCTTGAGTGATTCGTCCCGATGCGATGTGGTGAGCGGAACGTGTGTATCAAATTGCTCATAAAGACTTTCGTCGATAGTGGCCCTACGATTGGGGTCAGACACGACCAATTGTTGCATCACACTGCGCGCTACTTCGAGGTAAAGCCTGTCTTTGAAGAAAGTTTCCAAAGTCGGAATCGGGAAGTCGATTTCCACCAGCCGTTCCCACACCGCTTGACGGTCAGTCGCCGGGATGGTACGAGACAAGTTACCTTCCTCAAGCTCACGCTTCAAGAACCCAAAGTCTTTTGCAGAGACCTTCGGAGCTCGTGATTGGATGAGGTGCACTGTCAACCCGTCAATGAGACGCAGATGCTGGCGATTTCCTCCCACCATATCAAGGAACGTTTGATAGATACGATCCCAGTAGCATATAATTGCCTGCGAGGATTGTCAGCATTTGGAGCAGACGATCCCTCTCTGAACTGTAGAGGCTCACTTGATCACAGCGCATGGCAAGCACTTTGTGAAGCAGCCCGATTCGCATGCCTTCCCACAGACCCTCGATAGGTAGAAGCTGATCCAGTTTCTGGGGTAGAGTTGGATGCTTGAAGAACGCACGGAGGTATTTTGCCTTTTTGCTTCCGCACATGGTCTCAAGTACGACCCACCAATTATTCGCAGCGAAACGATTGACTCGGTCTTCTAGATACCCTTCGTAGCGACGGATGCGCTCGTAAACCAAACCGTCCGGAGGCCGGCGATTATTGGAGTATCGTTCCCGGAGTGACCGAATGAACATCTCCTGTACTGATGCGGTTGCATCGTCGCTTTGCGCTATCAGAATGTCCAGTATGTCAATGCATTTTTACCCTCAGACCGCAGGGGTACGACCTACCTGCTTCCTCAACCACGTAGACATCTACAATCCACCACTGATCCGTTGGGCCCAGCCTTGTTCGTGCGGCAGTTATCATAGTTTCATGATCCTGCGCGTGAAGGTGGTAGTCGATGTCCACGTCTAGCCAGTCGAACCCCCCTTCGCAACGCCGTAGGCGAACCCGGGAGTCCCAATCCGCAACCGGGATTAGCACAGGCACATGGCAGTCTTGCATGAGGCGCTGGCATCCTTGAATTCTCATAATTCGGCGGAAGCGATCGATGTTTGCTTGATTATCCATCTGCTTTTTGAAACTCTGATCAAATACCAGACGGGAGATGTCCACTCTTGCAGTCGCTTTGAAGCATCTTCGGTGCGAATCGAACAAGGCACTCTCAATTTGTTCCACATAGTCTTGGGATAAATTGGACATGACGGCGTGCTCCTAAACCAATGCCCTTATGGTATGACACCGAATCCATTCCAGTGATCTGAGGAAATTCCCTTCGTTTATCAGCCTGGAGAATGAGTTACTACAAGACATGTCTTGAAACCACCGTCTCCCGGCTTTGAACCCGCTCATAGTTGAGGGTCTGGTTTTTCCACCACTGCGTGGTCCTCAATTTTCTGCCTCACTCGCCGTTTCAGTCTGTAGCCCCGCGCAAGCCGTCGGAGGCATCTTATAACTTCTCCTAGCAACCATCGAAGACCTAGAGGAGAGGTATGATGTGATTATTATTCCATTACCTCATGTCATGTGGCAAGATGCGTCTTCACGCTGGTAACAAGCTTGAGTTTATCTTCTCTCTAGGTTCCGTCGCTTTATCTACCGGGACACTCATCTGCCTTGCATTTGTGTTTTCAAGATGCACATCTCCATCAGCACCACAAGATTTACATTTTATGAAGGTCAGTGTTCATCTGAACATGAAAAGTAGTTGAACTACCATTGTGGAACAGGTGAACTTGAGTGACTTTCCAACCGTCGGGAAACTTGATCTCCGGCGATCGTTCAGTATAAGCAGTGCGGATGTGTCTGGACTAGCAGATACAGCCACAACCGAGGCTACCAAGACGACAAACAGTGCAGCAGATAGTATTTCCCAGGCATCGGCCGCAGTTGGGACTGTCGCCAACCAAGCCCAGAGTCGCATCGAATCCATTGCCAGTGAGCTGAAAGTAAATCTTCCCGCGTACTATTCGGTCGGACTGTGGGATTACTGTCAGGGAAAGACGGTTGGGGGTCGGCCGTCAAACTGCACTAGACCATCGGCATCTTTCTCGTTTAATTTACTCGACATCTCCAAATATGTCTCCCCCGAGTTCAACGACCTGTTTCCCAGCAAAGACACCAAAGGTCTCACAGGATCGCTCAAACTATCCAAGTTCGCCATATCCGCCTATATCGTGGGCATTTCCACCACTGCCTGCGCCCTGGTCGTGGGTCTGGTGACCACTTTCCGTGAGGCAAAGAGCAGATGGTTAAAGGTGCTACAGATCCTTTCATCTGCGGTAGGTTTCATCACAGAATTCAACACGTTACAAATACTAAAGTCTTCTAGATAGCGCTTGCTTCTATCCTCATAGCCTCCGCGGTGGTGACAGCGATATATACGGCTTTGACGGGTGCCGTTGAAGTGGTGTTGGGAAGCTTTGGTGCCCATGCGTCGCTCGGTGTACGTATGTTTGCTGCCACTTGGTTGGCGGTAGCATTCTCTTTCTTCTCCTTGCTTACGTGGGTCATCGTCTTGCTTTGCTGTTGCATCTGAGATATATGTCCACCAGGCATTGTTAGATTAGTAGTTAGTGAAAACGTCACCATGATGGAAAAGTCTAGAAACTTTCATTTGCAACTATTCCGTATTGCAGAACGAGCGCTGCAAGACTGCCTTCAAAGCTAGTCCAGGCACATTCTTACATTTCTGCATTACGAAGATGATTCCAGGTGTTCCATTCCCTGTAGGTTCAACGGCTCCACCAGAAAATGGTCTGCATGAGGAAAATCACGACGGGGAAAGATGTGGCAGGCAGAAAAGCGGCAATCAATCGGGCAGAACTCTTCACGGGATGTCTGTGCATCACAAGCTTGGTCAATCAGGTCAAAAGTCGACTCTTGTAAGTTGGGGAGAGTTCCGTAAATATCCCCCAAGCTTTGACTGGGCTGATCCAAAATCTGTATTTGTTGATGTCGGAGCATTTCGTCCGATGCCTGCTCAACTAGCTCCTGCAGGTGTTTGAGCAGGCCATAGCAAGCGCGGTAGTAAGCATTTCCACCTTGCTGTCTACCGATCTGTCGGACAATCTCCACGATTTCGTCCATCGTGATATCAGGGAACATCCACTGCGCATATGGATTCGGGGCCTGTCCCCCGTCCAATGAGTAATTTAAATAGGAATGACCAGGATGCTGACCGGAAGACAAGCTCCGTTCCACCGATAGAGAGTATTGTTTCCTGCTAGAGTGGTGGTCGAGACCGATTCTTTTTGAGGTCTGGCAGATCAGCTTCACCTGACGAATTTTTCACTAGGCGAGACTGGCCAGCTTTGTCAGAAGCAGCCGTGGACAAATAGTAAATTGAAAAAGCAGTGTGCAGTGACTGATTGTTACGTACTATACCTGTACAAATATAAATTCTCGTCAAGAGCCTCGATCGAATCAATCAAACCATAGATTACTTTTGCAGCAAAATGCCTGATACCCCAGGCGAGAACCTTCGCGACTGCGCAATCATTACTCTCATCAGTGTATTTGGTATATCATACTTTTTCTTGTTTTCCGTCCAGTACTTGATCTTCCATTTTCCTCCTACGCCAGCCGACATTATCGGGACACTTTCTGTGGTGTTTTTCGCGTTCGGCGTAATTGGATGGTATCTACTGTGTCTATCCTATCGAGTGATCGCCGCCTTTCATGAAGACCAGGCGGCTTGCTGGCAACGGTTGGAATTTGGAGGTGTTCTGCTCCTGATTTGGACTACCACTCTTCCCACTGTGGTACTCCTGTTCCCTTCCCAGCTTTTCCTTCAGTTGGGGTACCTGGCCATGTTTAGCCTTGTCTTCGTGGGTAGCCTGGTAGATCTCGTCATGTACGACCCCAGTATTGCCATGGTACGGGTACGCTTTCCATATTACTGTGCCTCGCTCGGTATCTTTGCCCTCGTTCCAATGATCCACTCCTTCACGGAGTCGCCACATGCTGCACCTGAACTGGCGATCGCTTTCGGCCGCATGGCCATGATGAACACCATGGGCGCAGTGTTCCGCCTTCTCCGTCCCTTGGAGCGAACGGGGCTTGTTCCTGGATGGCAGCCCAGCCTCTACATGATGCACTTCATATTGGCCTACAACGCTTTCCAGTACTCTCAGGCTATTCTGCATAGTCTGATCTAAATGACCTCTGATGTTTCTCTGCGCTTCTGGTGTTCTCATTCCCAGCCGTGAGCACCATCCTCATTCGCTAGTTGACTGTGCTCCCTTTGGCAGTGCTCAGCCTACAATAGAATGAATTCTGTGCGATTGCCCTTTCTTTCTGTAATATCTTGCCTCAAGCCCTAGATATTTCATGGAATGCAACAGGCTTTCCAATAGTCACCAACAAAATCTACTCTTGTCTGTTGAGCCCATTCAATTTTCTTTCAGTTCCTCCCATGCGTTGTGCCATTTCGGTCAATACTGCTTTATTGTGACTATAAGATACTACTGGTCTGAATATCCTACACGCTAACTAGAGGTCTGTCTGTCTCACAGTGTTTGCCCGCATCGTTGGCCAGGTTTCAACCGCTACTGGACGCGGTTAACTGCGTTGATACCGTATCTAATTGTGTAGACCCACTTTCTGTAGCTATGCTCAACCATCACCTTCGCTTTGAGTGTGAGAGACATTCATCGTTATATATTTGCCATATCGCCCAATTTCCAGATAGTCTGATTTTGAGAGACGGAGCCTAGCCTACGAGTTGAATGTTTACAAAATGCTCGATTCTCTGCCCAGCGAAATTCTTTACCAGATTGCTGAGTTTGTCAGTATTGCCAACTGAAAATCCTGTCTTGCTGTCACGTCACAATGCTCATTCAGCCAGTTACCGCGAACCAGCCTACATTCCGTCGGCAGGGTATCTCGTCGTCTTCATGTTATCTTCAGTCCTATCGTCTACCAATCCGTCACCCTCCGTGCTGCAAGCGAATGGGCACTCAATGTCCTTGATGTCGACGCTTTCTTTCTGTATCACGACTATGGCAGGGCACAAGCCTATTTAAGGAATACGAAAAACCTTTGCTTTCAAGCGCCAATTCAAGTGGTTCGATTCAGTCGGTGCGCGTACTATAGTATCTTCCGGATGACAGGGATGAATGGATGCTCGCCAGATGCAATGAGTGAGGCCGTTGCTCATAAACATTTTCTGCAGGATCTAGAGCTCCAGATCTCACGAATACTGTCATGCCTGACACCGCACAACCTCCGTTCCTTTGAGTAAGGCATGATTCAAGTCCACCTTGCACACCGGGACTAATCTATAGCAGATGGCGACTTGGGACATGTATCCCTCAAGGTATCTTTGGGGTTGATGGCTACCTAGCTCGGTGCCAACCTCATATTCTTCATCTACATCTTCAAACAGATGGCACTTGTTTTCAGGCTCAGCCTGGCCTTGAAGGGTTGTCCCAACTCCATGACCTGAAAGTCCTAAGCTGGAATGGAATTCAGCATCGAAGCGAAGTTCAGTCGTTGCAACGGACTCTTCAATGCAATCACCTACATCTTCGTAGCTTCACTGTCGCATTCAAGCCATCCACATTTGCAAACTCCCTGTCCTGGAGCCTGTTGACCAGGTCGGGCGATGAGCCTGGTCATGCGCTAAGATCGATGCCGTTTGCCAGCCTGAAAGAATTGTCTCTGTCACGGATTACGCTTCCGACATACTTACCGCCTGATGATATTCTTACATTTCGTGGTCTCTGTTCATTAAGTTTGTACCACTGTACCAACCAGCTTCGTTTCCTCAGCTCACTATCTAAGGAGGGGGCAGCATACGGCTCGTCTATTTTGAAGGTTGTTTTGATATCCTCAAAGATGACCATCGATATATGAATGCGCTCAGTGAATTTCTCCTCTCATTTCGTGGGCTACAAAATCTTCATTTGCACCAATCAAATTTTCCTCCCCTGGGTGCAGCCTTCGTGGGAGCCATCCACGGGCACCCCGATACCTTGAAATCGCTCGTATACCATGAGCGACAATTGGTGCAACTAGATGAGAGCGGGATGTTTGAAGAGGATCGTGATGTAAACCCTACCTGGGCTGGAAAGTGTGACCACACGATTGACCTCTGTCCACTTACCTTTTTGGCGCTAGCCATATGCCCGAAAACTGCGGTGAGCCTGCTCGCTCGATTGCTTAAACGAAAGGTACTAACGAGATTAGCAAACGATTCTCGAGCCAACCCGGGCACACACGCAGCTTCAGCTCTTGCATCTTCGATTGAGCGGGCCTGAGAGATTGCATCAGAACCTCGCTCTGGAGATCAGGACTTTGCTCATAGAGTCGGAGCGGACCAGTTCTGAGGGCACTTTTGCGCCCGGATCCAACCTCTTGGACGACAAGCCAAATACTTACGATCCATCTCGCGTTCGCCAGATAGCTACTCTTCAAAGCGAAACGCCGCCGTCCATGCCGGCAGCCAAAGCATTCATTTCATTTGCCAGATGGGCATTTGGCCCACAGGGCATACCGTCTTTACGAGTGTTAGCATTTGGAGACTTCTCACATGAAGATCGGTATGAAGCCCAGCGTTTTCTGGTTCGCCGTCTTGACCGGCCGAAAGAATCTCGGGTAGTCAGCGAATGTCTTGGTTTCGTCCCGCTCGACTTCGCGGACTTGGAAAGTTGGGACGGACTTTCGGGCAACGGTGCCAGGTTTCTCGCCGCGTGCCCGGGAAATAGCTTGATGGAGTCGCCATATGATTTTTGATTGAGAACAAGTTGAAGATGGTCATTTTAGGTCAATGGGAACAGACCATTAATGAAGGCCAGTATAATGCATATATCCTCGTACACTCAACGTTACAGTATAATAGTGAGAGACTGTAAATGAATAGAAGCCTAACAGCCAGATCGGTACTGTACTGAAGATACACTTGACTTCGTTGGAGTAGACTTCCGTTGTCTTTCCAACGGCCTCACGTATGTGTGGAACTTTTCAGTCAGAGTGGGATCCTAACCTGGTGAAATACTGAGAGCCACTTTGTTAGACAACGCCACGTTCCGGTCATCGACCAAATACAAACACCAATGGACCTCTTATCCCAAATATATATAATCGAGATAATCGGGACGCCCTATCCCCATATCCCTGGGCGCAATCAAGCTTACATGCAAATAAACTGTGCCATGGATGCCTCCGCTCCGGTCACTGCAGGGGACCGCTCGTGTAAGAGAAGAAGAGAGGAGCACGAAGCGGGCGACTCCCGACTTGCCGGTGACCAGAACATCCCTACCAGGACAGCAAGTGATTCGCGTCGCAACAAGGTAACGTTCACCAACGTCGTACAATCAACACTTCTAGATACTAACAAATTCTAGGCAACACCCCGGGGCGTGAAATTGTCCCTTGTGGAAGAAATGAAACGAATCCTGGACGATAACCCCCCTTTCGCGTCCAAGACCATGGAAACCCTTGACCTGTACCTTTGCTTAGGGGAATCGTATGTGATCGACTCGGCGCGCAAGATCCGTTTGGAACAGGAGCAGCGACAGCTCCAGGCCGAGAAAGCCTGGCTGATACATGCGAACAACCGGTTGTATCAGGCTTGCGCCGACCGGGAACTGGTGCTGTGGGGCCGACAAGAAGCATTTGATACCGTACAGGACGCCGTGGTCAAGGTACTGAGATCACTGAGAGTCCCTTTGATGACTAGTTGACCACACACATCTGGAAGGATCCCTTGGTGAAGGTATTGGGTTGAAAATTTGGTCGGTGGGAGCCCAAGTCTGTGTGTTGGTGGGGAGGCGGGTTGAGAGCTGCGGACCGGTCGCTCAACGACCAAAGACCGGCGGCCAGTTTTACACCGCGTAGGGGTGAGCGCGCCTGGGTTTCTGTTTGCTAGACCTTCCGAGGAATTTCCAATTATCGCAACTCTTCCCTAAGGCGAATTTGACACCCCATGATTAGGATAATCTAAACGCGAGAGCATGCTGCTTCACTTCCAAGATTTGGGAAATGCTATGCACCTAGGTTGGAGATCCTTCTGGTTCAAAATTGTTAACATTATGGTTGGCTTCACTACTGAGAATCCCTCCCCCACTGATCCGTTCGACGTCGATCTTGACTCTCTTTGGACAGTGTTCCACGAGACACCTAGCATTGGGCGTGGAACTGAGACAGGTAATGGCTTTTCTTTCTATCACCAGAATTGGCTCCATGCTTCGATCACGGTTCGATCCACTTGTGTGGAATATTTCTTTGATGCGGGCAGTGCAGTCAGCCGGTATTTTTTGGACTGGACCGGATCCGCTGTGTCCCGATACACGCGCGGACGATCTGTTTCTCCACATCACAACTTTCCTGCTTGTGGACAACTTCCAGTGGTTGAAACTTAGGCTTTGCAAGCTGCATATCGCTTCACAGGAAGTTCTGGTGCAGTATCCTCTTTTTCTCCCTCGTGTAAAATCTCTACTGGGGAATTTGCAAAGGACGCGGGCACAGATTGAAGAAATTCTCTCTCAGAACTCATTGATGGAGAGCAAAAGTTGTCGCTTTCATCGCTTTCAGTTGAACATTTGCCCGGTTTCGGAGCATATGAATGGCAGCAGTGGAGCAGAGAGCGCATCAATCTCTGATTGCGTATGGCCAGAATCTACGCTCGAGCCACAATACTTTGTTAAAAACATCGTGGGCAGTTTCCAACACTGTTAGATTATAAGCTTGAAGTTTTATCTATAAGGATTGAAGAACTTCTACTATATTCACAATAACCATTTACTGCTGATTCATGGTAGAGTAATACGTTCTACTTCTCTAGTTATAGTTTAGTTACATTTCCTATTATCTCCGACCGGGTACTGTAGATGGGTCTCATACCCTTGAACACTAGACTACCACGAACATAGCGTTTGCGGGTTATTTTCAGGAGAAAAATAAGCATATTGCAGTGAGAGCGCGCAGGGACAGACAATTTGGCGCTTGTTTTCAGTGTACTGCATTGATGGTTTAACTATTCGCAGACTGTAAAAGTCAAGGTTGGGTACAGCCATAGGATTATGATTCACATCAAAGTCGTTGGTCCTGGGTTGGCAAGATGGTGGCGCCCGGACCGTTGAGACTGGTTTTGGTCAGTGAGTGTATCTGTGAAGGGCTGTAGCAGAATTGATTCAATTGTACTAGGCCAACATGCTGTTTTGCAACAATCTTAAGGAAAGAAGGAAGAAGGGGTAGGAGTCGGTCGCAGTCCTTAAGAGCGTCCTCGGGTAGGACCCACTAGAACCTCGCTCGGACCCCCTTCTGCTAAGGCGGTATCCGGAAAGCCATGGCATATGGTTAACCACCGGGCTCTGGCCCGTTACAGTACCCCCTTTCTCATCTTGACAGTCGATATGACGAGCTCCGCGCCCGTATCGTTCCGATGTCGATTCGCAGTTGAAATACGCCCGGAACATCCTTCGTACTTATCAAGCGCCTCACAGTCTTGAACGGAATCTAAGGGTTCCCAGGTAGTCTCTGCATAACCTGCCCATTTCACTAAAACCTCTGTTTTAGTCCCTTTTCCTACTCTGCGCGCCCTATGGTCCAATATTTCCTCGACCTGGTATTCCAATTCGCCATCGATTACCAGGGGAGGAGGTTGCGTATCGTCAACGATTTGCGAGGGTAACGGGTCCGATGCAGCAGGTCGTATAAGGTCCACATGGAATACTGGGTATACACCAGTTGGCATATCCAGTCGAACAGTGTGTGGAGACGGTACTTCCTGTACGGTATATCTCCCGTGTAACCAGTCAAGCTTCTTCGAATGCCGCTGGGACCGAATATTCTTGAGGTTCAACCATACTTTGTCCCCTTCTCGGTAGGTCGGTGCCGCCTGGCGAGACCGGTTGGCGTATTCCTGCTGCCTATCTTGTGCAGTCGCAATAGCGGCCTGTGCCCAATCGGTTGCTTCTCGAAGACGTTTCACGAACGCTTCACCCGCTCGCTGGGGGCCAGTACCACTAGGTATAGAGGGATTGCTTTCCTCGATGCCGATGGGATCAACGTGATAGCCATGCGTGAAGAAGAATGGTGACATTCCAATCGATGTGGCATCTCGATTATTGATCGCTATCGCCACGACTGGTAACAGTTCTATCCAATCGTTCTGAGCATAAGACGTGAAAGCCCGCAGGATCTTTTCCACTTCCTGGTTCGCGCGTTCAGTAGACCCGTCTGTCTGCGGGTGGAAAGCGGTAGAGAGTCGACGTCGAATCGTAAACTTTTCGCAGACGAGTTCCCAGAATCTGCTAACAAATTGAGGACCCCTATCACTCGTGATCGCGAGAGGTAACCCGTGGTGCATATAGAAATGCTTTAAGAATACGTTTGCTACTCGCTCCGCTGTCGTTTCGACCATGCCGACTAAGATCACTCCCTTTGTTAGTCGATCTGTTATAACCAGGAGGTTCGTGGCTTGATTGTCTTTCGATGGAGGAAGGTCGGTAATGAAGTCCATTGAGATATCGGCCCAGATTCGCTCAGGAATCGGTAGTGGTTTCAACAGCCCGTGCTTCGTATCGCGCCACACTGAGCTCCTGCCACACACGGTGCAGTTTCGCAAGAATCTCCTTACATCCTTCGCCGCTCCAGGCCAGAAGAACCGTCGAGACAGTATCGCATAGGTAGCGTCCCGCCCCGGATGACCCGTGACATGGGAGTCGTGAATTTTCTGAATAATACCGGTACGTAGCGGCTCACTTTCGGGAATCCAGATCCTTTGTCTGAAACACAGCAAACCTCTCTCATCCAAGTGACACTCCGAGAGGCTGGTTTTCGTATTCGTTTCGGCAGCGACTCGCCGTTCCCCGTCCTTTAATGCCTTCGAATACGCTTGATAGGTAGTATCGATTCGTCGAGCCTGTTGCCATTCTCGTTGTAGCTCCTCCTCTTCGAATATCTGGACCTCTCGTTCGAAATCCAGTAGGGCATCGTCATCGAAATTGCCTATGCGGGGGCGACCGGTGCGAATCGTAACCTTTTCAAATATCTTTCGCAACCGATTCGATAGCCTTTCATCTTTGAAACTTTGTGGCATATCCTGACCACGTCGAGAGAGTGCATCAGGGCGAGTTGCATATCGCCCTGGCCGGTATTGTAGCGTGAAGTCAAATTCACTTAACAGGTCTGCCCATCGCATCTGCCGCTCTGAGAGGTGCCTCGCCTTATTGAAGTAACGCAGGTTTTTATGGTCCGTTATGATAGTGAATCGAGGAACCATCTTCAACTCGGGTCTCCACTCCCGTAAGGCGCGAATTATCGCCAAGAGCTCCTTATCGTAGATCTTGTAGTTTGACTCGGCTGGGGTAAACTTCTGTGAGATATACGCGCATGGAGCCAATCTATCGTTATCCTGTCGCTGGGATAACACCGCTCCAGTAGCCCATCCTGATGCATCTGCTTCCAGCACCGTTTCCCTGCCTTCTTCGAAGTGAGCTAGGATCGGTGCGTTGACGAAGCGTTCTTTTAATTCGTTGAAGGCCTGCTGACACCCGTCGTCCCATTGGAACGTGGTGTCCTTCTTTGTTAACCTGGTCAACGGGGCCGACAAGGTAGCGAATCGGGGGATAAACGACCGATAAAAGTTGGCGAATCCTAGGAACCCCCGCACTTCACGAACTGTCTTTGGGGCCTCCCATGCTCGAATGGCTTCAACCTTCTTAGGGTCCACATGAATACCTTCTCCAGCGCGGATTATAAATCCAAGGTATTTGACGGTGTTCTGTTCGAACTCTGACTTTGCAATGTCACATTGCAGCCCGGCTTCCTTGAGCTTCTGCAGCACTTTGCCTACTTTTCGGCGGTGATCGGATAGTGATCCGTTCGAGTAGATGATAATGTCGTCGACATAGGCCGATACAAAGTCGTCAAGATATTGTTGCAATACCTGGTTGATAAAACGTTGGAAGGTTGCTGGCGCTCCGGTAAGACCAAAGGGGGTAACATTCCACTCATAGAGACCGTATCGGGTTCGAAACGCCGTCTTCCACTCTTCGCCTGACGCGATTCGAATTTTATGGAATGCCGCAATCACATCGAGCTTCGTGAACCACCTGGCCTTAGCTATATTCCTAAGGGTTTCGCGGATTAGTGGCAGTGGATATCGGTCTTTCACGCTTAATTCGTTCAATCCTCGATAGTCGACACAGAATCGTACACCTCCGCCTGGCTTACGCACCAGGAGGACTGGAGCCGCGGCGGGTGAGTTGCTAACACGTATAAAATTCTTGCCTAATAGGTCGGTTATCGTTTTGCGTAAATATAGCAACTCCTCCTTGTTCATGCCGTATAAGGGTCCATAAGGAGGTGTCTCTTCGTTGCCGTTTCGGTCGCGTTTCAGTGGTATTTTGTGATCGATTCCTGGGCGATGTGGCGGTAGTTTCTCAGCTAACTGCTGACTGAAAACTTTGAGCCATTTCCAATAATGCTTTGGTAGCTTTTCTTTCGGATCAATGTGCTTTTTTGGTTGCAACGCTTTGTCGATGTCGTTCAATGTAACCTTTCCAATCCTCAGCCGTTCCGGCTCCGAAGCGCTGTCGAACAGCTGTCGAACCGACTGCGCTGATACCTTGTTCACTCGCAAAGTCTTCAATCCAGGGGGTCCGATTGATGGGTCCCGCCTATTCCAACAGCGCGTTCGGCGACCATCTTTGTCGAAGATATCGAGATAGCCCTTCCTTGCCGAATATGTCCCATTCACGTCCCTTATCCATGGGTTTCCAAGTATGATATCATCTATCTGGTTCTCGATAATATATGCGAACACGCGGTGCTGTTGATGGCCATGGATATCGGCGTCGAAGTACGTAACGTGCGTGATTCGTCCTTGATTCGCTACTACTCCGTCAAGCACACGGGTACGGATTCGAATGCGCGGGAGATCGAGAGATTTGACGAGTTCACCGTTTACAGTTGCAAAACTTTGACAGCCCTGGTCGACTAGGGCCTTTGCGAACTGAATTCCATTCACTCTGACATCTAAGAGAAACGGTGGTGATTCGTCTTCTAAAAGTCTCTTGATCCCCTCCTGCTCCTGCTCGCGACTGGGAACAGGAGCTAGTCGTTTTCCGACTCGCTCTCGGTGACCGAGGAATCGGTCTCTCCTCCCATGGGTTCCGCTTCATTTCCCTCCGGCGCTGCCTGTGTCTTTTTCACTCGGCTACGTTTCGCCATAGGATCGTGAACCTTTCGGTCCTTCTTTGTTTGACCGGTAGCAACGCGACTTGGGCGCTCGGCAGGTCGATAGGAACACTCTGAGATGCGATGGTTATCACTACCACAACGGAGGCAAAGGCCCTCCTCGCGACGTCGAGTTAACTCTTCGTGACTGACCCATTTCGCCTGCTTCTCGACACCTTTTCGAGGGCGGTTCCCTCGAGGATTAATACGATTGACGTCGATAGTAGGAGACCAATCCATCTCATCCAGGTTCCTCTGTTGACGACGAGGTGATTTATTAGATCGACTCTTACCCAGATTCAGAGCGTCCATGTCGGTCGTAATTTCATGCAGGCGGCTAATCAGTCCCGAATAGGTAGCGGGAATACCGCGATTCATTAGCGCGACGCTCATCTCTTCGTTCAACGCGCCTAATAGAATCTGTCGTCTAGCTTCGTCCGGCCAATTGATAGCTCCGGCGTCAGCGAATTCCTTTTCAAGCTTTGGTAGGAATCGTGTAAACGGCTGCCGGTTTGTCTGCTTTATCTGATATAGCCTTCTTGCCGCCCGCGATTGCGCGTTCGGATCTCCATATATGCCCTCAAGATACGCGAGTAGATCGTCGGGACCGGCTGTGTCTCGCGAGTGTTTCACATACGTTCCGGTATTCTTCCATGCAAGCTTCTCAAGGCGTGAGAAGATATACATGAATTGGTCCTGCCTAGACCCGATCGCTGCACCGTCGACTGCTAGCTTATTTTCTATCGTGATCCGCCAAGTGCCCCAGTCGTTGACGTTCCCAGCGAAGAATGGCGGGTCCGGGAGTCGGGGCCTCAATCTTCGTGCGGTGGTCGAAATCGATTCGGCGGGGTTTGGCGTTGGTTCCGTGGTCGTTTCAGTGACGCTTCCCAGGGTCGGAGAGTTTGCCGTCTGCCTAGCCAGTATATTTTCAAGTTGACGAATTCTTTCGTCTTGAGCGGCGGTACGCTGCTGCTGCGCGCGCTGACCCTCTTCTATTTGTTGCATCATCGCCTGCGCCCACGCGGGCGGGGCCTCCTGCTGCTCCTGGTAGTTCATGGTAACCAGGTGTATTGTGTACTAACCGGTGGGGATTCGGTAGCGTTCTAATGTTCCAATCTTCTGGTGTGCCTAGGAATAGGTATCTTCTAGGGCTTTCCGATGCGTCTTGAGCGCTAAAGAGTTATGCGCTAGGTTTCCGTTCCAATGTAGACACGCCGTTGAACCGCAGTCGATTCAGGGGCGTGACCAATACGTTTCCAATGAAGGTGCCTGGGTCGACTCCCTAGGACTTGCTTGTGACCAATGGTACTTCTTGATATAGAAGGAAGATTGTTGAATGTGAAGGGCTGTAGCAGAATTGATTCAATTGTACTAGGCCAACATGCTGTTTTGCAACAATCTTAAGGAAAGAAGGAAGAAGGGGTAGGAGTCGGTCGCAGTCCTTAAGAGCGTCCTCGGGTAGGACCCACTAGAACCTCGCTCGGACCCCCTTCTGCTAAGGCGGTATCCGGAAAGCCATGGCATATGGTTAACCACCGGGCTCTGGCCCGTTACAGTATCAGCCTCTTTCCACCATGCTAGGCGCCCACGGATACCTGCCATCAAACACAAGACTTATGCATTTCCTACCTGTATTAAACCGACTTCGTGTTGAAGATATTCAACCGCAGCCCGCGAGATTACCATTTGAATCATGTACGCGACGTATGACATTCTCACCACAGCAATCAGGATGTTATCTTATCCATGTCGCCCATCTATAGAGAACATGAACCATGCGCCACAGACCTTGGGGCTATAAGGGGCAATTGAATTTGTCTTTCATCGTGTGATTGAGATCCTGTGCTAGGCCCGATCTCTTCTTATCAAGTGACTTTTCATCTTTATTTTAGTCCCATCATAGTTCTAAGATTGCTTGCTATCGTCCGCACTTCTTCCATACCTGCGGCTATGCGCTGGTTCCTAGGTACGGCTCTGTGGATCAACAACAGGTGCTGGGAATTCATGCTCATCATATAATTAAGCTTCGCTAAACTTTCTTCTGAACAGACTCGGATTGAAAGCGGCGGAAGAACAGCCTCCATCGTACTCCGGGTCTAACTAGCCCAAGAATATTTGTTTGTTTTTCGTAGTATACAGACCGGACAGGGAGAGTTTTAGAAGAGCTTTAGCTGATTTCTTGTTTTAGAAAACTGAGCCACAGGTTATGGAGGTCAGCCATCAATTAACGATTGAGATTTCTAATCGCAGGCAGAACTACAGCAGAGGCCTAGTTAAAGCAGAGAACGCTTTTCGTGACTGAAGCATAAAATTCAGGTTACCCCACGAGTTTGGATGGACGAGCTAGCTCAATTTTGATGGGTGATTCAGCGGTGATTTCACCAGCCGAATTCGACCAAATTGACCATCCTAACTTCACCGAAATTGATACACCTGGAGTCCGATGGGCCTCTTGATTCGCGCTAATTGGTCAATTGGGCCAATTTTCAGAATTGACCGTCAGATTCGAGTGGTCACGGCGTGGGTTTCGGTGAATTCGGGAGAATATAGGTAGGCTAATTCAGAGGATCAATTGTGATGATGCTGTAATAATCGGAAGTAAACTTGTCGAAGTTGCTAGACATACCTAATATTACATACAAACAAGAAAATATGAGCTGCAAAATAATCTCAAAACGAGCTGAATTGGTATAGACTGGTATGTATATGGACGAATGAGAACTACCGGAACCATCAGGTAAAGATTGATTGATTAAAGAAGAAAACCATTCAAGCGAATGGGGAAAGGACAGGTTGAGCTGTCCCATGGCGGTGTAACCGAGTATTCCAGTGACACTACGGATACCTCTCCTGAGGTGCTACCCGCATATTACATACTAACACATTGGGACACTGGGTTGGATATGGACCAATCTCGTGTCAGTGTAAACATACTCTCCAGTTTTCCACGACAGATAACCAATAGGAGAAGACTATGATCCCGCCCCGCTTTGCTAATACGAGTTAAACTAGCGAGACCCGTTCATCATGGACAGCAGCTTAAGGAATGAATGTCAATCCCTACATCGTCTCGCACCTTCAGTACTGTGCTCGTAGAAATCAGCAGTTTCTCATCCTCATTGTGGTGCTCATTCACATTACAGTGGGTGTCGAGAAAATGACGGGTATCTTTTATAGCGCCCTCCTATACTTACAGTGGAGACATTTTCTACCCCCAAAAATCCCGTCCCTCTTCATCTCAGACATCAAATGTCGGATATTCGCGCCCGGGTTGAACACGCTCCTACTACTCATTACAGTCAATTCCACCATTCAACTTCGCTCGACAATTGCGGTTATTCCAGCTTGTTTATTACGATGAATACAAGTCGTCAATTTTGATCAACTCAGATTGCTCCTAGGAACCTAATGAATTATATTTGGAGCTAATTACAGTAACGAAGATAGCTTACAACGTCCACAAAATGGTGTGTAGTTGCCTGTGCCAACATTATGCAAAGCCTTCAATCAGGCCCGAGCACACTTGAATCACATAGCCCAGAATCCTAATCAGAGTAGTAGTAATCGTAGTCCCAGTCGGGGATAATGTCTCTGCAGCTGGTCGGACCGTCGTTATGCCAATCGTCGTCGTCGTCATCAAAGTCATGAAAGATAGGCCCGAAGTCAAAATCAAAATCATTACCCTCCTCATTCATCGCATTATCCATGATGTCGTCATTCCACTGGTTAATTGCTTCTTCAATACCCTCCCTAGTCCAAGGCCCGCGGGCGTTGGACTGAGATGTTCCATCAAAGTTTGGGCTTTGCGAAAGCCGAATCCTCTCCTTGGTTGCTTCCAGTATCTGAACCTCCCAAAATTTCTCTCCAGGTCGACATAGCTTGGTGTTGTAGGTAACGAAGAGACCCGGTAACAACGCAACATCTCCCACGCAGTATTTCACAATTTCTGGTTTAATAGGACGATCATTGAATATCTCGTATTGTCCTCCAAGTGCGGGGTCATACAGTCGTCAAGTATTGAGTTTTGTCATCTCCCACGTCTTTTTCTCCTTTGCAGAAATCGTGCTGTCTTTCTCGACACATGCTGCTAAGCTGGCGAGAAACTCTTTCGGGCCCGTTCTTGTTCCCAATTCCATCAACTGGACGTCTCGAGCACCGTCAATGGCGATACTATAATGGCTGAATAATGCATCCGAGTCATGTCGAACGTCGAAGAAAAGTTTCAAGATGACCGACGATTCTAGTATGGATTTAAGAGATTTACCATCAGCATTGACAGTAGAAAATGCGTCAGCTCCCAGTCGGTGTATATCAATGAGATATACTTTTTCCTTTGGGGGCGCGTAAATGGTCATGACGAATATTGAACCATGACGACCAAGCTGATAGCCTTCCAGGTCGATGAGTAGTGATGGGGTATCAGTTCGGAGAGTCATCACCTCGCCTATAACAGACCGAAGGAGAGCCACCGAGTCCACGACGACGGGTTTGATTCGTGCCAGATCAAAGGCCATGGTAACTTCAAAGCTGAACAGCTCGAGTTCGTGATCGAAAATCGTCTAATGGTGGAGTAGAAATGAAGATGGGCGGGTGAGTATTTAGGAGTTTCGCTCTTCTCTTTTCAACTTGCTTTATTTCCGCCGTCTCTTTGCTACCCCTTACAGATACCCCTTACATTCTGCTTCGGAACACCACTGCAGTGCTAACGTCTGCCAAACCATGACTCTCCCCTTCTGCTTTCGCGCTCACCGCTAGGTTAAGAATGCCGCATGAGCGACATTCTTCGTCTATACCGTCAGGTTATTGTTCCAGGTACATGTCACCGTAATATTCTTTCTGTCAATTTTTCCTTCTACGCTGATCATACAAGTCCAAAGAAAATGGCCGGCTGGGTAATTCCTGCAGTCTTCGTATTGCCAGGGAAGATCTTGTAGGTCATTGATCGCTCATGTAGTTCTGAGGAAGCACCGGTTTGCCACTTGAGTGGACGAGTTGCCGTGTTACAGCATACAATGAATGCTTCCTGGGATCGAAGATTCGGGAAACCATGAGAAGAAGGTTCTTTTGATCAAGTTTAGCGAACCGACTTCCCGGCGGGAGGTATTCAATGTAACATTACCTGTATTTGAGCTGAGATGAACCTCAAGGATCAGATCAGAGCTGGAAATCCTCTGATCTCGTAGGGTCGTAAACGAGGATAGACAGCAAGGTAGGATTTGAGAACTTCTGTGTCCATGTTACACCAGCAGGGCTTTTGGCGGGCGAGTGGCTAGTTTTCGTATTCTTTCCTCGCATTCTTCAAGTGCAACCTAATCCACTCACCTGCCACCACTCATAGTGTCAACTGAGTCTTAAGACTACCCCCTCTACATAACTGATTCGCTTTAATGAGGGGCCAGAATATATCTCGAAGAATGGCCATTGCCACCAGATGGGAGCCTGAATGTAACAATTAGGTCTTGTTCCGAAGTTGAGAAACACTGAGCTCGTCCGTCTCGCCTGGAAAATGAGAGATACTCACTCGGCTCTCTGCCACTAAGGCTGAAGCATCGATGCAAAACTCTACGTCTCTACTTCTCTACATCATCATGCAATATCGAATACCTTATCATGGCCCTAAAGCCGGTGGAATGACGTCTGACTATATGCTGATTCCTACAAGGGTAAGCAACGAAGGTCAAGTAGGGAGACCTGGAGGCAATTGCCCTAAGCCTTCTATCAAAATGGCAGACCAAACCGTTCACGGAAACTTCAAAACCACCATGGTATATAAATAGACCGTACTTCTTAATTTGTTACTGCAGTCCTTTTAGATGGCTCCGGATGAGAGGGCTGCCATGATGCTGGCGACAATGCACTTGGCAGCATCCAATTTCAAGATGACAGGAAATGTGGTTCGCAATTGTGCCCATATCTAACAATAAACGTACATTTGGCCATAAAAGGTATGTAGAACAAGCGCGGTTTACCTTTATGGCTCCTTGTATGATATCATCAACACACCTTTTCGTCAAAAACGCTACGCACCAACAGTGGTTGTAACTAGAGCAACGTATAGATGAGAGTTACAGTAGAAGTAGCCAACAAATCCGGGTAGTAAAGCCAAGGACGGTTACATTGGGAGAGATAGCACCCCACATTCTTCAGCTGAAGTTCCTCAGCAAAGAACTCGCGGGTGATGCGTACATTTTCAGTCACATCTTATGGAAGAGCGTTTGCAAGTTTAAAAACGAGTCACTGCAGTGGAAACCTGAACGCATTCCAATTGTCATATCTCTCAACGAACATAGCAAAGAAAACTCGCTATGCAACCATCAGGATTTTTGGAAGGCTATGAAGTCTTGAAAGGCACCAAACGCCCTGTTAAAGACCTTGTAACTGAGTCTCCCCCGGTTGCGGATGCCAATCGTCAGACCCGAATTCTCCCCAACGATCCTGCCTTTAGATCAGCAAAGGACCTCTGGGGATTACTGCAGATAGCCGAAAAATGTCTACAAAATCATGTTCGGCTGACGATGGGTTACCGTCACTTACCTGTGACCCTAATGCTGAACCCGTGCAGATGCCACTCAGAGGACTTTCGCGCAATGTTTGGGAAGGAGTCCGCCTTGGGGAGGCTTGAGCAGATCTTTGACAGGATCGGCCTGGATATCGAATTTGATGTTTCCATATGGGACATCTTACCGATGATGAGCGACGAGTGGTTCGAAAGCATGATTGAAAATGGACGAGGGACAGAGCTTGGAGAGTTAATCATGCAAGGATTTGAACTAATAGGACACTACTTGGAGAGGTTTAGGCCTCCAGGTATCGTTGTCTTGCAATGTGCTACACACTCGCGCCAATGCACGAGATACCCATTTCTGCGGAGCGTCAATCACCCTTTGGCTCGTGCTCTTTGTTCATCCGTTGACAAGGCACTTGGAGGAGAGTGTGAGACCATAAGATACAAAGACCATGAGTTTTGGGTTGTATCGGGATTCCATCCAAGCGTCATAAACTATGAACCAGATGCCGTGAAGCGGAATACGCTTGCTACAACTCTGGAGAGGATTTTGTTATCAGTTTACCAGCCATACGTGGATCATTTGATTGACTAAAGCATCTTGAACCATTTTCTGGATTGAAGGAACATAGAAATGATACAGTACGGAACGTGGAAACGATACCCAAATGGCACTCCACGTAAATAAATCTGTAAAATATACGTCTCCTCAGGAAACTCGCATACGCTCTTGATTATAATTACATGGAGCTTTGATGGAAGCAGTGAAACCGTGGCATGGTTGAATACGACGCTCTGGAGTCTGTTAATAATGTCCTCCAAACATGTGACGTTCATCATTGTCATATACAAGAAACTATAGTATGCGAGACACAGTACATGCATCATAGAAACGATCTAAAATGTAAGATTAGGTTGCAATACATATTCTAAGTTACTTTCGCCACTATCCTTCCAGCCGTCTATAAATATAACTGAACTGAACATGAATGTTAACCTTAAAATTTGTTTACGATAATTGAACAGACCAGAGAGAACCAACCCACTACTCAGGCAAAAAAAAACGAAAACGGAGCAAAAATTATCCAAAAAATTGGAACGACAATTCGAAAAAAAAAGTTCTTCATTCTTTTTCCATACGATCTATATTCGCCCTAACAAGCTGCTGCATCAAAGTGACCCAAAATGCCCCTTTCGAAAAACATCTTCAAATACTTGTTTCATCATGTCATTCTTCCCCCCAGCTGCCACAACACTATGATGAGGATGAACTAGAGGATGGCTGTCCCCCGGAGCGCAGCCTCCACCTATACGCTCAAGAAGCTCTGGAGTCTTTCATAACAGAGACATCACCAGAAGAAAAAGAGATTTGGCATATTGTGGTGGGTATGCTTCAAGATTGGAAAGAAGTGGACAAGCGGGGTGCGGTTTGTCAAGATACCTTGACCCAGATTATATCAGACCTCAAATCCAAAGGTGTGTTAGTCCTCTCCTGGTTTTGAAGAATTAGCCTGATTGATAATGATAGGGGCGGCCGCTTTATACATCCGATCACAAAATTGCGGCTGGGTGGCATACTACGATAAATGCAATGACAAAGTGATTATTGATGCGTTTGAAGCGTCGCCTAGCGCAACGGACGTAATATCCGCTCCTGGGAGCCTTGCGCGCCAGTTACCTGGTGTGAGCGTTGCCCTTCCGGGTGGTTTGCTTGAGGATGCTGGGTTCTGTAAAGAGCTCTCTAAAAGCCTAACACGCCTGGCCACTGAAGAAGTGGGAGAAATGATGTTCAAGTCCCACAAAGCTGGAATACCAGTTCCGGAAGAGCGTGATACCACTCACCCTGGTCTTGTCACCGAAGGCCTGATGAGCCAACTTCTGGCATTTGGGGAAAGCAGCACAGCACCACTGTTTTACAAAAACACGCGGGATGACGTCAATTGGAGAAGTAGCAGGCTGCCTTGGAGAAGGTCCCCTCATTGGTTTGTGTTTCGGGTCGCACTTCATACAGTGCTTCAACGTGCTCTTCCTAACGGAGAAGGCCAAAAGCGATACAAGAATTTCATGCTATATCTTGTGGCTGAGCTTGGAATTTTATCCACGCGTATTCAACCAAGTGTGCCTGCAGATCACTTGGAGATCATCCGAGTTAAGACGTGTCGACGCCTTCTCAAATTAGAGGGGGAAGCCTACGAGTTCGTCCTGAGACATGCCAGAAAAGCGGAAACAGCCGTACGGGACATTTTGCAAGGTACCCAGCAGAAGATTGCCAGATCGACACTGACGCACATACCAAAATCGTTTACCTGTGTGCCCGAGGATTTCCATATATCGCTTAAAAATTCTCGATACTACCTGGAGTCTGCCATGTCTGCTGACCCCGCGGAAGTCGAACAATCATCTTTTGATCGGCGACACGAGCAACGCAACCAATTCAACAGATTTGGATTGCCAATTTTGAGAAGTGGCGATCTTATATGTCTAGCGGACTTTGAGAGCTGGGTCAAACACACACTGGGCTCTTGGTACAGCGCAACCGAGCCTTCAGACCATATGTGCTGTTTACTTGGAGAGCTGCTTAAAAGTTATTGCGATCTTGCTATCGAAGCTTACAGCGATAGCCCGGACGCCATGTCCATGGCTATGGTATGTATCATGGAGCTTTGGGTCATTTTAGACAAAATGTGCATTGTTGTCTGCCCGCTTTTGGGGTCCTACTCCCCTGAAATACCGGATAATTTTCTCGAGCCCCTGCTCTTACCACAATTTTGCGAAATGCAAAGAGCTAGTAGGGTTGAAACATATATTCGTTACAGGAAACGAGAGCAAACAAGTGGTGTTCCAAGCATCTTTTCCGACCCCGGTCGGCCAGGATTCTCTGTTGCTTTCTTTGATAATTCAGAGATACACCAACGGCTCCGGGAACAAGTAGAGAGGCATGCTCGAAGTAGCGTCGATGCGAAAAGAGTGGAGTGGCAAATAAAGACTCAACTTTACGAAGAACTTATGAACCGGGCTTTTCGAACCCCGCACCAGTGGGACATTGATTCGCGCGGGAGAAATTGCCACTCTGCGGTGTGCCCGTGCTGCTCTATCGAGAGTGATGCCAGAAACCTGAGCATAGATGTATACGAATGGCCACTCCCGGTGGATGAGAATATTCTCAAATCAGTTGTTTTCGAGCTACAATGCCCACATTGGTTTGCATGGTGGCGCGATATTACTTGGAAAATAATTCAGGATCTTGGCCGACGGCGAAGCGAGCGAGGTCCCGATGTCCAGCAGAATCTCCTTTCATATAAAGATACGCAGCAGTTCTGCGTGAATCATGGTCAACGCCTCACTCTAGGATCAACAGCGAAGTCCTGGAAGAGAACTCACTACAGTAATCGACACTTCCCTATTGCTTTCAATGACATCACTCCACCTAATGGGTTCCGGCTTCGAATTCTTGATAGCAAGGATAACAACTGGGTGGGAGATCAGAAAGATTACCCTTCGGTAAAGCGGTGGTGTACATTTCACCTCCCACCAGGGCCATACTCTTGCCTTCAATACACAGTCGACTCCTCTGCACACTCGGAGAACCAGGTCATAGCGGACCAGCAGCACTGTCCTTCCGAGATTAGTCTGCATGAATTCGTCGCGTTCGGCTGCCTCCGTGCAGGAACAAGAGTGCAGTGGCATAACATAGTCCGCGAGCTGGCTTCATCTTCACTTTCAATGAATGAACAGGCGGTGGGCTTGCTATTTCGTCAAGCGGCCTGGGAGCTCACGGGCCCAAACCCTGGCTCAGAGCTAAGAGAAGCTCACGTATCATTTAACAAAGATGGCTTAGGGAGCCAACTGCTGGAGTGCTTGGAACAAAAGCTCAGTTCCATTGAAGCCAACTGGAACGAGCATTACACGCTTCATACTCTTGTTACACTTGGAATTCGAGCTCTAAGCTTGTCCAATGGGTTCGGAGATGTTGACAGAGCGGCTTCTTTACTGCGTCGAAGCAGAAGAACGTGCTTGAAGTGGTGTGAGGCTTTAGCAGAAAGACTGGAGAGTCAAACAGATGCGCAATGTGAAGCCCAGCAATTGCTTATCGTTAAGATTGGCGGTATCTGTCAACTCACATATGCGGTAGAGCCACAGCATCTTCCGCTTGTTCTAGATAACCGTACCGACCTCTTCCATTTGACAAGGTGCTCAATCTTGGTTTTTGAGAATACGCCGCGATCCCGTGACCATCTCCCATTCGACGTTGGAAATAGTCTTATATGGACAACCAAAATTCTTCATTACCTTGAAGAACATGCCCGTCAAATGATTGCGGATGATTCATCAGGATTTAATGAAGCGATAAAGATGAGCATACCTGATCTGGAGATTACGTCTTCGTGGACTACATGTCCGGGAACACTGTCGCGCTGGGTTGCCAACCAATCGATTGCTGGGCCCCGTGAATGTCCACAAGATATCCATTACAATCTGCTCAGTGGAGAGCTTCTTCTAGCGAACTGTCCCCCAGGACGACTTCTTGAGGAGTACACCAACCTGCTTTCATTTCAGCGCATATTTGGCAATGTGAGAATGTGGTCCACCATAATCCCTCAGTTGCCAGCTTCCATGCTAACTATATAGCGAACACTTACGGTACTGCCCTCAAATCTAAAAGGGTCAGTATTTATGTCGACGATCCTTTATGAAGGATATTCAGTTAGTTTTCCTGGCCATTTTCTCGAACGACTAAGATATTAAGTCTGTGTCGCAGATCCACTTTTCATTGAACGCAAAAGGTCTTATAATAAAGGCACGAGCCGAACATCAGCTGCTACAGCTTATCCCCCACGAAATTTTGGCTGGAGATTTTCCGGAGGATTTAGTTTCGAACTATGGGCATTGGCTCAATTTGGAGACCGGGACACTCGAGTTTCGCTCCCTTGAACATCTATGGATCCCGCGGTCGAGTAACTGGAACCTCTTAATGAACGCTGCGCCAGGAGGGATCTCAACCATGAGCAGATGTGATAATGCATTGATCGACATAAGGAGCCATCTTTTCCAACAATTAAGGGCTGTTTTGGAGGTATTGGATGATCCTGGATATATACATGTCATCCAGACTGGGAGAGATAATCGCAAGTCCGTGGAGGTCGACATGGTCCGACTTCGTCTAAAATTCATCATCAACAAAGCTGGCGCGCTCGATTGCCAGGAACTTAACGCAATGGTTGACCACGACCAAGATATCGGATGTTTATATGGTCTACGGAACAAGCTTGTGCTACTGGACACCAAGAAACGTTGCCGCTCCGTGCTGATACCCTATGGAAGCGTTCAATTAATCAAGACCAAGCACCAAACTTCTGTGACTGTCAATGCACCCAAAGGATCTTATCGGAAGTATTTTCACTACTCGCTCGATCGTCATTTGAAGGTTTTACAGGGGTCATTCGACATGTTAGAGATACTTTATCTGGCATATATGCACGCTGTTACGAGCCATATTCTCCCTGATCCTGCAACAGAGCGTTCAGGGACTGCGGAAGCCATACGAATTTTAGGGCAGGCATGCCTGAGAACCTCGTTTCCACTTAGCTCCGAAACAATTGCGCTCTTAAAAGTCATTGCAACCCTGACCCCTCGTCGTCGCTACTACCCGCGTCATTTGAAGTCCATGCAAACCGTGTCGTGGAACAGTGAGCTTGGCGAACTAGCCCAGCACGATGATTTCCGAGTCCTTGCACAGGAAATCGTGGAGAATGCAAGCAGGTTTTGTACACTCCATGGTGTAAGTGACGCCGATCGTGATGAAATGATGGACTGTTATAAAGATCGTGGAGATCAAAATCTCCTCGAAAGAGCCCGTTCTCGCAATTCACAGTTCCACTGTTCTGAATATGGCGGTAGTGCAGCACGTCAACTACCTCAGCCAACATTATATAGGTCTCGTGACCGTGATTATCAGAGTGACCGCAGTCACCGTGTTTATAAAATCGCGACCCTGGTGAGAAACTGGCGGCCTTGCCTCTCACAATGCTCTGATCTTCTTAGAAGCGTGGGGTCTTGGAAAAGTGTCCGGCTCTCATGGACCTCTGTGCAGGACTTTACCTGCTCAGAGCTACTGAGATTGTCCTTCAGAGACGCATGGGGTTCTCTGTATGAGCTTTGCCGATCCAGTGATCAAGGCAGAGACTCATACAGCCTCATGTCTCTCTTTTGCACGATTGCATTTTCTGGAAGGGAGGAACTCCAAATTTATCCACTTTTAACTGTCGCATTTTCTGGCATATTTCGGGACCTTCCATTTCCGTTCAGTCAACGAGAAGCCCTTGACCTGGAAGCGGGCGAAGAAATCGATCCTCAAGAAGTCAATGCAGCAATCGAAAGAAATTACAGCCATTTCTTCTGTCCCACGATCATCAGAATCACCAAAGCACAAAAGAGAGTGAGCAAGCAGCGCCAGGAGGAATACGATCTGCAGAAGGAGGCCGACATGGAGTCATGCCTAGAGGCCATCAGAGGACAATGGCCTTGCAAAGTACCTCAGCTGCCTGAGATTGAACGGATGGATAAATCAGGGGCTTCGGAAGCATGCTCGTTGCTCTGCACGAAATGGTACCAGAATCGCCAATTTCTGGCCTTTCTTCGCTTGGTTCAAGAAAACTTGGATACCACAGTCGACAATGAGCTTGTGACCGAAATCGGAATTCCCTCCTCACCGCCTGGAAAATCGTTCTGTCCTCGTCCACCGTTTTCTCCACCCGGGCTCTTGAATATTCTGTCATCCTCCAATCCGCCTAGCCTGCCGAAACAAAGCCCACCTCTCAAATTCTCTCTGTACCGCACGCCACAATGCTACAATGCCGAGTTAAATACAGAACTTCGGTCGTTGATTTTAGGTTTCCGAGAAAGTTTAAATGCATGTCGGCGCGAGCTTGGCGAAAGTCTTGAAGAGAGTTTGGAGGCTCTCCAGGAAGCAGACATGCCTTGCCCTCCAAAAGCGCTCCCAGTGGAGCGGAGCGTCATTGCTGAATACTACGCTTTTCAACAAAGTCGAAGAGAAATGCTCTGGGCCATGATTAAAGAATCATTGAAGTCGACAGGAAATTTCTGGGAGGACGTTTCAGAATCGATTCTTTCGCCGTATATCACCAGTTTCTCAATCCTGTCACTTCTGTCTGCGAATCGTTGGAAATCAGTACCAGGGTCTTGGAAAACCACTATCTTGACATTTGCAAGCAGCATCGCCTCACTACGTCGTGCCGAACGACTATTAAATTGCTACGATCGAGACGATATTGACGGATTTTTCAAAGAATCAGAAAATGTCAGTCAAGAAGGATGGAATGCTCATGATTACCCTGATTGGCTACTTTTCGAGATTGAAAGCAACCTCACCATCCGCGAATCACAGACACAAGTGGCTCTGAACATTATCAGACCAGAAAGCTCAGCAAATGCGGTTATGCAATTAAACATGGGTGAAGGAAAAACTTCTGTGATAACTCCGATGACTGCATTGACGCTTGCGGATACCAGTTGTTTGCTTCGGTTGTTCGTCTTGAAGCCTCTTCTGAAACAAAGCGTGAATCTTCTAGCTCAACGCCTTGGCGGGATGCTAGATCGGCATATCTATCACATTCCCTTTGCAAGAGACACGCCTTTGGATGAACCAATGATTGACCAGTTGCGCCAGATATATCTGGAATGTCAAAGAACAAGAGGTGTTCTAGTAGTTTTGCCGGAGCAAGTCCTGTCATTTCGCCTGGTGGGTTTGGACTTGATGGAAGGAGATCCGAGACTAGCCCATCAAGCGATAAATTTGGAAAGATGGCTGCAAACCAACTCCCGGAACTTTATCGATGAGAGCGATGAAGTTCTTGACCCCAAATTTCAACTCGTCTATACAGTTGGCACCCAGCAGACAGTCGACGGACAGAGTGATCGATGGGAGATCACACAGGCTTTGCTTGCGTTGGTTGCTAGTGAAGCCGAGAAATTAAGCTTGCAGCATCCAAATTGCCTGAATGTTGAACGCAGCGGAACTCGTTATCCAATCTTCCATTTTCTGCAACCAGAAGCGCCTGACAAAATAATTGCGAATGTGCTTGATATCATCAGTGAGGAAGGTCTCCCGGGCTTGCCAATTCAACAGTGGGCTCGGCGTGTTCGACAAAGTGCGCTTGACTTTATCCGCTTCATGGACACTACAAGGGGGTGTAGAAATGTCATCCAGGAGAACTTCCAGGGAGGCGTTTTGCTCCGCAAACTACTAGTCTTGCGTGGTCTGTTCGCTCATAATATCTTGAAGTTTTCCCTGGCTAATAAGCGCTGGCTGGTCGATTATGGCCTACATCCCTCCCGTTGTCTAATGGCTGTCCCATTTCGGGCTAAAGGCATTCCTTCCGAGAATGCTGAGTTCGGCCACCCCGATGTCGCCATCACATTGACTTGCCTGAGCTACTATTACCAGGGTCTCACTACTGAGCAAGTACGACTTTGCTTCTCCTTGTTGGGAAAGGAGAATGACCCTTCAGTACTGTATCAGTCCTGGATCTCCAAAGACATGAGCTGTCTCCCCCCAGCACTGAGAGTTATTAGCGGAGTGAACCTGGAAGACGCACAAGTTTTCTGCAGTGTCCTCTACCCTCACGTGCAATACCAAAAAGGCATAATCGACTATTATCTTTCCCATGTCGTGTTCCCGAAAGAGGCCAAGGAATTTCCGCGGAAGCTTTGCGCATCTGCCTGGGACATTCCTTCCCGCGAACATCAACCACTTACGACTGGGTTCAGTGGGACGAATGACAACCGCCTGCTTCTCCCTAGCTCTATACCTCAACGTGACCTGCCTCATCTTCAGCTCACAAATGCGATGGTGCTACGTTGCCTATTACAAAAAGAAAACCGCGCGTGTGTTTTAGCACAGGACGAGAACGGCTGTCAACTTTCTACCACCCACTTGATTGATTTGATCAGGAGTCAGGATCCTCCAGTAAACGTCATCATAGATGTTGGAGCTCAAATCCTGGAGTCAAGTAATCAATGGGTTGCCAACCACTGGCTCTCCCGGTCCACGGCCGACGATGCTGAAGCCGCCATCTTCTTCGATGAAGATGATGAAGCCGCAGTAGTTGATCGAGAAGGTCACGTTGAGAGACTTTTGTGCTCATCATTCCGCCAAAGAATGCATAGATGCCTGGTCTTTCTGGACCAGCAACACGCGCGTGGTGTTGATCTGAAACTTCCATCAACTTATCGAGCCGCCGTGACGACGGGCCCTCGTTTGACAAAAGATAGACTTGTACAAGGTAAGTATCTCCAAGCTATATGAATGCGGGATGATATCTTTCTCACATTTTGTTAAGCGTGTAGCAGAATGCGCGGCCTTGGAGTTGGCCAATCTGTACTATTTTTCATTCCCCCCGAAGTCAGACATGGCATGAGAGTAAACTTTGGATTATTGGACTCCTTCTCCGTCATCCAATGGACACTCACGCAAACATGCGATACGTTGGAAAGCCTGAGGCCTCTTTGGGCCTCGCAAGGCTTGCAACATCACAAGAGGGACAGGTTATGGAACATGCTTACCGAAGGAAGTACATCTGCTCAAGATGTCGTGGCACGAATCGAAGAAGCTGAGGCGCAAACATTGTCTGAGCTTTACGATCCTTCTCAGATGCCCGGAACGTCTACTTTGGATGAGTACATAGATCCAAGCGAACCTAAACTACGCGAGCTTCTCGTGGAGTCGCTTGCTAGCGTCGGGATCCCAGGCGGCCCGACACTGCACGAAGAACAGGAACGCCAGATCACTCATGAAGTAGAGAGAGAACAGCAAATCTATCGACCCCCCAAACAAAAGCCCCTCTCTCATCATGTGCATGAAGATATTCGATACTTTGTGAAGTATGGCCAATTTCCAGACAACGGGACATCTGCAGCCAGTCTGGCATTCGACGGTCTTCGCAAAACCTCTGTTGGACACTTTGATATTCCACCATCCTTAGGTGCTCGGCTTTATGCTTCAGAAGATTTTGTGAAAACTGTTAAGCGAGCCAAGGCCACAGTGGATGACCAATTCTTGAAACCTGTTCACTGGGTCTTATCCAATTCTCACAATGATGACTTGCTAATATTGAGCCAACATGAGGCCAATGAGCTCCTTCCTGACATTCGAGTCTCACCAACGACAAAATTGCACGTGTATGCCTCAAAGACAACCAAAACCATGTGTTCTTTCGACAACCTAGCTTTTCTCACCGCGGGCGAAGCTCGCACCGATCGGACTTGGTCTCGCGAGATAATCCAAGGCTTATCGCTATTCTCCGGAAGCCTTTATTTCGAAGATTTTTCGGCTTATGAATACTTCCGGAACTTCCTAGGTCTGGTAACAGGCGTTTGTGGCGATATTCCGGAAGGGCGAGTCTCTAACGAGGGGTTTGTTGATGAGGAAACGCGACGGCTGATCGGGTGGCCCACGCTTTCGCCATTTGAACGCAATCCCTTGCCATTCCTACGCACACTACTCAATCTTAGAAGTAAAGGGCATGGGTTTTCCCAGACCCACGTCGGCATGGTTCTGGATGTCCGTGCGCTGACAGCCGATCACTTCTAGGAAATGTGCGCGTTCTGTTGTACCTTGTTCAAAGTAGACCGAGATCGCAATCTGATGGGCTGTGATAGCCACATCTCTCAAGTATCAATTAAATCCAACTCCCTAGAATAAGAAACGCCGCCAATCTTCAAATTGAAATGTAGTAGTTCCATACGTACGAAGAGGAAAAAGGTTGCGCTAGTGAGTCAGACACCCATCTGGTTTCCGTCGCTCCTGGGAACCAGAATCTGTCTGAGTATTCTGTAATACTGGAAACCCCTTTCAGGTCGCTTTCTTGACATATAAATCCCTAGCACTCCCATTCAAAGCTTCGTAGGGTTTTATTTAGAAAGTAGTTCATTCTCTCCTCTACATAATGCGATTCCGAACGTCTTCGTCCGCCGAGACGCTTACCCAAAATCTTCAGTATGCTCTGGATTCCTGCTCACCAACCCCAACAACGGGTATATCGAACCAAATTTCAAACCCTATTGGTCTGGGAGCAGCCTTTGAATATAAACGAACACAAAAGAAGCGACTGCATACAAATAGGGGAAGCCACAAGCCTCCTCTGAAAACGCTGTTCCCGTGTCCTGGTAAGCAAAACTCTATGCTATCCATCTCAATTTCCCAAGCTCGCTTTTCCGAACGCGCGCTAATGTGACATAGAAAGTAGAGCATCAAATCTCAAAGTCTAGCCATTAGGCCATCCAGAGCACGGTTGGCGCGCTGTTGCTGTACTTAAAGGCGTGACGGAGTTACTTTGTTGTTTAAAACGCAGTGTTATGAATGATTTTATCGCGAAGATAGCGCGAAAATATAAGACCGGTACCGAACACGTTGTAGAAAAGATTAACGTATGCGAAATAGTCTTCAGTGGAGGCGCGTAGATTATTCATTTCCTTGTCCAACTTCTGGATCTCCTGATGACGCCGCCGGAGTAATCTTAACCTTTCCCTTCACTAATCTATAAAGCCATGCCATGGTTATCAGGCTGACATCAAAGAAGTCGAAAACGTTTGCCCCACCGAAAATGATGGCGTAATAGGTCCACGACGAAGATTGTGGAAGTGATATTTTAGTAATAAAAATTGCCCAAGGAAGCATCCAAAAGATGTTGGAACCAAGTGCTTGGTAAAGATACCACCGAGGTGATGTGGCGAGGAGAACAGCTGCAAGTTGGTAGCTCAGACCGTAGAATATGTAGGTCCAGTCAACGACCTGAGTGCGTCAGTGACTAGTACCATTTCAAAGTTTCTCGTAGTATTGGACTTACCTTCCACATTTCTTGAGTGGTTTTTGCTACGGTTCTCGAGCCAGAGAGGTAATATGCAAACGACTGAACTCCCTGTACGGAAAGAGATGCGAAAAGAACGACTTCGTAGACAAGACCGACCAAACAGGACATAAGGGCAGGCCGCAAGATCCCTATATGATTATCAGTACCGACGAAAAATCCCTTCGCATACTACATCTTACCTAAAACCTCTTTGCGGGATGCCTTTGGATACTGTGCCTCCTTTGACGCTCGGAAAAATGCCCAGTTATGGCCAACAAAGGCGAGTGTAGATGTTTCAAGCGCCTGGACAGGTACCATAATGAGGCCCCAGCGAATAGTATTAAAGACACCCCAGGCAGTTGCGTAAGTTTCACCAAGTTGCACGATCTCATGCACAATCCAGAGGTAAATGGCATTTCTGATTGCAGATTCCATGAAGGTGTAAATGCTTGGTCGAAGCAAAATCTTGAGCGCCGAGATGCTCACATAAAAATGGCATCGATCGCTCGCATCTATTTTGCGACGTGCGATAATCAATACGAAGTTTGATAAGCCCGCGAGAGCGGAAAGACAGTCACAAGCTAGCCGAATGATGGCCTGGTGGATGACAGTTGGCGTTGAGTGGCCGACACGGAACCTTGAGATAATAAGCAGGTCTAATAGTATATTGATCATGAACTTGCTCGAGCTTATCACCAACGGCACATCGGGGTTGTCCAATGCCCGTGTCGATGAGGATAAGGCTGCTTCCACCGCAGAGGTAAAAAATTGGACAGAAGACAGTCTAATGTACGTCATTGAGGATTGTCGAACCTTAGCGGGAACAAATGCCGATGCAAGACTTTGCGGATGAATCAGAAATATGACCATGACCACAAAACCCTGCACGGCTGTGGCTGCAATCATGGTGCACGTCAGATCCAGACGCGAGCGCATAGACCGGGTGGCATTATCCCCTATCAATAACCACGCCGAGCGAGGGAAACCCTCATTTAAAACCTCGACGATCACTCCAATATAGGTATACACGTCAGTCGTCACAACTTGACTAGAGTCAATCTCCGCAACCCATAGTTTGCTGAGAGTACTATATAGGGCTGGCAGAACAAAGGCACCTATGTTGAAGATAAAGGAACCCCAATAGCTATTGAATCAAGGCCAGTTTCAAAATACCACCTGCATTTGGTCACTGAGTCTTGTATTACGCACGTTTGGCGGCTCAGGTGCCCGCGAGCCAGCCGGAAATAACCTACGAGGCTACCAGACCCGCTGGCATCTGGAATTTGCGTCGAAGCTGACGGTCCCTTTGCCGAGGTTGCCTGTCTTTCCATTGCTCGAGACGAAGGTGGAAACAGAGGGAAATAAAATATACACGGACAAGGCGAATAAAATATTGCCGATTGGTTATTCGGCAGGTAGCCAAACAACTGTTGATTAAAGGATAGCAAGAGTGTGAGTCCCTTTTGTTTGAGTGCTGATATACCAAGAGGGAGGAGAAGCACAGGAATACCTGAAGGGACCAGAAGAGGGGTATTGTGCACGACATTATTGCCGTCTTGGCCCTCTTGGGTATGTGAAACGTGATCGAACGTTCCACGCCCCCGCGCATGGCGTAAAATTACACGGCGGCTGTATCCGAAATCCAACAAGACAAGCCCCACATAAATTGGGACAAAGTTATTCCATTTCAAATACGACACGTCTCTAACCGAATACTTGCTAAATTCTTCAGCATTTATCAACCAATCTTCTCTATTTGAGGCTGCACTCAGTCCGGACCCTGGTCTCTACCTCGCTGGAAGTATGAAAGTGTCTTGCCATATAGTTATTCAAGTCAGATACAGCAACAGCAAACGAGACGAATGAGCCAAGAAAGTGTCGCCATTATTGAAAATGACACCGCAAGCCACAAGGTCGCAAATATATGTGGGCCAAGACTCGCCTCAACGCCGAAATCTTTGAGAACGGCTTGAATTGCTGCCTTCATAGTGACGTAAATCACTGTACTACCAACTGCAGCGCCCATAACGAACACACTCGCGATCTGATTTGCTAGATTAGTCCAATTCAGTTCCGGTTTTAAATTAACTTACGAAAGAAGATAATGCAGTAACGACATTTCCCCAGGCAGAAATCAGATTCACAACTACTAAGGCAAAGGTAGCCGCGGTTAATAAAAATCCGATTATATAGGCTGAAATTGACCATCTTGATAGGGTTCGGCTTGCTGCAAGGAGCTTGTCAAAACCCGGAATGATTGATGCGGCATCCTTAGATACTGAGCCAAGGATGCTTTCAAGGTCAAATGAGAAGGATGTACTGGGTGTCGTGCAATTAGTTCCCCCACGTGTATTCTTTTGGCAGTCGCCCCAGATCCCTATATTATAGGAGCTTGGGAGTTGTGTTTTAATTTCATTGGCCAAACTTTGAAGCTCTCCGTTCGTTTCAGTAGCTGCTGTTTTTGCGGCACTTGTTGCCTGAGATATAGCCGTTTGTACAGCACTAGCTGCGTTCCCTGCGATATCACCAGCGTCTGAAGTCACCGTGGATGGATCCACTCCGCCTATATTGATACTACGACGGAGATTAAGGGGATCAATGCTGGAAAATCCGGTTAGGTTGACCTGTTGAGTGGTAATATTACTTCCAAAAGATCAAGTTGACCACTAACCTTCATGAAGTACAGATTAGGAGGTGCAGAGGTCGAGGTGCATCCACTGAAAACAACCGCTAAGCAGATCAGAGTCCCAGACGAGAAAATCACTGGTAAAAGCCCACCCAAACGACCGATCATGCTTATTTTTGAAATATAGGAAAGGGTATGAACAAAATTGGAACACCTAAATGGAATCGAATATCATTGTGATAAATACTAGGCAGCTCGTGGCCCTTATATCTAGGTAAACTTCAAGCTTAGTCCAACGTATTCTTGCGGCCCGTGATTAGCAAGCCACCGAGTTTAGCCAGTTGGTAACTCACAGGCAGAGATCCTATCTGGATGAAGAACTATACCAAATTATAGTGAGGGCAGCACTTTAGCTGTAGCCAAAACATTCACTCGTTGCATCCAAAATGATATACATACAGTATGGCTGGATAGCGTTGCTTTGCGTTAGAGATGGTTACTCACTATAAATACTCCCCAGGCCGAGAATTGATAGATTTCAGAGATTCTTACCCCTTTCATTAGTATCTTTCACCTTTTAGTATAGTAGCTGAATCAAAGATCTTATCATTTCTGGATCCTTCATTTTGAATTAATTATTAAAAAAAATATAAGATGGTAATCCCAGATTTCTTCGTATGTTTTTCGGAAAGTATATATCATATAGCACTTGAGAAAAGAAAGGCTTTGCTACAGTATAGAGTACACACATACAATTCATTAACGCCCGGCGGCTGAGCCGAAAGGGCAACTAAAACTAATCTATCGATACACGTCCTAATATACATCTGCCGTGTCTCCTTCGAGCCCATACATGGATCCTTGCAGTATATGTGCTCCCTCTCAGCTGTCAATATCAAAGGGATCCCTGTGGGTTAGTAAGTTGATTAGTAGACTGGCTTGAAGGCGCTTCTTCAACTGTTCAATATCCTATCTTCGGCAGTTGAAGCGCGTCCACCATTTGTGGCACAAGGTGGTAGGTGTAGGTTGGTGAGGGGGTGTCGTTGTGTTGGTTGACGTGGCTAGGTGGCGTCGAGTCGGCCCGTGGCGATCGCGAATCGTATTGAGGCTCGCACAGCTTCCAAGTCTGGTGTCCATTGCGGATTATCAGAAGGCGATTTCCCGCCCAGAAAGAAGGAGAGATTTCTTCGGTGAGTTTGGCTACATTGCAGTAGTGCTATTCGTTGTGTGGTCCACTTCCGACATCGAAAGAGGAAGTGTTCCACGGTCTCTTTTGCTTGTCCACATGCACACTGGTCCGTGTCTGCAACGTTGATCCGGTAGAGATAGCTATTGAGTCTGGCCATACCAGTCCGGAGTTGGGTAGTATAGAGTACTGTACCCAGGCATGTATGAACTTCTGTTTATAGATTAACCATGTATCTTTAATATAGGTCATCATTCGGGGATAGGACTTAAGAGTATATCCTCTCGAGATTAATTAGATCCAGATTCGTAATCTTGATGGCAGTCAAGTGACACTTACAACGCTATGAAGTGGTATGGGAGATGGCAGTCGTTCTTTTGTCTAGATCTTGCCTCGGGGCTATCCAACAGCTCATGTTGACGATCCTCACCTATATTGGTCGGCAGGCAAGCAGGCACTTAAGTTGATTTTATTGTACTTTGGGTAAGTCGTTTGCTCTGTGTCCGGAGTTTCTGTAAGGCCGAGATCAGACAGACTCCCTTGCATCTCGGACACCAAACTCTTAGGCTTTCCTTCAATGCTTCTTTTTACGGATTATTTGCAACAAGAAGGCCTTGCTCAGCTGCTTGTTCAACGATTAGACCATTTTATCTGTGACGAAGGTGCCGTTTCGGGACTGGGAATAGCCTCAGTTGTCTGTTTGCTTCGTGGGGAAGGTTTGCAGCTTTTGCCAAGTTGGGATGGTTTGCTCGTTTGCTGTGTACTTAAGCTATCTCTTCTCCCTGCTGGTTTTCTTCTTCTTCCTTGCCTCCTCAGTCTTGATACTTTCGTTAAATACTACTATGCTTATTTGATATCTTCGTGCCTGAGCTGTAACATTATCCATGTCTTTTCGAACTCTCTCCCCTGAGGTTTTGATGGCTGGGGGTACGAGAATCATGCAAGCGGGGTTGGAAGGCGGTAAGATTGTCATAGTTTATGGCAAACCTGCCCTTGAAAAGTCCGCAAACTTGACAGTTCAGGTTGGTATACACCTTCTACGTATGAAATGGTTCGAATGCATGCCACTAAAATCCAGTAGGTAGCAAGCTGGAGTGCTCAAAACCCAATTCTCGCTGCCTGCGCAGTTGTCGGCACCACCGGAACGATTATTCTGGCGGCTCCTGGCCTGGCAACAGGCCCAGTACTGTCGAGTTTAGGCTTTACGATGAACGGTACACAAGCAGGTATGTGCAATGTAGAAAAGTCAACAAAATGCTCTCTATCTCCTGTGCTATGAAACTTGAATAACCATTTGTTTCCGAGATACAGGTTCTGCAGCCGCAACCGCCCATAGTTGGATCGGAAACATTGTAGCGGGGAGCGCGATGGCGATAGGACAGAGTGCTGGCGCAGGAGGAAACGGCTTGGTCATCGTTAACGGAGTTGCACAGTTAGGAGGTGCTGCGATGACTTTTGGAAGTGCTGGCCTAGCATGGGTCAAGGCTCAATTGTGAGCCCTGATCCATTTCTTGAGGCGTAGTGGGAAGCTCTAGAACTAGTCCGCGGCGGCGCGGCAGTTCTCGACCTAGCATTATCCTTGCACTACCATAAAATTGGGATATGCTACGAGGGGGGAAATAGAAATCTGTTTTCAACCTACAGCTTACCTAAAAAAGTGAGAATGAGATGGCACTCCAAAATGGGGAAAAAAAAAGCGATGAGCCAACCACACAAGGCAGTAGTAGCCTACATGGTAATCTTCTGTGTCATCGAGTTTTTGATACTTTTTTGTCCTGCTGGTAGCATACGTCCGTTTACGAATTTCTTTGACCCTGATGGGTCTCTTATTAACTTAAAGCCCCCAAACATGCTGATATGCGATGTGAGAATACACCAAAGCGGAACCCTGCAACTACCAAGAATGATCCTTACGACCACCAAAGCCAACTAGCCCACTATAACAGGACATGCCACCTACGCGGACCTCCCCTGGCGTCAGACATGGCCACTCCAAGATCCAAGGTTCCTGCCTAGACATAGAGTGACTATGCATAAATGGATGTTTTTTGTGGTTTGAGGGTGGAAGGCGGACGAGATTGCCGCTCCCTAATGGTGAAGGCAGTGGCCAGCTGGGTGCGAAAGTGACTATGCATATACTATATAGCGGTTATTACCTGAACATAGGTAGTGTTTAATAATCACGACAATAAGGAAGGTTCAACGCTTTATCAGTCTGCTTCGCAAGGCTTGAGAAAGCCCCTCTTTGCATTCTCAGAGGATAAATGCAGCACATATTGCTCTTGCTGAGCGGCCACACGAACGAGAGGGTCAAACGGCATTATGGGTTTAGTGGCTTTCACAGAAACTCTCCATGTGGTGCAACTCTCGGTCCCAATATCATCATGGATTACTTCCCACTGGAGGCTGACGTTTGCAGGACCACCAGGTTTTAAGACCAGCATTTGGTTCAGCGTACCAGTCACTTGTGAGTAGTCTAGCCACAGATTGTCGATAGGACCGCGGATACCGTAGGTGGTACTCCAGTCTTCCGAAAACGAATTTTACCAGCAAATACGCCTAAAAAGTCTCCCTCGCGCACGGGAACAATGGAACAGGCGAACAAAGAGCTGCCATCTTTAGGCAGGAGAAAAGTGAATGCGGACTTATCTCCTCCAGATTCTGATGCTAATTGGTTGTCGAGGGGTGCGCATATTACATCAGTAGAAAAAGTCTGCAAACCCTTTCTCTTGAAGCGTTCTTCTTCGCTAGTGAAGGCCCATTCATTTTTGGCATTGTTCCAAGAGGACTCATGAACTTTCAACCTCTCTGCAACCTGGGGATTGTCAAGATCGGATAGGAGCGCCAGGTCACCTTTGCCGAGTCTAAGAACCCGCGTTTCCAGTTGTTCGATATAAGGTCGATATTGGGTCTCCCACCTTTTGATTGCGTCCACAAGGGAGATTTCCGATGTCTTAGGATATCCTTTGCAGTAACTGTCGAATTCTTTGGTGCGGTGATAGAGGACTTTGTCGATGCCGGCTTCACGCATTTTGAATAGGTTTTTCCAAAAAATGCGGTGTTGCCGTTGGTTTTCTGCACCTAGCCCGTATCCAGCATCTTCCATGAACTTCTTGGTTGCAGCCTTTTCCGCCATAGTGAATCCGTCGGCAGGTCCTTTCGCGGGCGGCAGCTTTGCATGATCGATCAACGCAGCACCCTTGAGAATGATTTTCCAGAAAATTGTTTCGTTGTACCGATTCTGCACACCCTTGCCCATAGCCAAAGCATTGTCCCTCTGAATAATGCTGACTGCCTGCTCGTAATTATATTCGGCAACCTCATCAGCATATTTCCGGATCTTGTCAGGATCGGTCCTTGTTGGGGCCATGGTGGTTCGATGACCATATCGAGCGATCGCCGAATTTACCCTAAAACATTCAAACAATATCGAGGCCATTGCTCTCATTGTAAACGCGGAGTCTGGCTGATAGGACGAGAAATTGTCAACGGGGAGGTTCATAGGGTGGGCACCATTCACGTCGTCAGGCAAGGGCTATGTTAAAGGATCGTTAGCCTCGGATAAGTATGTGGAACAAGTTGTTCAGGTGGCAGAAGTGACATACCTCTTGATTGATACTCTTATAACCAGCCTCAGTTACATCAGCGATCCTGTCAGAGGTGGATTCATCGCCGCTCTTTCGTGAAGGCTTTGAGATCTGCCGCTTTCTTCTCTTCCTTGGTCCTGAGCGCGCCAGATTTGCATAGTCCCTTTTCTGTGCATTTAAAATTCTGTAGGATCCAAGCCCTCTGTGTGGTGAAGCTGGAGGCGTCTGTAAAGCAGACCCAGTGGTTCGCAACGGGGACTCTCCTGCATTGCCGTCCTGGTTTGCCAAATGAGCCTGGAGGACTAGAATCACAGTCAACACCCATATCATTAACTAAACCGAGTATTCGACGTACCGTCATTGTCGACTTTAGAAATCAAGGAATCAATATACTCTTCGTTATGGTCGATGCCAGAAGTCGTCAATGCGTCCCGGATAGCCTGGGCTAGAAAGCCTCGGGTGGCCTCGTCCATGATCCTTGGAGAATGCGATGCGATCGAGGGCGCGCATGCCTCCTGCATATAAATACAAGCCGCTTCCTTTCTTTGGAACTTTCGAGCAGACTGATCGACAAGCCAGTCCACCTGGGTGGGGTTGTTGACAGGTAGAAGCCAATCATGTACCCAGAGTGTCTCCTTATCCGAGATTCAGCAGTTCGGGGGCGTCGATCTAGACCACATTGTGAGGTGACGTCATTTTGTGGTCCCAATCAAACCGACCTCCCTAAGCAGCCCAACTCCCCCCAAAAACCGCATCAGCACTGTCCACGGCGTTCAATATCACATCGCAGCTTCTTGTTCGCAGATTGAAACAACGTTGGCTTTGCAGGCTTGGTGGGATTGACTGTTGAATGTGGTTGGGTAGGTGGCCTGCTTTGTGCCACGAGTAACGAAATTATTGGCGCAAAATTCGGAAGTAGTTCTCGCACTGGAAAGCCTTGGAACTCCAAAAACACATAGAATGGGATGAACAGGGCTGGTAGAAAAAAACATCAGCTCAGGCCCTAGTGGATAAGACCATGAGATGAAACTGAATACCTTACTCATCGGCTTGTTGAAGCCATCCCATTCGTCGGTATCGATTGAGCAGCTCTGCACTTGGAATGCTTAAGAAGGCGGCTCAGTCAGGAAGAAGCGAAAAGCGTTGAAGGATGAAAGTGACAGAGGACTGTTTTTCAACGGTGACTCACCTCTAAAGGAGGTTCTAACCCCACTTCTTCGTCACGCTGATCTGCATCACGTCATTTCCTAATAGTCGAGTACCTCCCACTCTCGTAGCGTCAACTCAGCCTTCAAGCCTTCAAGTCAGCCTCAGTGCAAACCCCCGATTTGTAACCCCTTTTACTCCGTTCCTCTTTTCAAGGCACTTCAAACTTTGAGCTCATTGTGGACGACTCCACCTCCTCCCCTCTCCCCGGGCTCCTTCCATTCTTTAGAAAAGGCCGACAGTCTTCGTGCTCAGTTTATGCCTTATTGCTTTGTCGCAGGGAGCTGGGTACTTCGTATCATGGTCTATCTATAGTCAGCCTTCACGGCTTCTCTGGTTTTATTACTACTGATGTATTAATACTTCCGAGAGTCCCTGGGGTCCGGATTTTTCTCTGGTTTTTATACTACTTTAGTTTTAATACCAATGGATCAGTCTCATCCCCGCCATGTGGATACATCATAAGGAGCTACTTCCGGATTGTTGTGGCTTCCCTGAAGGCTGGCTGCACGAGTCCAGGGTTAAGCTTAGCACCGCAGCCTGCGGAGGGGTATTATTGGCTTATAAGCCCCATCGCCAGTGGCTCACCATGAAGGCGAACCACTGAGGAACGGCCTCTGGGGGAGGGATTGCTTTCCAAGAGATGCGGATCCTGCCTCTTTAAAAGACGAGAAAATGAGAGTTGCGATGCCAGCTCGAATACTAGTTGAGAACCACGTCTTGGATTGTCCGAGAGGACTTTTGTAGGTACTGTAATGTTAGTCCGGCCGGAGTCCCTCCTGCCCGAATGGCCCTTCACGCTTCCTTTTTCTCCTCGTCGGGAGGTTCACTCTGTTCGAGTTCGTCGATGCGCAGTCCTGAGGTGTCATACTTTCCTGGTCATACTTGCGAATGGCTTTCCGTTGGGTTAGAGGGAAGATGAGTCTTTCACGTGAAAAATCTGAACTGCTCGTTCCGCCTAGAACTCCTTTCCCACTCTACCAATGGATGGATGGATGGATTTCATTTACCCTGACCCTTCGCAATGCAAAGTTGAGACCCTTGATTAAGGTACAAGCGTGATAATCATTCTCTAACTATACGAGTAGGCGCAGCTATTTGTAGTCACGGTAGCTGCCTTCTGCCCAGAGTGGTAGTGCACTACTATATCTATACATCACGTAATCTGGGATCCAACTTGCAAAGTGATATGCAGGCTACAGCAACTATATATATATCCCTGTGTGTACATATAGAGTGACCAACTTCCTGAAAACGAACTTAGAGCCTCGTCAAGGCCTGTTGTGGATAATTACCGCTCCCACTGTTAGGCTGCCCTCTCGGCGCGTGACTCACTCTACCAATGTCAATGCAAATCAGTTTCTCTTGGCCGCTGATCTTGATTGGCATCGCTCATTTCAATCGAGGAATAAATGGCTTAGGTTTCATGGTTCTCGTATCATCTTAATAGATTCTCAATAACTATCGTCCTCATGGCCACCGCATTCTGAGTTAATTCTTCTACAAGCGGCATCGCTTGAAGGTGAGCAAAGTAGGATAATACTAAGCTCCTCATTGGTCCGCACTGCTATCCCTTTCTCCACATTGGAGTAGCAACCTCATGCCTGGCCATCTTCCTTTTCGACATTTGACTCTGCTTGCCAAAGGGAATGGTATTTACAATTGAGGAAATTGTGACCTCGCAAAGTCGGACGCCAGCCTTCAACGATCTTTTTACTCGAAACTAGAGGGGGCGGTGGGTGATGGGACATAGCGGTCCAAAACAAGGAGCGTGTTTTCCATCCCTAAACCATGGAGACCATGACGTCACCAAAGAGTGTCGGCCATTCTTGTCTCGCAATAGTCAGAGGCCAGATCAAAGTTGTCTTTGCCCGAGGCCATGACAAGACTACAGCCCTGTTAGGGCAGAGCCATCCCTATTTATCCATTCCTCGAGGTAGCTAATCTGAGCTATTTGCTGCTCACTGCCTTCACCATTTGGAGGCAGCAATCCACTCCCCCCATAGCACATCGCAAACCAGTTACTCGACAAGCTTCGCAACAAGATCAGAGGCCATTTCCCCATGGTCATCCAAAATATGCCGAAACCGAGTATTCTCAACCAGTGTTCGCGCCTCACACGAGATATAGTCAATGACCAACATTCTCAGGGAATAACTCCCAGCTGGCTCTTGTCTACCTGTCTGCTCGTAGGTATATTCTAGCAGATCAAGGATGTGTGCCATACTTTGCCCGTTAAGAGAAAAGTTGCAAAGGTCACGATGAAGTGAATTCAAGCACTGTTCTCTTAATGGATCAATAAGATATCTCGTCGCAAACACATATAAGTTTGCATGTGCAAGAAGGTCGGGGTTGGGAGAAAATGTGGCCGTATCTCCAACGAAACTTAGATCTCTAAACTGACTCCATCGGCGTTCATAGGGACTTTCAACGTAAATTGATTTCGCGTACTCAATCTCCGGTGGAGGTGAAGAATAATAGCCCTTTTTCTTGTTTTGCGCTTTCTTGGAAGTTCGGCTTCCCCACACGTAAGATGTAGCCTCTGGTTCTGGCTCTAGGTCTTGACGCTCAGGCTCTGGTTCTTTTTGTGAACTGCTGCCTTCCAATTGACCTAAATTGAATATGAGCAATTATTTGTCCGGTATATTGAAAACCAGTACTTACTCTCTGCATCAAAATGACCATCGTCTTCTTTGTCTTCGCGGTAAGGTGTAGTATAATTTCCTTTGTAACTGTAACGGGCCCATGCCTGTATAAGGCCACGTGACCGTGGCCTTCCGCATTCGGTAGTATGTTATCTCGCGGAAACGGCCCACTTCCCTTTCCTTTTGCTTAAGATCGTTGTAAACAGCATGTTGGCCTAGTACAATTGAATCAATTCTGCTACAGCCCTTCACACGCCGCAGACAATTGACCAGTCGGATCCTACGAAAAGCCCCTCGCGTAATAAGCGCACGGGGGGTACTGCATTCAACCGTTAAAGATACATAACTTAGAAACCCGTTGTGTATATAGTACAGCGTGCATTGCGCATACTGATAGTCACTGTACTGAAGTGATAGCATCATTCAATAACCCACTGTACTTAGTCACGCGCGGAATGAATGAAGTGACTTGATATCTTGACACCTCGTGGCAACAAAATAATTATCAATAAGCACTGATGAAGGCCATTTCGAGGAAATGCTCTTCGCTCTAGTAGACCCGCATGGATGGCCCCTGCCTGAACGGCCTCCCGTTTGGTCCGCCTTCCATAATGACGGCCTTCCGCATGGATGGCCTGTGCGTCTGCGGCGGGAGGGGGGGTATGATATATGTTTGGCTAGATTGACTTCCTGTCTGATCTGTGCCGAGGGCTTGGTGGAGAGTCCCCGACGCGGTCAACAGCATGACAACCTTGTTGGGAGGACCTGGAGAGGGAGCTGCTTCACATGTCATAACAGTGGAGGCTCTCTTCATTGGGCCACGAGATGCATTGATGGTGCTCTAAGTTTGTTTTGGAAGTGGTACACAAAACATATGTTTTGAATTTATATGTAAATACGGTAGCCTGTGTATTACTTCGGAGAGGGGTTAGAGAAAATTCAAACTTACTGACACATGCTGGAGAGGTACCTCTAGAAATCCGAAGAGTTTCAATTCGATCGGAGTTTTGACATCTGTTCTATTGGTGATAATTTACGACCCTTTGAAGAACAAGTGAAGCCGAAGTTCCGCGCCGCCCCCTGTGATCCCTAACTTGGATCATCTCATCAGTCTTGTCAGAGCAGTAATCCATTGTGAAGTCTTCTCTGCTCGCTCCCAGAATCGCAATCTGCAATACAGAATTCCGTGGCTCTCCCGAATCGAACACAAGAAGTATCATGCGAGTCCCGCCCATGCCCAAAAAAAGATCAGACTCAAAGTTGACAAGCTGGCCTCGAGATTCATCGGGATTTTAGGACAGAGAGTTGAACGTTATAGACATTCTGGGAAATACTGAGCCAACAGACCCTTGGAAATTTCGCTGTGTTCGTCGTGATGACATGTAGGAAGCGCGATATCTGTTGGGTTCGTCCCAGACAATGCAAGAGCGGTTTTCTCGATTCCACACCGCTTACGGACAAGCAGTTGAACGAACCTTGCTACTGGTGACAAAAATCAAACTAGCTGTATGGTATCTCTATGGAATATGATCGAATATAGCCAGGTCTGGTTCGCTCTTTTGGATGTATGCATTTGATAAGACTTTTCTTCCTTGGGTTCGTCCCGAGATCTTGATACAAACCCAGCATCAGGGAAGTCAATCGCTCATACCTACTCTTACAACCGTTGGATATTGGGCAATGATCACATATGTCAAGTTTTTACTGCAAGGATTTTGCTCCGGCCGATGTGAGATCACTAGGTTCTTTACAGGTCACATGTGCTTCCAAACCATTGTTGATCACCGAAAAAGGTACATGAAGCTATACCCTTCGTGGGGGTTGCAATCCTTCCGTGCGGAACCACCGTTCCTGGAATAGCGGATACTCGAACTGCACAGGCATTGATCACGTATTAAGTTACTCTTCTGCACTAAACCTTCACCACTTCAATACATCGCATGAGACCATGGTGATAGCTGACATTAGGCCGGATGTACCTTCTAGTGGGGCTTATCTACGGATGAAGCAACGTCACGATCAGTAAATTACATTGTCTGCTTCTATTGGACCGTACTATCGAGATCTGCAGAAAATGAAAGAGGAATTGAGTTATAGTGTGTCACAGTGTAAATTGCCGACGTTATCGGCAAACGTTCAAAAGTCATTACTTGGTCGTTTGAGCGCACTTCAAATTAAGAATGTAATTTCCTTCCCTTCTCAGAGACACTCTTTGCGGCGGATCAATTCCCGGTTGATTATTTCACAAGGCTCACCGCATCTTTGAAGTTTTCAGTAGGTCGAAATACTCTCGATTTGGTCTAGCACAATGTATTCGCTTATACAGGCTCGAGGATGGAAATCTTCGAGTGCGTTGAACATGTCGAAAAGCTTGATATACAAGCGGCAATAGAGCATACTCGTCGCGCTCATGTTGCCTTCATTAGACGCCCCGGACGTATTGGGGAATCTGATGCAAATCATCACGTGTGGTGTTGCTACGGCTATAGCTCCAATTTCAAGGATCACTGAAGTTCCGATTCCCACCAAGCAATGTGGCAACATCTCAAAGCCAAACACGACGAGATTGTGAACTGCATAATCTCTGTTGTATAAATCAATACTCGCAGAAGCGCTGGAGAAAAAAGGAACTTTTCAAATGCCGAATATACGGAAAGAAAAGGGGCATTCAAATACCTTTAAACCTTCAGGGGTCTGCTCAAATAGGCAGTCCACTCTCTGATGGCCGTGAAAGCTTGTGTTTTCTCGAAACGACGCATTCCCCGCTGGGGCACGAGTGACACGGGGTGAATCCTTGAATCAATGCTAGGTTTGTGGATAGGAGCATATTGAACGTGAAATATGCTATAGCATAATTTGTGGCAAATCGGTATCGGGCATTGAGCAACTTACTGTATTATTAGGTCTCCGCGTCATTTATCACCAACAACTTCGAACGTGGCCGAGTCTGGATTGTGCTGGCAAAAGCCAGGTGACCACACAAGAGGAAAAAGTAGCGAGTATCTAGGTTTGTATATTCGATCATAAAGCCCACACCATCCTAGAACTGAACCTCCTGTTTTCGTACTTTGCCAACTGACCCGAGACTCTTCACGGGGTATCATCCCCGTACATATTCTACTAAGACCGGTCCGTTAGTTTAGATTTATAGACAAGTATGTCATTTTGGTCTGCATCGTCTCGTAAACATTCCATATGATACCCGAGATTCAGAGTTGTCGGACGGTCACGCTATTAGAGGTCATATAGCGATCATACCTCGCGGCATCTCTTGCAAACTTCGACCTTGAGGTATAATAGTCTCCCTATTCTGTCGATATTGAATGTCAACTTGCGGCGCGTTCTCAGAGTCTATATAGTAAATCAAACATTGACTCAGTCTCTGTATAGATAGAAAGACATACAGACTCCCAAGACACGGTCACAATCTTATCCTGCAAATCAGGTACCTCAGAGATGCTCTTCGTTGTGAAATAACATCAATGCTCCACGTATTGAGAAGAAGCTTCGGATTATGAATTTAGATTTTGAACGTAGATCGACTGGAATGCTTCCGATTTCATCGACCACTGTTATTTTACTGATTTCGACTGAAGTCCCTCGGTACATCCATTAAGCTTCATGTTCCTAACCGCATCCAACATTTAGTAATGCACATCGATCAATTGGGACGCACTATTACATAGAGGCATCCTTGCCAGGGACTGCTGTCATGATTTTGAAGTGGAGTAGGCCTATAAAAAGGAACCTCACCCTTACTTTCTAATCTCATCTACAGGTCACGGTTCTGCGCTAAGCTATTGACAACGTCGACAAACCTCTCGCAATTGATTTCAAGAATTTGAGATGACACGCAAAGGACGAAGAGTCACAAAACTCTGGTCGCTTCACCCAAGTCTCCATCCAGACGTTCTACAAATTCTCAACGAAGAAGGAATTCAGATGGAATTTCTAGATGTCGACGACGAGACGAACCGCATCATGGAGAAGGACACCAACATCATGGGTCGATTCGAATGCCCTACCAAGGCATGTCACTCTCGCGGTTGGTCGAGTAAGAAAATTGCAATCACCATTCGGTTGTACCCTGATCAGCAATACAACGTACGGGTATATCATCAACGATGCAAAAGCTGCAAAACAATTGGGCAGCTGACCTTGGACCGCGAAAGCTATGTAGAAAGAGTGGTCTACAGGCTTAAAAAATGGAGCGGAATCAAGGTAGAGTCTCCAATATTCTCTGGTCTGAGCAGAGGACCCCATGACAGTCAATTATGTGAAGGTTGTCAAGCTGGTCATTGCTCCAACGTTCAATCAGGTCTATCGTCAATGCTAGCAAGGTGAGCTGGGCACCAGAGAATTTCAGAAGGTGGCTGATTGCCTCTCTCAGTCTGTCTATCTAGACGCGCCACACGGCCCACATGCAAACGGTATACTCGTGATCCAGACTATGAATGCCAGCGGTGGGGCGTATTCATAGCTGTCGAAATATTATTACAACGGGAGACTTCGATTCTCATCAATTGTGATCTTCATGCTTAACAGCAGTCAACAAGAGGCATGCTACATACCTGCAGACATCGCGTCTTTGAATTCTTTCAGGTTAAAAAGATCCTGCATTGCATTTATTTTCCACCTTCCGAAGTCCTCGTCTCAAGATGTTACGGACCTCGTAGTGCCGCGAATATTTATGGACAATCGAACACCACGCCATAGCACTTATGAACGACCCTGTGACGTGTGTTTTAGTCTACTGGGACGTACCGCTAGGACAGGAAATCATGTCGCGGCGTGGTGGTGCTTACTGGCTCGAGTTTGGTATAATTCGATTATTCAATATGAATACACTACCTTGACTAGAAAATCCAGCTTTGCGAGCTTGAAAGAAGATCATTTGTAGCCTCGGATAAAGGTATATGCATAACGGCCCAATCTAGAGCTATCACCTACCAATCCATTGACTCCTTGGTCATTCCACTAAAGCTCATGGAATCTGCTACAATTGTCGATAGATGTGGGTCGACAAGTCGGTAAGACGAGCTTTGGTGTAATACCAGCATGATGGGGAAGAAGAAAACCTGCACAGACATGGCGAATAAGGTTTCTCAAAGCGTAAATTTTGCCGTCTGCTAGGACAAGTGCCTTGAAAATATAGGGAAGTTCATTGCGAGTATCACAAGTACTCAGTATAGACTTGGCGTAATCAAGCCAGTTGGGACTCCTGGCCTTGCGATCAGAGTTCACCCGACTGACTACATCTTCATGTGTAAACCCTGTCGAATGAAAGCTTGCGAATTGTCGAATACCTAGATCAAGGGCAATAAAAGAGGTATATTGCTTTGCAACAAATACGTGTAGTATAAATACGCGCCAACTTGTTTTTCTAAACTGATAGTTACTGGCACTCAGATCCTCCGTAAGTAGTTCAATTTGGGACGGATTCATCGGCTTTCGTAAGTGAACAGCTCGTATGGATAGACGGCTGAACAAAAACGAAACAGCTTAAGAGACAAGCGTGGGCTTCTCACAAGGTAGGTTTCTGTATACTCTGATTTGAAAAGAAGTGATTGACTAAAGCATGAAAATGGAATCGGGCCCGAGTTTGGAAGAAGGATATTATTCATCTACTGGAGCCTCATTCCCGAGGAACAGTGCAGAATTACCTTGCCCCAGTGTCTGTGCGGCCTTTTCCGGAGTAGCTGTTTTCGGAAATGCGTAAAGGGACAAAAGTAAGTTGTTCGAACGCAACTAGTTGTTGCGCTACCCTGCTGCGCTGGAGCAAACTTGCTTGGATCACCCCTGCGGCGACCACAATACGAATGGAGGCATGCAAAGTGCGGATATGACGGACGAATTCGAGGATTGTATTGCCCGTATTAATCACGGAATCTACGAGTATCACAGTGACCATGCCCTCCAATGATTTGTCGCAGATGTCTTGCAATTTCCGTGCGTGCAGAAACATTGCACTCGGAAATGCTTGACTGATTCCCAGCGCCATTGGCTCGCCGCCCCGCATCAATGCGACTATCAATGTTTCTGTCTCACGGAACAGGCGATAGCCGTTGGTGATATGACCTTGGACGTGTTGAAGGGGGTAAGATTCTAGGCCAACCACAGCCGTCAGATACTCCACGGCCAGGTATCGACCAACCTCCTCGTGTGCGTCTCGCAATCGTCGACCAGAAATAGCCGAGTCTCGCATCAGAGTCATGAGAAGCTTAGCAGTGGCTTTCTCCGTTGCATGGGATATATCAATGCGTCGAAGACGATTGTGTCGTGTAAAAATGGACTGAATCACGCTCGTACCCGTCAAATGCGCGAGAACGCGGGGAGGAGCGAGATGCGGCAGGGCAATCCGGCGAGGCCAGAATCCATCGACACCAATCAGCTTCTTATCCATAGATTCACTCCTGGTTGACTGCTCTCCCGTAACAACAATGACTTCATCTGCCTCTTGCATCATATTGAACATACTAGGAAACTTGAACGGAGAGAACGTCTGGTCTGTTCTTTTGGTGCGTTATCACACCCTGAAGCTTTTTAGAGACAGCGATGGCCATGAACGCACGAAACACCTACAAATAATTCTGATTGGCGGGCAGCATGTGATTTGTTCTTGGCTGCCCGCCTTAGATAGCCTCTCTCCCCTCCATATTCGATCGAACCATCCTTCTTTCCCTTTCTCTCGACCCTGCTTGCCTAGTTCCTACAAACTTCTTGCACTACGGACAGATGTGGGACTCCTTCTGACCAAAGGAATCATCCACTGTGCAATGTCCTCGCAGGAGTCACACACGAAATATGGAATCTTCCCGCCCCTGAATTCTAGCACAAACGAGTATCGAAGGAAAATGATAACAATGAAACGGCACCGTTGGTTAGCAAGCCGCTTACAGAAGCTCTTTGAAGCGTTCGGTCCTGCCTTCCTCTGCTTTCTTCAATCAATCTGCGACCATCTTGCCCCAATAGGGCATTTTCAAACAACAGGTCAGTCACGCAGAGTTTATGAAAATCCTTGCGCCAATGGTCACCTAGGATCCACGAAATCAATAGGGTCAGCTTAGAAAAATATTGCTTGAGATCCTAGAGCAGTTTCAAAGTGACTACTCCAGGAGAGTCTGCCAAGGAGCGGAGTCATTGTTGCAGTGCCTGATTTATAAAGTGGAAGCTCTACCGCCCCTGTGTTTGCCGTCGAAAGTCCCGATGTGGATAATATGCAACTGCCAGAAGGGTCCAGGGAGCTTCTATGCCCGTTGGATGGCAGGACAGCGGTGATGAACTTGCTCGAACCCAGTAGTTGAAGTTATTTTCGTGCATCAAACGAGACGTAAACTATTCGCTATCACTGAACAGTGCGCATAAGAATATTAGCACAAGGGCAAGATTATATGCATCACGGCCTTGTCAATTCAGCGCAGTCTGATAATCACCTGGATAACGAGGTTTGACTAGACGTACTTATACTGTACCAACTGATGAGTGATTTGCCACGCCGCGACAGCATTGATTCTTGAAATTTTTAGTATGTCTTTGTATATATTTTGACATCTCTGGGCTTTGAATATCCATCTCCGGTTCTTTTTTGTCGACAACTACGGTCTTAACTGGCTATACAAAGTATGCAGCCAATGTTCTCAGAGAAGTCGCCTCGTCACTCGTGACACAGACGTCAAGTCTTTATTTGCTAAGCATTGAATCGATCAAGATTCGTGCAAAAACCTACAGTAAGCGCCGTCTCTGTCCTCAAGTCCTCCTACTACTTAAGCCCGGATAGAATGGTGATCAGTGTGTCGGCAATGAATTTCTACTGGTTATTTTGGCCATTAATACTTCTCTTGTTTCAATCGTTATCTTTCCCGAACAGAGGCCGAAATCGTGGACGGGATCACTCAATGCACCAAGGCGGATAGGTGAGCCGCTTGGGCCACAGATACGCAGTTCTGGTTTGGACGAAAGCGACTCTTTAAAAATGGACAAGGAGGCACAGACTATAAGATAGCCGCACGAGAGTGGACTAGTAGGTATCCCTAGAAACTAGTCCTTGTGTCAACCTACAGCTTGACCGCTGCGAGCCACTTCTTGATAAGAAAGTCCCCCTACCTTGAGAAATTAAATACCGTAACGATCTTTATAATTAGTAGTGATTGTCGTAAAATAAAACCGGGATTACTTCTGTATTCTTTATTATAACAGCGTGCGCTTACTCTCTAGGGATGCTACAGCGAAAGCATTCAAGCTCTCAAAGGAAGGTCACAATATCCACTGTTAGGCGATTGTTGACATGAAGACGCGATTTCTCAAGACATGTGCGCTCTGACGCTAATGTAGAGCTATCTGCGAGAATCAAGCGTGAAGCCGGGGAAAGAAAGAAAGAAGGTTGAAGAGAAACCCTTGGAATAATAGGTCCTTGTCGAATGAGCTGTGCGGAGTCAAGGCGTATGAAAATATCGACCTGATGCACATACTGCTCCCAATATAGTGACATACTCGTAGAGCGGTTCTTTGCATTTATGTGTATACCACGCTCCCCGCCAAAACGCGGGATATGTATTCAAACACCACGTCAGATGTCTCATCCTTGACTGCACACGATAGTTTGTGCGCCACCCACCTCATAAACTATGTGTGTATACCTAACAACCTTGTTGCTCCACTTACAATCCAACATTGAAGGAGAGGACGGGGATCTATTTCATCACCGTTTCTTGGATATCATTGTGGTAGAAGATTGTGATTGTCTCGTAGATCAATGAGATAAGATCTTCAGGCCGCATCATCAGGCAGATCATCCACGGAATCTGGGTCGACGTCCATTTGACGTCAGGCACAGCCAAATATGCTATGAGGTGTTCTTCGCAAAGTATATAGTATCCAGTCACAGGGGCTCATCCCCTTGGGCATAATAATTCAGTATGGCTACTCAATTGGATGCGACTGTCGTTCAAGTCATTATCGATTATTCTTTCCGCAATACAGAACATCTCATGCAAGCTTTGACAGCAGCCGGTGCAGAAGAGGACAACCATGATGGTAATCGAAGACTCGCTCATCTTGGAAGCACTTTGCTCCGATTTATTTTGAGCCTTCTTGTATTTGAAACTGCACCAAGTCGAAGTAAGTTCGTTAAAAAGAAGGAGTGAATTGCGCTGAACATTTTCATAGGCGGGATAACAAAGCTCGAAACGTCCATCATATCGGTTGCCCAGCGAGCCTCGGTCGCTGAACAAAGTGGTATTGACAACTTTATCAAGTATAGCGAAAAACCGGGTGCACGATCCCCCAGGGTGTTAGCTCTCGCGATCGACGCCATAATTGGAGCAGTTTATGTCGACTCAGCAGACTTCAACGCTTCGTGGAAGGTAGCTTTGAAATTGAAATTAGTCTCCACCACCTGCCTCGGAAACTCTGCGTTTCTCGCACGGCCCTTGTCTGGTCTACACAAATTACCTTCATCATTCGCCCGAAGCAACACACCCGAAGACATGGCAAACTTTTTGCGACCTGTATTCAGCATCGGTACCCCATACGACCCAGATATGCGACCCTCCATTGGGCTTGATGGGACAATTGGCGCTGTGACGTCTGCACGTATACCTAGCCCGATGAATCAACTCTCGTACTACGAGTTACCGATAAGCGATGATACACAGCTTTGGACGTCCATACAGCGATCTTCGAGTAGAGACTACCTTCATACAGAATATACTGGTGATGCCATCAGTCGGGAGTCAGCTTTCGACGTTCGTGGAATTCCCCACGCACGAAACGACCTGTTTCTTGCTACCGGAGACAGTGAAGAAAACCGTGTCAACTTTTTCGATCAGAAAAGTAACCGAGCCCAAGTTTCGCAAGGAGAGCCAACAAGGGGTCAAGGCGGTCAAGCTCTGCTTGATGATGACTGGCTAAACTCATTTCTTGACGAAGAGAACAAAAGATGCCGGACTCACCAGTATCCGCTTCCTCTCGAAACTTTCCTTGCTCCGCGTATCCAAACGGCTCTGGTTGATATTGATGCACGTCCAAGGGTGCTAGCCAAATTCTTGATCCACGTTGCCAGTGCAGAGACTTTAGTCACCTTGCGAAACGTCGTCCTATCATACCGAGAACGGCCCCTATCAGCTTCCCTTGGAATGAGGCCAAGTCTGTCGGTCAAAGAACGTTTCAATATCATAGGCCTCCTTGACACCGAAATTGCTTGGCGCCGGCTGCTCCGGATGTACCATATCTTGGAGCTGTACAAAGCCTGTAGAGGGGCAGGGTGCGCGGAGAAAATCATTGTCACTACGCCTACCTCGTTTCCGACGCGAAAGCGGAAAGCAGGAAACCCACTCCATGCCGCAGAGGCAGAGATTGCAGAGAGAATGATGAAGAGCATTTATCCTGATGCCATCCAAGGCACTAAGGACTATGAGGGACAGAAGGCCACTTTAAAGCGTGTTCGGAAGCTTGGCCAGCGATTACATATCTTGGTAACCAAGTTCGGGAATGGCATTCTTGCCCTGATGTTGAACGATGACATGAAAGGCTTGCAAATATCAGAGCAAATGTGAGTGCATATTGATTGATTCTTGTTTAGACGGGTGGCAATGCTGAGTTCTTAGAAGGATCCTTGATTTGTCTGGTAACGATTTTGAAATGTTCACTGCAATACTCGACGATTCTCAAGGAGGTCTGCTACGTAAGTTTAGCCACGCAGTGCAGAGAATTGTGAGCCATTTGGTCCATGGTACTTTGCCCTCTGAGCCATTCGCGTTAGAGAAATGTGTGCCTGCGCATATTCTGAGCCTCCCAAAAGGCTCCGATGCACTTCTTGAACAGATTCAATAACAAAATGACGCCAATCTCGCGAGTGTAAAAGTCATGCGATGGAATACATGTGCTTTGTTCCAGTTCATAACTCTTCCTTGCTGAGCCGAGACAGTGAGGCCAGATATTTGCTTCTTGAGTCGATCGTATTTTAAATAGTTCTCCTCCAAGAAAATTCATCTTCTGACCTAACAGGCGAAGAAGATCTGCGGGAGAATCCATCTAGCCATGCCCTCAGGGATCTGCAGGGAGGATGATGTGCTATTACAAATGCGGTATATTCGTGATGTGGATATTGAAACCCCCACATTAGGTAAAGCGCATGTCTTGCAACCATCGTTCCTGTTTAGAGCAGACGCTTCACGAGGAGACCTCATTGACTCCTCCCTATCCCCTTAGACCTGAATCTGACACTGCCTAAAGCGCTATCGCGTATCATTGATGCGCTTGAAAAGGGACTGAAATAGGTACATAAGAAAGTCGGGCCGTGATTTAAGCGCTTGTCAAAATTCGGTACAGCTGGCTTGGTTTTTGGCTCTATGCCTTCAGTGATTTTGAGTCATTGCTTCTTTATAAAGACCCGAGTTCCCACAGAGATTGACAAAATTGCCAGATGGACCAATCGGGTCATTTGAAACACCATCCGGCAAGATACCTGCATGGCCGTCTCTGCAATATGGCGTAGCCACGATTTTCTGCATCTGTCACAGCTGGCCCTTCTTGGTTTCCATGAAGACAAGATCGATGTCTATTCCGACCTCTTTTTCCACAGAGTATCCAGGGAATGGATGACAGTCTTCAATAGCTCGGGCACCGCTGCATTCATCGTCACCCAGTAAATAAAAATCATATTTGCAGACGCACTAGCAGCCCGCCAGGTACCCTCGGTAATTTGAGTTCCGGAATTTCGGTTTGACAGCCAACTCACTCGTTAGATCGAGCCCTAGAGGCCTGAGGCCTGGAGCATGCCCCTGTTGTGAGATACCGCATCACGCCAGTGTCTGACTCTCCATCAGAACGATCGAGGCCATTTAATATGCGGTGCGAACCCCCCCCCCCCCCCCCCCCTCCCACGATACGCAGCGAAATTGTGTGAGCGCGTGCGCCAATCACGGCTCGAGCGAGTCATTTACCAGCCGGCACCAAAAAGACCAGGGAAAGGGATAGGAACCAAGAATAATGCTGGTCACAGAGCATGGACAACGTCGGACTACCGACCAGAACTGTGACAAGACTAGCCTCTATCTCAATATTGTAGTGAAGAATACTGAGAAGAACAAAAGCCTGGCCATGCACTCAAAAACCACTCACCGTGAACGGAGGCCCCGAGGAACCTTCGATACGTGTAGACCCCGACGCGGGTTCTACCAAGACCGCTTTTGACTTCAGAAATGTGCTCACTCGGTCGCTTTCAGCTTCCCCACACCTACTTCTTGTGGCGCCCACCAAATTCGCCTCCCGAAAGCATTCCAAGCCGCGACGCGTCAATGAGCTGTCACGATACTAGTTGCCGATATGGGTGCTACCAGTAGTCCACGTGTCGTGCTCGCATTCGACCACTTCCAGTCTTTGCAAAGAGCATCTGTGAGAAATACCTAGAAGTTTGTTTGGTCTACCGGAGCAGCTCGGTTCCAACCCTGTCCGGCCGCTTCGTAGCGCGATACACACCTCGTAACCTTTCAGCCTGAGTGAGGTATACATGTATTTTATATCTCAATGTTGTGCAAGAGTCTTCCAAGCATGAAATATCTTCATGGGCCTCGTCGGATAAGGACAATACGCAGTTAGGAGTGTCATATCGAATAGAATAGACTTGTGGTAGGAACGTAGACTAAGACGCAAGGACGTTTATGTCTGCAGCAGAATATCAAGGGGGCATCGTAAAAATTACGGAACACGCAGTCTGCATTGTCACCGACAGCACACAAAGACGAAGATACGTTCAGCCTTCACTCACCGCTGTCGACAGTAATTTTAAGCAAACTCGTGACGTTTGAATACCTACGCTGAAGTCATCCATTAGAGGAGTCACTCATGTACGTTGTCACGAAATGATCGCCAAATATTCAGTCTAATTGCCGGAAGTTTCTCGCTCCTTCCCTAACTGACGACTTGATGAAAGCAAGTTCTCCTTTCAAAATTTGGATGGACATCTAACCCACAGCATTTCTCTCTCAAGCGGGTCTTCTACTTTAGCTGAATCTTCTCCCTAAAGACAAGGGAGCAAGAGAATTTTAACAAAGTCCAACGGCACGATGGAGAAGCATGACATGTCGCAGGATCGCGGTCCTTCACCAGAAGGAGCAGTGCGTGAGTCACGAAATAAAGATCCGAAAGTATACATATCTCCCCACCGATAGTAGTACGAAGTACGGTGTTACCGATATGATATTGACCTTGCTTGAATCTGAGACAGCCCGTTGACATGAAGAGCTCCAAGTCTGCTCACGAATCTACTGGTTCTTCCATGCACCTACGACCTCTTGATCGGTGGACGAACTCAATTAGATTTGTTCCAGAATCCAATGCAACCCGCGTTGAGTCCGTTTCGACTCATGGCAAAACCGAGTCGTATATCGCTGGTGAAAAAAGAGTTACACGAAGAAAAAGAGGAAATGAGACCAAACAAGTGAGCGACGACGAAACCACTCACATCATTGAAGATCTGGACTGGGGGCTTTGTGACAAATATTGCGGCTGGTGCGGACATTGTATGGATGGCGTTGACGTCTAGATATGATTAGAGCTCAATTGCTAATATTTCTCGATTTTGAGCTTCGAAGAATGACTCTTAGTACCAGTCTGACACTTGAAGGAAGTCGGGTCCGTCCGCGCAGCTGGCAAAGGCACGAACCCGGCTTCGTATATCTGACTATGTACCAGTATCAAAGTTGACATGACTTGAATATGACCTGTGCAGCCATTTCATGAACTTCCTGCATATGAGCGTAGTAAATTCTGTGGATAGATAGAAGGATAGACGTAACAAGAACACCCAGACCAAAAATTGCTATTTCTCTGCACCTAAGTCTTCGCGTTCTCCAGAGGCGTGTTTGTTTAAACAGAATTGGCACGTTCCGCCCTGCCCGTCGCACGTGAGTATCGCCACGGATCTTTTCGCGATACGAGATCAAGCTTCACCGCAGCGACAGAGCTTCTCCCAGCAAAGAGCATTATCTTTCTATGGTGGGATGTTTTACGAGGTTGTGAGCATGGCAGCACGCCATGTCCGTAAGGGCAAGTCAATAAATCAGTGACTGTGTGACCGATAAAGCGATAACACGTCCTGATGCGAGTAAGATAAAACAAACCGGCATACTTGGAGTAAGAAATAATCATTCTCAGTACTCCTACGAAACTACAAATCATACTTGTGACATAACCATGTTTTTCGTGTAAAGGCAAAATGTCTTCTTCTATATATAACCTTGACAGTGGCTTCAAAACTATTCAATATGCTTTACGCTCTGGATAAGTCAGGGTAGTCAATCGAAAACTTCACTCTGCATGTGGCGTAATCCGAATTGGTAGAGTTACGCCAGAGTTGAATAAAGCAAACACTTCCTGTCTGGATCATGACGCTTTTGATCACGATGAGTTTCAAGTGCAGAAGTGACCTGCAGCGATAAGCGCGCAGCTGGTAAGTCAATCTAGAGGGTGTTAGATATGTCGGGTTCTATCGTAGCGGGGGGTTACTCAGCGGTCAATGCGAAGAGAATGATGTTGAAGTGTGTTAGTCTCGCGGATCCGAAGTATCGGTGATATGCTAAGATTCTCAGATTATATATTTTAGAGGTGTCCTCACCTACATGATGCTTTTAATTACAATCTCTCTACTTTCAATTGGCCAGAGCCACCCTCCGCGATACCATCGGCCCAGAGCACCGCGGTACATACGATACCCACATACTCTTTTTTCTGCATCGAATACCGTGTCTATATCACCAATGTCAATTCCAAAATCAAGAACGTTAAAAGGTCCCGAAAATGGCAGACATGAATATACTAGAAAACCCAGACTACTTCTCCTTTTCAATATGCTGGAATCAATATCTAGGGCGGCGATGTTTCTCCGGAATGAACTGTTCGGTAGTTTTTTGATGTGAATGCAAAAGCTCAATGTTAAGGTCCAGTATTTTAGGCATTAATCGATATTTATCAATATACACCCTTTTTCGTTCGTCCTTTCGATTCCTACTCATTTCATTGGATGCCCCTGTGTTCCTTCGATAACCTCGTTTGCTCCCCAAGTAGTCAGCAAAATCATTCCTGAAACTCCCCTTCCCCGTACAGATCGCAGAGACAAAAGCCAGTTCTCGTATCTGCGATACCAATTCAGAGATACCTAGCTGGTACCTTAAGAAAAATTGTACTTGCCCTATATTTGGTTTATTTTGTTCTTAGACAAATGGAGTTCAGTGCGCTATCACGGCCATAGGGGAGGCCCACTATGCGGGAGGCCGGCCATGCAGGAGGTATAAGGCTAATGTTAACAAGTACATTGCACAAATACAGTATCTCACCGCCAACGTCTGTTACAACAAACCCTTTTCTCCCTCAAAGGTATGCTTCGGTATTCTCCCCCACCAATAGAAACTGCGACGTGTCTCACGATAATCAATTCAGTCATGGATCTTTAGGGCTTCACCCTCATGTATCCGTTTCCAGTTAACTAGCACGAATGAGAAAGAGATGAGGTGATTTGTACTGTAGTTGCCTCTTGGGCCACGGCTGGGCCCTGGCTGTCCAGCAAGTGCATGATGCGGATACCGAATGCGTCCGTGGCATTGAACCATGTCCTAGGCATGACTGTGACCTAAATCATTTCCATCGACGACCTCTGCTTCGTCTACAACGGGGATGTCTTATTCTGTAGTTGGTTGAGAGCTATAGTTAAGCTGATAGTTAGCTAGATCATGCACGATCAGTGTTCCTAGAGTTTTGCAAGTGTGCACAACCTAAAGAAGAAGCGCAAGCGACCAAGCAAATATCCTCACCGAATACCCGCCAAAATGGAGAATTACACAGAATACTGGGGGACCAGGGTTTAGCAAAGGTGTATAACCTCTTCCCCTAATGTATCGCTACACCGTCTTCTTTCGCATCTTCACCCGTAATGACTATTTGCACTTTATGCAAAGACACCTCCTTATCACCGTGAATTACCATAGGGTCTGTAAACTACCGGTTATGAAAGTTAACACTATGGCACTACCCTAAGTCCTAGGGCAAAGAAGTCATTATAATGACAAAACCAATGGATGAAAGGCTATCCGCAATTAGGTTGCATTATTCATACCGAGCCACAGTTGATGGTTGGTCAATACTGCGTGGCCGTGACTATTCGATAAGAATGTATCCCTTGCACATGCCTACGACCCTTACTTCATAGGGAGTCTTACTCCCCGCAGAAATAAATGGCCACTGTGCGCAGTATATACGTAGTATATAAGGGTCCATCCATCTATTTACCTCTAATTTCGACTTTATTGCTATCAAGAAATTATCATCCTTCATTCTGTATACATAGTTCGAAATGGTTCTGCGAAACTTCCAGACGGATGTCCTACAGGATCTATGTTCTGCGGAACAGCTGGATCTTCTCAATTCGATCGATACTCTCCGCTCCCAGGGCATAAGCCACTATATCTCCCTGCCACAGATCATAGTCTGTGGTGATCAGTCATCGGGAAAGAGCTCTGTTCTCGAGGCTATATCGGGTGTTGGATTTCCAGTCAAAAGCAACCTTTGCACTCGGTTTCCTACTGAGCTCGTCCTTCGAAAGCATACCCATGTGGGTGTCCGTGTATCTATCGTGCCGCACCACTCTCGCAGCGATTTTGAGCAACGATCGCTTAGCGATTTCTGCGAACAGCTAGATAGCTTCGAAGGGTTACCCATCCTGATTGAGAAGGCCAAAGGAGCCATGGGAATAACGACCCACGGAAAAGCCTTCTCCAACGACCTCTTGAGGATCGAGGTGTCGGGGCCAGACCGCCCACATCTGACCATCGTGGACCTCCCCGGGCTAATCCATTCGGAAACCAAACAACAATCGGCGAGGGATGTTCAGCTTGTCCAGGACGTGGTTCAGTCCTACATGAAGGAGCCGCGCAGCGTTATCCTGGCCGTTGTGTCTGCCAAGAATGACTTTGCGAATCAAATCGTTCTGAAGCTGGCTCGAGAGGCTGACCCATTCGGGAAAAGGACGCTTGGCATCATAACAAAACCTGACACTCTGGCAGCCGGGTCCGAGAGTGAAGCGATGTTTGTGTCATTGGCGAAGAATCTGGATGTGGAGTTCCGGCTGGGGTGGCACGTCCTGAAGAACATGGACATGGATAAAGGCCAATGGACCCTGGAGCAGCGCGATGTCGAGGAAGCCAATTTCTTTTCGCAAAGTATATGGAAAGACTTGCCGACCTCAATAGTTGGCATCGAAAGCCTACGAACGCGATTGAGTAAGGTGCTGCTTTCACAGATCGCTACCGAGCTACCAAGCTTGATCAGAGAGATCGAAGACAAAGTGGACCAGTGCAGATCTCGGCTTCAAAGACTTGGTGAACCACGGATTACCATTGACGAGCAGAGGTCGTATCTTCTGAATATCAGTCAGTCAATCCAGGAGCTTGTGAAAGCGGCTATTGATGGGACATACAACGATCCCTTCTTCGGGGATGCCCGCTCGACCAACGGGTATCATAAGAGAATACGAGCCATCGTGCAAAATTTCAACGAAGAATTTGCTGACCGAATCGGCCGACAGGGCCATTATCGACGTATCTGTGAGCACACCGACGAACAGACGCCCGACCAGCACCAGCTCCGTGTTACCAGAGAAGATTATATCAAGCACATCTGCCATCTTCTCAAAAGAACAAGGGGTCGCGAGCTGCCGGGGACATTCAACCCCATGATCGTTCGTGACCTGTTCTTGGAACAGTGCTCTCCGTGGGAAAGACTGACCCGTGGCCACACGGACGGTGTGTGGGCTGCTGCCAGAGAGTTTCTCGCGCTTGTGGTCAAACATGTCACTGACGAAGCAACGTCAGAGGCATTAATTGATGAGATCATAATCCCAGCTTGTGACTCTATTAAAACCGAGATGAATGCCAAGACCGAAGAGCTGCTGATGCCGCACCAGAAGGGTCATCCCATTACTTACAATCATTACTTCACGGAAACGCTGCAGAAGATCCGGGCCGCACGCCAGGAAGATGAGATATCCAAAATTCTACAGCAATTCTTTGGGGTTGATTGTTTGAAGGATCCTTATTACTCTACCCATGCCATAAATCTTGAGCAACTTGCCAAAACGCTCCATCAACATTCGGAACCAGACATGGTGCGTTATGCGTCTATTGAAGCATTGGACTGTATGCTAGCCTACTACAAGGTGACTCTCCGCCCGTATCCTAGCGACCTTTGTGGATCTGACAGAAAATAGGTGGCACTGAAGCGATTCGTCGACGATATTGCCAACGAAGTTGCGGAAGGTAGACTCATGGCCTCTTTGTCTCGCATTCTATCACCTGTGACTGTATTCGACATGCCAGCAGACCTTGTCATGAAGATTGCTGGTGAGTCGAAGGAGAGTCAATCAATTCGTGAGCAACTCAACAAGGAGCTCGTGATCTTGGTGAGAGGCTCAGAGACCTGCAAACGCTTTGTTAGAACAAAACTGGACGGTATATCGACCTTACCGGTGACTGAAACTGAATTATGGAATCTAATTTTGGCTACAGGCCGCCTCGATGCACGATCAGACGATAAATATCTGACAATGGAGAGCAGCAGCGGATCGATTTGTGAGGAAATGGCACCGGAAGTGGTCGGCTCCTATTTTGCTGACTCATCAAGGCAAAGCAGACGAAATTCAGTCGTTGTAGAAATGGCGACGTCGGAAACAACGAGATCTAATATTTCCGATCCATCAACTGATACGCCAAACTCACCTGGGATACCTGACGCAACGATTGATGAAAGTTCATTCTCTAATGTTGAGGCTGTGAGTTCAAGCTTTGAGCCAGTGGACGTGGTTCCTGCGACCGTTGAAGAAACTGCAACCTTAAGCGATCATGAACCCACGACTAAGGAGAAGATGAAGAAGAAGAAGAAGAAGAAGGAGAAGAAGCATTTCAAGGATTTTGCTTAATCTGGGTGGAAGTAAGTGGTCTCTGGCCTAAAGAGCTTGATTTTTCTCAATTAAGATGTAACCAACTCAAATACGGTCACGTTTTTCACATCGAGAAACCAGCGCTACTTGAGCATCTCTAGGTGAAGGGGCTACATTTTCTCATTTCAGCTTAACTTCACAACCACGATCACTTTCCCATGAACAGTGTGTCACTACATAGCTGTGCCAGGATTAGGGGTACAGCAGTGGAAAATCTAATGGCTCCTTATATCTCTTTATTTGAATGAACGTACCGCATACACGCTGTCCAAATGACGCATTTTTTACATGAGGATCTCACAGCAGAAAACATTCCGTGAGGATGGTAATATTAAGCTAAAAAACAAGCCGAAGATAGAGATTTTGGGTATTTCACTCCACCTTGCCCTTTTCTTGTTTGTGAGTCCTGACCACCTAGAACACGGAAGTAGCGGAGCGAGTAAGCTTGCACCTCTGTAATAGGCCCGAGATGTGGTCTCGGAGGAAGATGAAAACCCACTGGACGATACGATCTGATGGGATTGGACGAAAAAACAGAACGAAAAATACAACCAGATATGTCTAGGAATAGGACAGACATACTTATTTGTTCATTTCTCGGTAGTTGCACGAATTTGGAGCCTTATAATATAATGCTTGCATTCGAGATGGAAACTATGACCAGCCTTTGGGTGCTAGCGCCATATGCTTTCCCTTGCCATTGAAAGTTTCAGAGTGCGAGAGCTCGATGCGGTTCTCCATCTCTTCCTCCACCTTCCGTTCCCACCTTGGAGTCATTCGTTGGTAGTATTCATGCCACAACCCGGGCAGAAGTTGGACATCCTGCGCACAGTACTGCATGATCTCAGCTGATAGTGGGCGGGTGATAAATACCTCGTAAGAGCCGCCATATTCTGGAGCAAAAAGCTTCCGTCCGCCGTCTTTACACGCTTTCCGCTTTGCTCTCTCACTAATGGTCATCAGAGTATCGTGCTCAATGCACTTGCCTAGTCCGTTAATAAGTCCCTTCGAGAATCTGCGCGGTGGAAGCTCCATTAAGTGAATGTCTTAAACTCCAGCTGATTTTATTCCGTAGTGGCTGAACAGGGTATACAGAGCATCCGAGTCATTGCGCACATTAAAGATAACTTTCGAAATAAATGGAGGATTCAAGAATGGAACGCAAACTTGAATCATGCGGAGTGGAATGAGAGAAAGCTTTGTCCTTGAGAGTGCAGATATCGACGAGCAATGTCTCTTATGATGGGGAAACAAATATCTGAAGAATCGAGATTGTGCTATGCCGAAAAAGGTTCACGCCCTCAAGGTCCATGAACAGAGAGAGGGGCCAAACAGGCAGTTTAGCTAGACCTTCTAAAAGCTCGTCAAGGCCACTAAGGGTGTTGATAAACAAGAAGGAAGGCTGTCATCTAAAGAGGATTCTTGAAAAGATTCTGTAAGCGTTGGCAGACCATCCAAATTAGACTTCGCCGATTCGTCGGATTGTAATTGATGTTGCGAACATGGCAGGGCCGGACAACCTCAGGATGAGAGGAAGAACATGGGAGAACATGGACACGCCCACCACGTGTGCCACGCCCACCACGCGCACCACCTCAAAACTTGGGATGTACTGTAGCTTCTTCTTCTTTCTCTTTTTCCCCTCCAGCTCTTGAGATTCTTGATACCACGCAGTCAAGTTGAATGAAAGTTTATGAGTCCTTCTAAAGCTTTTCTATCTGGCGTACAACAATTGAGGCTATTTAAGGTCTGTCTGGTACTCCATCGTCGGTATTCTGAGGGAATTCAGGAAGAACTTTTCCAAACGAGAGCCAGTTTGATATAGTACTCTAGGATCGTTGGCGCACAAAAGTCCTCCAAGATTATAAGGAGAATCTCTTTTATTTAGGGGCGTACAGATATATTGGGCATGCACATCGAATTCCAGGGCAGCTACGTGTTGTACGCCAGTTAGGAAAAGTTTCAGAAGGACTCATAAACTCTTATTCAACTGTCTGCGTGGTATTCGAGGATCTCAAGAGCTGGAGGGGAAGAAGAGAAAGAAGAAGGTACAGTACATCCCAGGTTTTTAAGGTGGTGCGCGTGGTTCACGGTATCTCCCCTCCGATACTGAGTTCTTCTGCAGAAGGAATCCAAGTTCGCAATCCAAGCCCGCTAACTCCCGTCAACGCGTGGCACACGTGGTGGGTGTCCCTGCCCTTCGAGACTGATTTCTTCTACAGAAGAAATCCAAGTCCGCGCTCGGTCACGTGATTTCGGTCGCTCCCTTCCGCTAAATCCAAGTCCGTAGTCCTCTCATGTTCTCAACACTACGCAGATCTATTCTCGGGCTTAGGTGGACAAGGGTCGGACATGCAAGAGAATTAAAAAATTATAGAACATAGACATAAATAGCCTGGAGTCAATCCTTTACAGAACCAAATCTTACAGGCATACAACTCAAGCATGCATCACACGTTGCTTTTACCACGTTTCTCAATCCCATTGGCGTAAGTGGCTTCATTATTCCCATGGTGCCCTACACTTCCGACCCTGCTATCAGGTGCCTCCTGAATATCAGTGGACTGCCGATGTTGTACGCCAGTTAGGAAAAGCTTAAGAAGGACTCATAAACTTTTATTCAACTGTCTGCGTGGTTTTCAAGGATCTCAAGAGCTGGAGGGGTAAAAGAGAAAGAAGAAGAAGCTACAGTACATCCCAAGTTCTTGAGGTGGTGCGCGTGGTTAACGGTATCTCCCTTAGTGCGTGTGGTTTACGGTATCTCCCCTCCAATACTGATTTCTTCTGCAGAAGAAATCCAAATCCGCGACCCAAGTCCTCCTGTTATGTTCAACAGCCGACACGTCGCAGCCACGCTGTTAAAGGAACGTAAAGTGGTTCGTTAATCATCCGAACAAACCCTCGAGTAGTCTGTAACGGGGGAAAATATTCAAAAGTTCGGAAGCATATTACCGTATTATCCATGCTTAGAATTTCAACATATTCCTCCCTAGTGTAAGAAGAGGTGGATCACGATCCAAATTGCGAGTTGTCAGTGTAAATTTAAATGATTCCACATACATACGCTGGCAATTTACAGTTCCTGGGTCAGTGATAGTTACGTATGGAGGGCTGTGGCCGACATAAACATTGATTGGACACTGGGAAGGAAACACACGGGCAGAAGGAGCCTGTTCCGTGGTTGCTAATTTCAGACTACTTAATTTAAAGAATGTCTGTAACTTCGGATTACACCTCGGTACTGATCGTGACATTACTGTGACAAATATCGTACGTCCTGTGGCTGCATGAGTCCAGTCGCATGAAGTACCCAGAAGCAAACTTCAGGGCCGTATTTTCACTCACCATAATATGTGGACATCAGTACCTGAATTTTACTTCAAAGATAATTGCCTGATTTTCAACGAAATATAAAAATCTGATATCTCAGGACCCCTATATCGCTACAGCGTTATTTTCGGTACTCTGGCTTGAAAGTCTGCGAAACTTTGAACGCAATTTGTGGTGGCCGCGGGAGAAACTTTTTATTCTTCCCCGCGATAGTTACCACTATTGCCCCCGCTGCTTCCCTCCACTCGGCGCGGTGCGAACGTTCGGGATAACAATTAGAAGCCGTTGAGGTTACCTTAGCTTCATCTATGTGATTCTCGCCGCTCACAATCTCGGTATCGCAGCAAAATTTTTGACACATACAGGCGCGCTCGACATCATTTTCACCTTATACACGAAGAATCTTTTCTTATCTTGAAACACGATAGTCTATCTTTGATTTACCCCACCGTATGGCCTCGATTCGTATTGTAAGCAAAAGTCACCACCATTGATGGCTGTATACTTTACTAGAAATACTAACATGATTGAAACCGAACCCTTCATGCGACCATGAGGCTACGCATATTACAAGGGCTGGATTTGCGCATTCATCGTTATGCCAGGTAATCAGAATTTGTGATGTAGGTCAGATTGACATGGGTTACACTTGTAACCTGTTCCATTTGTGGAGGCCAGACAGATGGAAAGCTTCAGATGGTACTAACGCGATATTCATTGAAGGGATACCTATTTTATTTGCTTGCAATCTTGCAACGAAAGCTCCTTTTCTGCCTTCTTCGCGACGTCGTCGATCTCGGTGGTTCTGATAGGCTTGTATAGGAACTTTTCAATGATCAACCTCATCTCGCGAGAGCTGAAAGCTCCAATATCGCGAGGTCTTAAGCCATGATTCAATGCTTCCTTTATTGATTGGTACCAAATTTCAGCATAGGATTCTTTCCAATCTTCAATGAAAGCTTCGGCTTGAACCATCGTCTTAAATCGTTACATGAACCTCCCTCCTCGGTGACTTCCCTCTCGGCCCCGTTTTCGCCGGTAAACCTTGTAAGCTTTCGTGGACGTCTCGACGGCGAGCACTTTGGCAGAACTTACTGTTAAAATGGATAAATACCGGGATTTGCCCCATTCGCAACCGCATGTAATCCATTTCCACCCCAAGGATTTGTATCTTCTGCTTCGCTCTTTATGATCTCCCTGGGATTAGCTGCGCCTATTCTTTCCATATAGTCGCGTGCTTCTTGAAGGGTGGGGTAGCTTTTGTTTAATGACGAATACCCTGTCATACGAGGATACGCATGTCCCCTACCATTTCGGTCAGATCAAGCTCAAGTTTTAAACCTAGGAGAGAAAACATACAAACCACGATAAAAATATAGTGGGCTCCTTCATCCGCCCTGTAAAGAGCGCGTAGTATTCATTGTTCCTTTGTTGCCGCGGCATGGCCGAGACTGATTAGCATAAGGCACGTTTGCAGGATTATTGGGATAGCGATAGTGCTTAGAACAGGAGAACAGAATGATAGTAAAAACATCTTATGACAGTTTTGTCACTCGAGTCTAACCCGATTCAGATCAGCTGACAGCTAGTATGTGATGAATTATTAGGTTAACCGATTCTGTGATTTGGCCGCGTGTACACGTCTGTTAACACTAATACATAAGGTGACTCACAGGGAATTGAACCGAGTGCCATGAGGGATGAGGAACCTCTAGGGTAGTCCTGTTACATATACTCGTATTAAAAGGTGGTAGAAATATTAGTCATGAACAAGATGTAGAAGTAACACGCTAACATTATCAGTGAGGTCTATCTGCGTAGAAGCAAGACTGTCAGCACTCACATATTTTATTCAGATAGACTTCTTTTCACTGAACTTCTAGAATGGATTGGCGCGATGGCCTTGTCGGTCTTCTCAATACGCCCTCCGCTTAAACCGCAATTACGTCATGGCCCACCTTTACGACCTGAGGTGTTCAGAATCAGATGATTTCAAACATATGGTTTCCATTTCGACATTCGGGAGGGGCAGAAAGGCATCATTTCGGGTTACCGGAGTACGAAGACTATTTCAACAATGTTAAGTGTTAGAAAAGGATCGCCGTCTGCCGATTCGTAGGCGGTGGAAAGGTGGTAGAACAATCCCGGCTTTTCTTACCTTCTCCAGCCTGGTGACTGGTTGTCAGGGGTGCTGCTCACAAAGTTCTAGCCAAGTCTTGAACCCCTTGTGAAGATGATGTGGTCCTTTCTAAATGAGTCGGTAGGATTCTCGACTCGATGGCTTTTTTTTTCATCTCCGGCTTTCCAGAGTTTGGCATTGCGTACGCATTCGTGCCCTTTAAAAGACGAATGGCAACCTGTCCTTCACACAAGCTTAGCGAAACTTGGGATGTCTGTCTTCTATTTACTGGGCGTAGGGTGATGAATTCTTACTGCGAAAGTTACAATTACCTCTAGTTACCTTCCCATCTGCGTATACACGATGGCGAATGCTCTCTACAGTGGGGGTTTCCTTCGAGGCGTCGCATTTTTCATCCAACGGAAGGGCTATTGAGCCGCGTCTGAATTTATCAAGCGAAAATAAGTGGCTGTTGGCCACAGGAATACATCTAACATCTATACAAAACTTGTTTTTATGTGGACTGAGAAAATCCGGAACGTTTGGTGCGAACCGTACAGCTCAACAATTTATTCTCGATGGTAATTGCACAAACGATAGACGAAGAATTGTGACCAATCATCTTTCGATTTTTTTTGCTCATTCTGCAGGGTAGACATTAATGGGCATTAATGTTGGTTGACTCCCCGCACCTCTCACTTACTCCCCGCACCTCTCACTTACCTTTGATCCAGGCATTGATGACAGCCAGTAAGTAAAGCCCGACTGACGTCCAACCAATCTTTCACAAGATGATTTTCATGCTTGCCCAACGCACTGTCGATCCGACCTCGATCAAGTAATTAAGACAAGTTAATGTTCATGTTCCGAATGCGGATGACCGCCAAGTTGCGGTGAAGGCCTGCATAGGATCCGTCTCTTTCTGCGAGAAGTGACTGAAAATTGCTCGAAATTCTTTTTGAAGGTTTCAATCCAGCTTCTGAGTGGTTAATCAAGAGCAGTCTGTAAAACCGCAGGACCATTGTTGCAATACCTCTTTGATGAAAATTCTACCATAACTTAAACTGCCATTGAGCGCGCTAATGTGAATATTTTATCATTGCCCCAGGGCTCTGCGGAACTACTCCCCCTGCCTGGGAGTACGTTAAGGAGTAAAGTAATGAAACTGCAATAGTCTACAGTAAAAAATCATTGACACAGAAAAAATGAACGGAAGAATTCTCTCCATGTCTGTATCATGAACAGTAGTGCTTCCTGAGATAGCGAGAATACTCACTATAGCCTCATAAGAACATTCCAGTCCAAATATCTTCAAATCAAGTGATTCTTAGAAAACCCCAACTAAGCCTCCAGTGAATTAGCCACTTTCCGTCCGTAAATGCCAGAAAAGGCGTCAATTTCTTCAGTACCTTGGCATATCTGGAGATCAAATCTGCACATTCAGCAGTTCCGTGATACAATCGGCATTTTTTGGGTGGCAATCCTGTTTGAAGAATCTGTGAGACACTCAAGTGTGCCCTCCTGCCCGAGCTGTCTCAACTCTCACGAGACTGATTTACTTTTCAAAAAAAAAAAATATATATCCAAGCAATGAAATCTTTACACAAATAGTGTTGTCGGCGGCTCTGGAGGGTCGGGAATGTGTCACTCAAAGATACGACGCCCCTTGCTACTCGCAGAATATATATATGATATTCAACACGTGGCCTCCGTTCAACTTTCTGAGACAGTCTGCTGAAACATAGTATCCTATCACTCTCAACGAAAACTTCACGATACGAAAAATTGCGACAGGGACCGAAATGGACCACACTTCTTTACAAGACATACAAGGAACGTCGTATCTATTTCATCATATCTTCCTACCTCCAAAGCTTCCACAGGAGGATGACTACTGTGTCGGCCACGAGTTTCTCCTAACGGATGTGGTGATCGATGCTCTTTGCCAATTCAAGTCCTACTTCTCTTCAGACGAGGCTGAGGTTATTGGAGTAGCTTTGACAATGATCACTCGACTGCGACAGGTTTACGGCCACAATGGCGAGGTAGACGAAGGGCAGTTTAATAATGCTCTGAAAGAATTGAAAGAAGAAGGTGAACTGTATTTCACCATTCATGGTACAGTCGCACTTGTTAACAAGAATCTAGGTGGTTTCCTGCCAATTTACGTCCACGAGCAGAATGCCGCTATCTTGATCAGCAATAAGGGCACGAGAACCCACATCGAATGTTTTGAGCTCTCTCCTGTAAATGAAGCAGTGATGTCAACGATGGGTCGACTTTAACGCACATTTCCTGGCCCGACATTGGTTTTTGATACCCCTGCCTTCAACGAGCCTGACTTTCTTACGATGTTAACGCAAACTATCTCTCTCATGAATCAACAGCCCGTTGCTGGTACAAAGCCGAAGGTTCGAAAGGCAGAACGCAAGCACGACGAGGACAGGGATACAACTGATCCGAAAATGGTCATCGACTTTCTCATGGCCTCACTTCGGCCGCTATCTACGGACAGCGTGGACAAACAAATTCAGAAATACTGTCGTGAAGAAGTAATGTGGCATGATTGTCGTTCTCCCTGGCGACGATCAGCTTCATGGCTTCTTATTCGTGTCGCACTTCGATTGGTTTTTTCCCGGTTTATGGGATGGGCGAGGACTGTCTCAGCTCTATAAGTCCTTTATGATCTATTTTATGGGCTCTATTCTCGACAAAAGATCCTCGACAGCCTCTCATGCTTCACCTTATGGCAGCTAAGGTTGTCCGTCGACTATTGAAACTCTCCTCCACGGAAGAGCCTGCGTGGTTTGCTCCGATCCAGTCAATTCTTCAGCGGGTGGGTAATATAACCCAGGCTGGATAGCAGCGCATCGTGGCCCAGAACGACCGCCAAATTGATTTTGAGTCTCTTCGAGAGTTAAAATTTAAAGAAAATACAGAGTGTTCCATGCCACAACTGGATTGCTTTTTACGGGACATGGGCCGAAGAGCCGACCAAGACCCGTCCGAGCCATTCCAACCCTCTTCGCAGCTTATTCGTTTTGAAGCCAAGAAGCTGCCGATGGGCTTAGGATCTTGCTGCCCTGAATATATTCTACAAAATCTTTGTGGTTTTGAAGATTGGGTCGACTCATGTCTCGGAGATTGGTTGGAGAGTCATCTTGAGGATGCCGCAACATGCAGCTCGGCCGTTTGATTTCTGAATATCACAAAGTGGCGTTGAGCGCATATTTGCACAATCCAGAAGCCATGTCTATGATGCTGCTCACGCTGTTGGAATTGTGGATTGCCTGCGACAAGTCAGCCATTCGCTTGCATCCACACTTGGGAGACTATGATCATTGTGTACCCACGGGCTGCTTCTACTCTCTCCTACTCCCGTTCAAATCACAGATGATTCGACTTGCCCATGCGGAAGAGTATCTCGATCATCGCCAGAGACGGATAATACACCCAGGCCCGGGGGTTTTTATGATTATGGAACCCGGTCTTGCTTTTCTGTTCGGTATTTCGATCAATCTGACGAGCACCAACAGCTACTTCGAACCATCGAAGAGCAGGCCAGCCATGACAGGCATCAAAAACGAGCCGAATTGGCACAGAAGCACGCCCATTACACCGACTTGATGACTTTAGCGTCTGAGACCAAATGCAAGTACGAGAGTGTGCTCCTGGATCGAAGGTTTGGTTTCCGCGAGACGAGGCACAGCCACTCCTGTCCATGTCATGGCTATATATCACGGGCCAAGTCAATAAAGATTGAAATCCATGAATGGCCGTTACCGACTAATTCACAGCATGCCAAGTCTACTGTCTTCGAGCTCCGAGTTCCAGAGCCATTCTCTGGTTGGAGGGATGCCACGCTGTACGTGCTTCACAATTGCCTGGGTGTTGCATATTCGAAAATGGAGAAGCCGAGATCCGAATATCGACTGAAGAATTATCAAGGGCTCTCCTCATTTTTCTCTTGCCCGACTGACCCCCAACGAATCTGTCTTCTATCACAAGTTAAACCTCATCAGAACACGCATCGTCGCAAGAGATTAATCATCCATGTCACAGAAGATGATGTGTGCTTGAACAATGCTTTACAACTTCAGTACTTTGACAACATTGCGGGATGTTTTGTGAGCAGGTTCGCGAGGAAAGAGGAAACCGAGAACTGGTGTACCTACCAGCTACCGCAAAGGAGCTCCACGCTTCAAAAATTCCTGTTTCGTCCATCTAGTCAACCACACGGTCCGTCGCCAAACACCGTGATTGCGACCCAGAATGCCGCACCTGTGGAAATGTCACTCGCGGAGTACAAAGCACTCGCAGCGATGCCACTTGGACTAGAGATTCAATGGCGAAATATTATTCTAGAATTGTCGATGCCTTCAATTGACATGAAAAGAGTGGAGTCGGCATTATTCTTCCGTCAGATTGTCCACCAAGCGGGTCTGCCCCGAACCAATACGTGGATGAGATGCGGTCATGCAATCTTGCGTAAACCGGAATTCACGGCGAGATTGCTGTCCTCTATCAGCGAGGTGGCGGAAAGGATGAAAGAGAACTGGAATCTGGTCCATGGATACCACACGCTGATAAATCTCCTTCTTCGAATACTCAGTCTTTCACCCTGTGAAAGTAGCCGTCGAAAATGTCTCAATCTTCTGAGTTTAATGCGCCGAAATTCTTTCCAATGGGTCGAAACTGTCAAAGTAGCGGCAAGTATAGAGATTGACGACGCGCGGAAGGTTGACCTGATTGCGAAAGCAGTCCATATCGCTCTGGTATGTGTCCAAACATTTGACACAGAAGCCCATCTACAGAGCTTTGATTTGCCGTCAGACGTGTCACTATTCCTGCGGTGCTGGATGACGATTTGGAACGGACGTGACTCGTTACCCTTGGAAGACGGCTCCCTACAGCACATACTGTACTATCGCTGGCAAGTGTTGTGCTATCACAGCCGTGCAGCACTGGCCGCGGCTTGTTCCATTATTTCCCATTCCCCAATGGACACTGCCATATCGAAGGCGTGGGCGGCATACCCAGCTGGTTCTACATGGTCAGAAGTATCTCCATCTGTGTCATATTGGCTTCACGCCTTATATTCAAAGCCCACTGGAGAGTGTGTCCGAACACAACAGGTACACTTTAATTTGCTAACGGGAGAACTTCTTGTCAATGGAATTCCACTCGCGCATCTGCCGGCTGAATATATGTGGGAACAAACATATCGCATCCTTTTCGGAGAAAGATCACAATTAGAAGTGATGCCAAGTGACCAGCCCGGAATGCAATTTTCGTGCCGAGCGAAATACTGCGGTCAGACAGTTCATTTGGGCATGACCCCCATCCCCGGATCACCAAGATCCGACTTGTGCGTCAAAGCGGTGAGAGATGACCAAGCATGGGTTCTTGTGCCAAAGAGGCTCTTCATTGAATGCTTCCCCGATGATTTCATTCACAATTATGCTCACTGGTACGCCATCGATGGAGGGTACATTGAAATCAGGCCTCTATTATCCCCGTGGGTATCATCCGAGCATCATTGGAGATTGCGCAAAGTGGACTGGGAGAATTCATGGCGTCTAGAGAATCGGGAACATTACCTGGTCGGCAGCAGAAGCAGGACCGCGAATACCTTGGCTGGCATTTTGAATCCCTTGGAGAAGCCTCCCGAGATTCATGGCCGGCTCGATAAGGTCAAATTCACGTTATATATAGATCTTCCGCGTTTGAGACTGGAGTTTGTCGTCCCTGAGCGCTCCACGACAGTCCAGTGTCGACAGTACCCGGGCATGATTATTGATGCAAAACAAGCGTGCAATGCGCTAGTCGGGTTATACAGTAAATTGATCCTCGCCCATTCCGACTCTTTTTAACGCATCATTCTCATACCTGAAGGCGATGTTGCTTGGTCATAGGCCGGCGATCATGTTCGAGTCAACGTGCGATGCGAGGCGCAATGGCATGCATATTCTATTGATGAGCGACTTGGGCGATTTGTGGATAATGGAAGCCTACAGAGCAAGCTATTTCTGGCTTATTTGTATGCCATCACTTCGTACTTCCTTCCCGATCCACTGACCAGGCGTACGGGCACCGAGCAGGCGCTTTCCATTCTGCGTTCCGCGTCCGTCCGATCATTCGATCGACTCCGACCGGAGAACGTCGCCATTCTCACCAGGATCGCTACCTTGACCCCACAGAGAAGATTTTACCCAGATAATGAGCAGGTCATGCAAAGTGTGGAGTGGAGACACGCTCTCAGCTGCTTGTCACAACACCCAGGGTTTTACGAAGAGGTAGCAGCCATCCGGGATCAAAATTTACGTGTCACCTTCTACTACCCAGGCGAAGAACCTGCCATGCCTTCTCTGCCAGGCGTGAACCAACACCTTTTACTCCGTGATAAAATTCGCACTTCGTCGTTCCGGGTTTCACAATTCGGCTCAGAGGACCACACAGGCAAGCATGACCGCCCTTACGCAAGCCGGGACGCCTATCGCTGTTCCCCAAACAGCACTCGAGCGTTCACAATCAGCAAGATGCTTGTTGCAAGATATCCCGTGCGCGAAATCTAGAATTCGGGGAATGGCTCTCCCAGATCTGGAAATTTCTTTCCACTTCGTTTCAAATACGTGGCCCTGGAGCCCAGGTAGAGAGCGCGAGGTTGCGTTATAGCGCAGAGTGGATACTTACCTCCCAAGACTTTATTGCTGAGAATTGGTGTGCAATACACCAATTGGTTTCCTCACGCGATCGTCGATTCAACAAGTATCAGCTTCTAGTCTGGCTGTCAACCATCGCCTACTCGGCCCAGACCGATATGATTGTCGTTGAGACTATTGCATCATTGTACTTGAACCCAGAAGTCATTTGCGAGTATACGACCATCCGAGGAAAATATCAACCCGGGGAAGGTTGTGAATGGAGTCGCGGGACAATTCAGACCCTTATAGAAGCTGCACAACTTCGTTCAACACCGGAAGATAGGCTTGAAACTTTGCCTTACGAGACCCACGACAGTTTTGAGTCACGCATCAGAGAGCTCGGAAAAATAAAACGGAAGCTCGCCTGCAAAATTACGACTGATCATTTTTTCCGTCAGTGGCCTACACACTCGCCGTCAAGCCCTGCCTCACAAGAAGCTGTCGACTTGGATGAGTACCTGAATATTCGCAAAATCATGACTGTGGTGACAGACAGGCTCTCTATTTGGGTTGACAACGGTCAGCTTCGGCAATGCCTGGCCAGCATGATAAACCGGCTGTGTGCACATTCAGTCAAAGACATCCAGCTCCCGCCGTATCTGGAGTTGTCCCATCCAGAACCGGCTCAATCACGGCGAGGAAATATCTCTTTTGATGACTTGATGACGGTGTGTCCACTCCCCGACATCAGGGAGCCCCCGTAGGCGGACTCTCTCCGGAAAAGCTCAAATAAAACAGACCCGAGCGGGAAACTTTTGAGTCTTATTGACTCGATGGGCAGCTACGCCAGGTCTTCATATGAAAAAAGGTACATAGAAATGTTGAGAGATAGTGTCACATCGCTGGCTTGCACCAAAAGCCAAACCCAGTTCACGGTTGTCTGTGGCGATCTTGAACAGTCCGTCCGTACCTACCTCAAATTGTGTGAGACTTATATGCGTGAAAACCGTGTGGAAGAGCTAAGTCGAAATGTTCTGATCGGCAAGTTTGAAATGAACTTTCTTGTCTGAACGGCCAGGCTGAATCAGTACTTCGTCCAGATGTTCGATATGATTCGTGGTCATAATAAGTGCCCTCTTGAGACGAGACACCATCAGGCACATTCAGAAGTCCGGATAAGGTGACTGCTGACTTTGATGCGTTTTCTTGGTCAGCGTCGACGCTGGCCCGGCGCCCTACCCCAGTGGTATCCACGTCCTCTAAGAGAACAACACAACGAGGCGGAAGGTCAGCGAAAAGCTTCATTAGAGTGCTGTTCGAAATGTTCGACAACTGGAGCGTATAAATATTCAGTCCGTGCTTCTCCGCGAGCGACAGACTAAAGCTGGATTTCCCGGTCCCAGGGGGCCCAAAGAGGAGGTAGCCTCGTTTATAAGGAATGCCCCGTTCTGCGTACCAGCCTTGCATATCTTGGTCGAGAAACTCGTCCACATCTTTTAATATGTCATTCTTTACCTCGTTGTCCATGATGACTGTGGAGATATGTCGACTCTGGCAAATCAGCCTTCACTTCGCAGGCGTATATTTTTACTAAATATAACAGTTCCTGAATGAGAACCTATCGCTGCGGGCTAAGCTCCACAGGGCGCTGAGCGCCCATAGAATATATCAATTCAAACTTGGCGTTGAAAGTTTCATCACTCTCATCAATGATGTCACAGGCATACTCGCGAAAGAAGTTCAGGGTGTGAAGTAGCGAGCGGCCTACCGCGAGTTTCCCCATAATGAAGCATTCAAGGCACATGAGCTTCGAGGACAGGATATGCTCTGGTTGTACAAGCAAGACACCGCCAATTGACATGCACTCGTAACACATGCGCTGAATTTCATCTACTTCAGCCTCCCCGAGACTCAATGACCGCGAGAAGGGAAGCTGATAAACTCGACGATCCAGGAGGCCGCCCAACTTCCCAACGAGCATTTGATACATTTGTCGCGATTGGGGCTTTAGAGTCAGAATTCTGGCAATACATCGGCCATTAGCATGCGCTACGGCGACAAGAGGCACTACCACCGATGATTTTCCGTCCCCCATATTCAATTCCAGCACGATATTCTGTCCTCGGGTGGACCAAGTCATTGTCCTGGTAACATTCTCCTGGTTCGGTCGAATCAAAATACCACTTTCGATCTCTAAGAGAAGATTCTCTGGCTCTTCAAATGGATCCCAATTGGTATGGCCCGGGTTGCGGATCTCTTTGAGCAAGTCCTCAGGACTATGGACGAGGCGGCAAAGTCGCTCCGCTCGCTGGAGCGCTATGATGGAAAGACCGTAGAGTATGAACCAGTTCCGCCAAGGAGTGGCTAATCGTGACCACCGATGCCGGCTTAGTTGCTCCAACAGGAGAAATGGGTGACATTCTTAGGGCGTGGTGAACCCTGAAAGCCAGGGCGGAAACTTTCCTTTTGAAGGTGCTCGATGTCCGTGGCCTACCTATTAAACTAGGCGGTAGCAGCCTCGATATGAGAGCTGTGTAAACATCCTGCAGTTGCCGAACCAAAAGCAATGCAACGAGGAATATGACGATGAGACGGTTCAGGGGCTTGCTCGTGATTTTGCCAGCAAGATGCCCGAGCATGTAATCAGATCGGCAGAAGTTTTTGGAGCGCAAGAAGTCGTCCTATGATGCTGTTTCAGGTGTGGAGAGCTGGGTGGCGAAAGCAAAGTGCTGAAGAGAGGGAACGGAGAAACAGAGGTAAGGGACAATTGGTAGGTTCTCAGGGAGGGGTTTGGTTTTGGTTTTTTTTTGTTGGGGGGTGGGGGGTGAAGGCAATGTATGTTTGACGGCGCCAACCAATTAGTATTTTGAGAGCTTCCATCACTTGAGAATACACGACAGACTGGAGTCTCGACAGATTCTTTCATTAAAAGTAGTTAGGCCGAGAGAGCGGCCTGCTGATGGAATGTATGTCTGACGGCATACCTGGGAAAGTCATGTGGATCATCTTGTTCATCAAGAATGACGAGCGGTGGGCGCTTATCGCAATATTTTCGGTTCGTACACGACAGTTCAGGATATCGGTCCTGAAGCTTCATAGTTGAATCAATGTTTCATATCATTCATGGCATCACGTAAAGTCAAGTCCGAGGGCCAAAATTGGTTGATCACTACGTCATTGTCAACACCTATAGAATCGTATATCACCTGAGGCTAGTAGATGCAGCGAAGAGGCGGACACCAAGAATGATAATAGATTGAAGTCCTGACTAATTCAGGCGGATGCGGGCCGGAAATGCGTCTTGCTTCATTATCATGCATAATTGTTGCTAATTCAATAAAAGAGCACCTGTCTTCACGTTACACGAAGACGTTTTGCATCAACTATCTCTGGGTGACGTAGTCGTCGTTTTGAGGCGCGCGGCCGCTGCAAAATCGGTCGATATTTCAATGTGGAGCGGTGGAAATCGATAATTATCGCCCGCCCAAGCTCTTCATTCCAAAGAATATTGTCACGCCGAAGGTCTTCATGGCTGATTCCCAAAGCTCTGATTTCCTTGTTCGATTGGTGGATACCTTGTAGAAGCCGGGGCGTCAGCTCCATCGATGCCGTGCTTTCCCCCCCCAGCCCATAACGAGCATATGGCGAATTTCTCCAGCCCCGTGAAGGAAGTAAATTTTCGCCAAGTCGATCGTGCCAAGAAAAACAGGCACAGCAGACCCTTGGGCCTTCCGCAGAATTTGATATACCCGCGCTTCGCGGGAGACTTCTTTCCACAGCCACGATGTGGTTCCTTTTCCAATGACAGTGTAGCCATATACGGCACAAGAAAGTTTGAAAGGTGCACCGTACGCCCCGCAACCCCCAAGTGGTGTGCATCGGTCAATGTTTTTATCCAATTGAGCTTTTAGTAAACGTACCAAATCTTCCGAAGTAATTGGATGCTGCAGGTCATCTTTGCTTCGACGATGGAGCATCACATTTGGACAACAGTCGTCTAGAAGACCGCCAGATTGCAACCCTAGTAAACATCGCTGGGTGCAAAATTGTGCATCGCGGTGGCGGGACTGGCTATCTTGGCCTTTATCATCATTTGTGTCTCTCTTTCGAGCCACGCGTGGGGCCGATGGAGAAGACGGAACATTACTAAAGGTTCGTTTGCGGCGCGTTGCGTTCGAATCGGGGTCGGGTGATTGTGACGACCGTGAGCGATAGCTCACATCGGATGGGGCACAGGTAGCTCGAGATCTAGTAAACACCTGACGAACTCTTGATTCGGGGGGATCTGGCGGTGATGACGATGGTTCATAGGTCGAACAAGAATCTGGGCTTGGAAATTCCGGTGCGGTACTGTCGGACTTGAGAGGAAGTTGCCGGAATTCGTCTTCGGGAATATGAGAGCGAGTGTGATCGAAGCTGGTCCTCCATATAGGAATATCTGGTCGTACGGAATTTCTCCACTCCTGATCTCGCACAGGCGACTGGAATGCCATCAGACACAAACACAGAGTTCTTGCGACAGAAGTACTCGCAAAAGTAGCTTCCATTTCCATATCCACTTCGCTATTTGGATCGCATAGAAAGTAGTAGAGCGTGCCAGGGTCATCATGTGGAACGCGGAGGAGAACGCGAGCGATCCCGTTGGTCACGTAGGAGTACTCGAGCCCTTCCTGGATCATGACATGATACTCCTGGACAAGAGCGGAGCAGACAAGTCGCTCGGCATTGTACCTTAACTTAGCTTCTTGGTTTGTCGGTATTTTGTTTGATCTGACCATATCCTTCCATAAGTCTATTGGTCGCAGCCCTAGACGAAGGGTGGCCACGGAAAGCTTGTGAGGCGGCTTATACTCGACAGATGTGAGGAGAGTGGTAGTGGTGTCGTCGACACGATGGATGCAGAACTGATCAGGTCTTGGGTTGTGTACACTTGACGGCTGGCTTGCTTCTCCTTCGGGAGCTCCGTTCTCGTTTAAGGAATTCGTATGGTTGCTGAACTGTATTCTATCGCTAAGGCCGAACTCGTCGCGAGCAGCCGGTAGTTTGCACAACTCGGTAAGTATATCGTGGACATGTTCTTCCACGGCGAATCGCTCATAGGCTTCGAGTTCTTGCTCGCTGCTCATAGGCTTCCGACCAAGTCGTCGGCCTAATCCTTCTAGCTCAGGCAAAGATGAGAATAAATGAGGCGCCCCCCGGGTGTCAACTGAAGATAGCTATAGACCGACCTGAAAAGCTCCGACTGCAGTACTGAGCAATCGGTCCAGGGTTCCAATCGTGTTGGGCAATATTTCCCCGTGGGAAGAGGTATTTTCCCGGTTGTCGACCGAGATGGTGTCTCGACTCTTAGCGGTCGGGAGAGCAGGTCGTGGGAATGGCGTAAGAATTCCACGAAAGTGGTCGGTCGGCTGAGCTCTTGAAGTTGCTCTCGTCTCTCTTTCTCCTGTCTGCTTTCTTCTTCGGCCTGCTTCTGTCGCTTTTCGGCTTCTTTGCGTCTCTTTTCCGCCTGCAGAAAAAGAGCCTTGTAATCTGGCGAGTTGTTGTCGGCCATCGATGTGTCGAGGGTCCCTTGAGACAATCGCGACCAGTCTTGGTTTGGGGGCTTGATTTGGGGAGCTGATGTCAGCTGATCACGGTTTCCGGTGGAAGTATTTCCCCGAGAAATAACAAGGTTTCCGCCGGCTAATTTAAGCATCTCGAAGGTATGACAACAACAAAAGAACCCACAGCACTCACCAAAATTGGATTTTCTCTGGCTTCAAAGGGACAACTGTGGAGGCAATGTTGATCACTAGATCAGTCGCCTCGCTCTTAGTCGTGAGGGTCGCATCTGTCTCACCTCAGATTGTGGCAGCGATCGAAATGGTAAATTGAAAATTGAGTGCGGGGCTGGGATTGCTATCTGGCTTCTCTATGGCGGCGCTCTGCCGTTTCTTGAAGCCTTCGTTTTTCTTCAAATCTGACATCATAATTTGGTTATTGTTTGCTTGGTCCCTTATCGAAAGAAGTATTCAGCAAATAGACGAACGACGCAAGTTGAAGACAACATAGCAGGAAGCCCGCTAGTTAGCGAGGGAATAGACTGTCGCGGAAGGGATTTACTCCTCGACTCAGAGTGGATTGTTGCCTCTGGCATATTTAGTTACGTTCCAAAGTATACGCCGAAAATGGCACCTAATTCTATCGTCGTCAGCAAATCGATAACTTCGGTCCATCTTCAAAATCCTTGGCCAGTCCGGTCGCAGCGAGATCACTATCTCAATAGCAACAATCGCGAGGCCCGCATTCCGTCCTCCTATAGCGGCCCTTTACTTCAAAGGAAAATCATGTTGTGTCATTTCGCTGTGAGGAAAGGACACAATAAAGCCTATAGTTAGCGAAGTTCTTTTGAACTAGAGAGAGTACGCTTACCTCTGTCCCTGTCCGCCTAGCGCCACACGCTTCGGGGTGCTCTAGTCTTTACGGTTAGACATCACGCAATCATTTCAAGGGACGTCGTGGAAAATCAAAATGACATACCTGGCTGATCTGAGAACTTAAGTCCCGCTTTAAGGAAAAGAATCCTTGCACGAGGCAAACTGAAGTGCTATCGCTAACGGAACTTGTGGCTAGAGGGGTTGGAGTGGATCTTTGAGATGGTATTTATAGATGCGAACCATTCTTGACCATCGTAGTCTTTGACTACATCCTCATTTTTGAACAGGTTAATAAAAAATTGGACGGGTACTGTAAATAGAGTATCTCCGCCGAATAAATTGAGGCCGAGTAGACAATTACTTACACCTAAAACAACATCCCTTACCCCCAATCAAAGCTGGTGTTGGGTGTCCCATGGATTATACCCGCTGCTTTGATGAGAGCAATGACGTCACTCAGCCTTATGGCCTAATGTGTGCTTAAGAATGGACTTAATATTGAACAACACTATAGTAAGGTCTGCTTTTTTAGCTCGTCCTATAGAGACTGCTCTGATAAAGAACACATTGCCGTTATAGATCACTAGATTGCCATCCTGTTGCATAACTGCCTTGCAATCCTCGGGATGGTCACCTGTGCCAGACTGCCACAGTAATTTACCATTTCAGCGTAAAAAAGCGCTAGGTTGCCTGTAGATTGAAGTGTGAAATAGAACTGTTGGTTGCGTGAAGAGGTCCCTTGGCCTTTCGTAAGGAAGTCTCCAGCGCGTAAAACATCTTTTTCTGCTATATTGAGTGATATTAGCCGTTAGAAGTATGATGTAATAGATTTGTTGTTTGTAAAATATTGGTAGGTAGATTTTTAAGAATACTGTGGTCGTAGTCATGCCACGGAGGAGAACCGAATTTAAATACCTACTTCCTTCTGAGAGGATATATATATCATTATAGTAAGCTCTGTAACACCTTTGATAGTGGTAAAACGTACCGAGACTAGAGAGGCCTGGACTATCTGGCCTCTAGTTATCCCCTAAGATTGAATATTTCATCATGATACTCTGTAAGTCATATGATTTTCCCTCTGACGTAAATATTGATCGAAGCGAAAATAGGTTATGAGTCTAAAAACTCATTGATTCAATTAAGCGTTATAATCGCCGTAAACGGAAGAATCCGCCGCTGCTTCCGAGAGTATGTGTAGCATACCTATTCTACTTTTTAAAAAAACTACTTTGATAAGGTAGTTGGACTTGACCGCTAAGGAAGAGATGGTACGTAGCAGTCAGATTGGCATAAAGACTAATTCTTAGGGAACCCTATCGGTCCCCTACCATATATTTATCTTATAGTTCTCATCTCTCGTAGGGACACTCTAGGTCCCTCTTTCCTTGGAGGACTTTGGTCAACCGATCGAGTAGCGGTGTGGAGGAGAGACCGGAGAGGTCCAAAACCTTCAGCTGGATCGTGCAGGATGTGCCAGAGGTACGCGCCAAGTAGGTCGATCAGAAGTGTTACCACTGAGTGAAACCCCTACCTGTAGAATAGATTATATTTTAAGTAAACTGTGAAAGTACTCAAGGTAGTAAATAAGTAACAATATATAACTAATTACGATAATAAGTGTCCGTATATATCTAGTCCTTCCTCTAGCTGTGAAGGGCTGTTGTAACGGGCCAGAGCCCGGTGGTTAACCATATGCCATGGCTTTCCGGATACCGCCTTAGCAGAAGGGGGTCCGAGCGAGGTTCTAGTGGGTCCTACCCGAGGACGCCCTTAAGGACTGCGACCGACTCCTACCCCTTCTTCCTTCTTTCCTTAAGATTGTTGAAAACAGCATGTTGGCCTAGTACAATTGAATCAATTCTGCTACAGCCCTTCACATTCAACAATCTTCCTTCTATATCAAGAAGTACCATTGGCCACAAGCAAGTCCTAGGGAGTCGACCCAGGCACCTTCATTGGAAACGTATTGGTCACGCCCCTGAATCGACTGCGGTTCAACGGCGTGTCTACATTGGAACGGAAACCTAGCGCATAACTCTTTAGCGCTCAAGACGCATCGGAAAGCCCTAGAAGATACCTATTCCTAGGCACACCAGAAGATTGGAACATTAGAACGCTACCGAATCCCCACCGGTTAGTACACAATACACCTGGTTACCATGAACTACCAGGAGCAGCAGGAGGCCCCGCCCGCGTGGGCGCAGGCGATGATGCAACAAATAGAAGAGGGTCAGCGCGCGCAGCAGCAGCAGCGTACCGCCGCTCAAGACGAAAGAATTCGTCAACTTGAAAATATACTGGCTAGGCAGACGGCAAACTCTCCGACCCTGGGAAGCGTCACTGAAACGACCACGGAACCAACGCCAAACCCCGCCGAATCGATTTCGACCACCGCACGAAGATTGAGGCCCCGACTCCCGGACCCGCCATTCTTCGCTGGGAACGTCAACGACTGGGGCACTTGGCGGATCACGATAGAAAATAAGCTAGCAGTCGACGGTGCAGCGATCGGGTCTAGGCAGGACCAATTCATGTATATCTTCTCACGCCTTGAGAAGCTTGCATGGAAGAATACCGGAACGTATGTGAAACACTCGCGAGACACAGCCGGTCCCGACGATCTACTCGCGTATCTTGAGGGCATATATGGAGATCCGAACGCGCAATCGCGGGCGGCAAGAAGGCTATATCAGATAAAGCAGACAAACCGGCAGCCGTTTACACGATTCCTACCAAAGCTTGAAAAGGAATTCGCTGACGCCGGAGCTATCAATTGGCCGGACGAAGCTAGACGACAGATTCTATTAGGCGCGTTGAACGAAGAGATGAGCGTCGCGCTAATGAATCGCGGTATTCCCGCTACCTATTCGGGACTGATTAGCCGCCTGCATGAAATTACGACCGACATGGACGCTCTGAATCTGGGTAAGAGTCGATCTAATAAATCACCTCGTCGTCAACAGAGGAACCTGGATGAGATGGATTGGTCTCCTACTATCGACGTTAATCGTATTAATCCTCGAGGGAACCGCCCTCGAAAAGGTGTCGAGAAGCAGGCGAAATGGGTCAGTCACGAAGAGTTGACTCGACGTCGCGAGGAGGGCCTTTGCCTCCGTTGTGGTAGTGATAACCATCGCATCTCAGAGTGTTCCTATCGACCTGCCGAGCGCCCAAGTCGCGTTGCTACCGGTCAAACAAAGAAGGACCGAAAGGTTCACGATCCTATGGCGAAACGTAGCCGAGTGAAGAAGACACAGGCAGCGCCAGAGGGAAATGAAACGGAACCCATGGGAGGAGAGACCGATTCCTCGGTCACCGAGAGCGAGTCGGAAAACGAGTAGCTCCTGTTCCCAGTCGCGAGCAGGAGCAGGAGGGGATCAAGAGACTTTTAGAAGACGAATCACCACCGTTTCTCTTAGATGTCAGAGTGAATGGAATTCAGTTCGCAAAGGCCCTAGTCGACCAGGGCTGTCAAAGTTTTGCAACTGTAAACGGTGAACTCGTCAAATCTCTCGATCTCCCGCGCATTCGAATCCGTACCCGTGTGCTTGACGGAGTAGTAGCGAATCAAGGACGAATCACGCACGTTACGTACTTCGACGCCGATATCCATGGCCATCAACAGCACCGCGTGTTCGCATATATTATCGAGAACCAGATAGATGATATCATACTTGGAAACCCATGGATACGGGACGTGAATGGGACATATTCGGCAAGGAAGGGCTATCTCGATATCTTCGACAAAGATGGTCGCCGAACGCGCTGTTGGAATAGGCGGGACCCATCAATCGGACCCCCTGGATTGAAGACTTTGCGAGTGAACAAGGTATCAGCTCAGTCGGTTCGACAGCTGTTCGACAGCGCTTCGGAGCCGGAACGGCTGAGGATTGGAAAGGTTACATTGAACGACATCGACAAAGCGTTGCAACCAAAAAAGCACATTGATCCGAAAGAAAAGCTACCAAAGCATTATTGGAAATGGCTCAAAGTTTTCAGTCAGCAGTTAGCTGAGAAACTACCGCCACATCGCCCAGGAATCGATCACAAAATACCACTGAAACGCGACCGAAACGGCAACGAAGAGACACCTCCTTATGGACCCTTATACGGCATGAACAAGGAGGAGTTGCTATATTTACGCAAAACGATAACCGACCTATTAGGCAAGAATTTTATACGTGTTAGCAACTCACCCGCCGCGGCTCCAGTCCTCCTGGTGCGTAAGCCAGGCGGAGGTGTACGATTCTGTGTCGACTATCGAGGATTGAACGAATTAAGCGTGAAAGACCGATATCCACTGCCACTAATCCGCGAAACCCTTAGGAATATAGCTAAGGCCAGGTGGTTCACGAAGCTCGATGTGATTGCGGCATTCCATAAAATTCGAATCGCGTCAGGCGAAGAGTGGAAGACGGCGTTTCGAACCCGATACGGTCTCTATGAGTGGAATGTTACCCCCTTTGGTCTTACCGGAGCGCCAGCAACCTTCCAACGTTTTATCAACCAGGTATTGCAACAATATCTTGACGACTTTGTATCGGCCTATGTCGACGACATTATCATCTACTCGAACGGATCACTATCCGATCACCGCCGAAAAGTAGGCAAAGTGCTGCAGAAGCTCAAGGAAGCCGGGCTGCAATGTGACATTGCAAAGTCAGAGTTCGAACAGAACACCGTCAAATACCTTGGATTTATAATCCGCGCTGGAGAAGGTATTCATGTGGACCCTAAGAAGGTTGAAGCCATTCGAGCATGGGAGGCCCCAAAGACAGTTCGTGAAGTGCGGGGGTTCCTAGGATTCGCCAACTTTTATCGGTCGTTTATCCCCCGATTCGCTACCTTGTCGGCCCCGTTGACCAGGTTAACAAAGAAGGACACCACGTTCCAATGGGACGACGGGTGTCAGCAGGCCTTCAACGAATTAAAAGAACGCTTCGTCAACGCACCGATCCTAGCTCACTTCGAAGAAGGCAGGGAAACGGTGCTGGAAGCAGATGCATCAGGATGGGCTACTGGAGCGGTGTTATCCCAGCGACAGGATAACGATAGATTGGCTCCATGCGCGTATATCTCACAGAAGTTTACCCCAGCCGAGTCAAACTACAAGATCTACGATAAGGAGCTCTTGGCGATAATTCGCGCCTTACGGGAGTGGAGACCCGAGTTGAAGATGGTTCCTCGATTCACTATCATAACGGACCATAAAAACCTGCGTTACTTCAATAAGGCGAGGCACCTCTCAGAGCGGCAGATGCGATGGGCAGACCTGTTAAGTGAATTTGACTTCACGCTACAATACCGGCCAGGGCGATATGCAACTCGCCCTGATGCACTCTCTCGACGTGGTCAGGATATGCCACAAAGTTTCAAAGATGAAAGGCTATCGAATCGGTTGCGAAAGATATTTGAAAAGGTTACGATTCGCACCGGTCGCCCCCGCATAGGCAATTTCGATGACGATGCCCTTCTGGATTTCGAACGAGGGGTCCAGATATTCGAAGAGGAGGAGCTACAACGAGAATGGCAACAGGCTCGACGAATCGATACTACCTATCAAGCGTATTCGAAGGCATTAAAGGACGGGGAACGGCGAGTCGCTGCCGAAACGAATACGAAAACCAGCCTCTCGGAGTGTCACTTGGATGAGAGAGGTTTGCTGTGTTTCAGACAAAGGATCTGGATTCCCGAAAGTGAGCCGCTACGTACCGGTATTATTCAGAAAATTCACGACTCCCATGTCACGGGTCATCCGGGGCGGGACGCTACCTATGCGATACTGTCTCGACGGTTCTTCTGGCCTGGAGCGGCGAAGGATGTAAGGAGATTCTTGCGAAACTGCACCGTGTGTGGCAGGAGCTCAGTGTGGCGCGATACGAAGCACGGGCTGTTGAAACCACTACCGATTCCTGAGCGAATCTGGGCCGATATCTCAATGGACTTCATTACCGACCTTCCTCCATCGAAAGACAATCAAGCCACGAACCTCCTGGTTATAACAGATCGACTAACAAAGGGAGTGATCTTAGTCGGCATGGTCGAAACGACAGCGGAGCGAGTAGCAAACGTATTCTTAAAGCATTTCTATATGCACCACGGGTTACCTCTCGCGATCACGAGTGATAGGGGTCCTCAATTTGTTAGCAGATTCTGGGAACTCGTCTGCGAAAAGTTATCGATTCGACGTCGACTCTCTACCGCTTTCCACCCGCAGACAGACGGGTCTACTGAACGCGCGAACCAGGAAGTGGAAAAGATCCTGCGGGCTTTCACGTCTTATGCTCAGAACGATTGGATAGAACTGTTACCAGTCGTGGCGATAGCGATCAATAATCGAGATGCCACATCGATTGGAATGTCACCATTCTTCTTCACGCATGGCTATCACGTTGATCCCATCGGCATCGAGGAAAGCAATCCCTCTATACCTAGTGGTACTGGCCCCCAGCGAGCGGGTGAAGCGTTCGTGAAACGTCTTCGAGAAGCAACCGATTGGGCACAGGCCGCTATTGCGACTGCACAAGATAGGCAGCAGGAATACGCCAACCGGTCTCGTCAGGCGGCACCGACCTACCGAGAAGGGGACAAAGTATGGTTGAACCTCAAGAATATTCGGTCCCAGCGGCATTCGAAGAAGCTTGACTGGTTACACGGGAGATATACCGTACAGGAAGTACCGTCTCCACACACTGTTCGACTGGATATGCCAACTGGTGTATACCCAGTATTCCATGTGGACCTTATACGACCTGCTGCATCGGACCCGTTACCCTCGCAAATCGTTGACGATACGCAACCTCCTCCCCTGGTAATCGATGGCGAATTGGAATACCAGGTCGAGGAAATATTGGACCATAGGGCGCGCAGAGTAGGAAAAGGGACTGGAACAGAGGTTTTAGTGAAATGGGCAGGTTATGCAGAGACTACCTGGGAACCCTTAGATTCCGTTCAAGACTGTGAGGCGCTTGATAAGTACGAAGGATGTTCCGGGCGTATTTCAACTGCGAATCGACATCGGAACGATACGGGCGCGGAGCTCGTCATATCGACTGTCAAGATGAGAAAGGGGGTACTGTAACGGGCCAGAGCCCGGTGGTTAACCATATGCCATGGCTTTCCGGATACCGCCTTAGCAGAAGGGGGTCCGAGCGAGGTTCTAGTGGGTCCTACCCGAGGACGCCCTTAAGGACTGCGACCGACTCCTACCCCTTCTTCCTTCTTTCCTTAAGATTGTTGAAAACAGCATGTTGGCCTAGTACAATTGAATCAATTCTGCTACAGCCCTTCACAGCTGTAGCGGAATTGATTCAATTGCACTAGGCCACTATGCTGTTTACAACAATCTCGAGGAACGAAAGAAGAAAGGATAGGAGTAGTCGCGTTCCTGAAGAGTGTCGATCCTTTATATTAAGGGGTCTGTATCGCAGGACAGAGAACCTGTTGGCTAGGCAGAGAGTCCAAGTCCATAGGGTCTGATTTCAAAGACTGAATCTTGGAGTCCGGGTAGACTCTGCTAGTTTCCACAATATATATATGGGGTTCCCGTGCACCGAGTCCCTATAACCCCACATGATGTCTTCAATGAGGGTTGTTACCCTAAGGCGGCGCGGGGTCGATTCGATCGTGAATCGTCCCGAGTCACCATATATGACTCGCGCCGTGATACTTATGCATAAAATCCTCTACAACCTAGTGATGGAATCGCTCGGAATCCCCTACCACGACGATATCTGAAGAGGCTATGGCATATGGTTTACCACCGGGCTCTGGCCCGTCACAATAGCGCGTGGTATTTTGTATGGCCTCGTTATTGAAGTTGGTATGTAGGTAGAAAGACGCGACTTTGGATAGGGTGGCTAGGGTTGGCGGGAATTACGTTAGTTTATTATTTGGGAGATTAATACATTCGATAAGATTATTGCTCTTTATTTTACGACTACCGACTTTACAAAAGGTTCTTTGAGGCTTTTGCCACGGATTATCTTACGCCTGTGGATCCTCCCTTTCTTCGTATAATTTTAATTCGACTACATTAGTAGGTTGACTCGAATCTTAACGAAATAATCTCGTCTCTGAAATTTGTTATTACTGAATCTTTCTCCGTAACCTGTGTGTCTCTTGTATAGTAACATAGAAAGGTACGGCTGGATGTATGACAATGCCCGCGTGAATAGCTAAGCTTTGCGAAAAAGCACGGGCAGTTGAATTGCGTCTTCATGGTCATAGCGTGACCACTGGTCTCGCATCTTAAGTATTCGTGTGGTCTGCCTCTCGATACTAAGGTAGACTATAATTATTTAGAATCAAAAGCCGAGCCATACAGGAAATGTTCAAAGGAATTTGACAGAGAGAGGTCTGGTAATGGAGTCTAAAAGCATACCTGGGAAAGCAGTATGGGTACTCTCATTCCTCAAATTTATCGAGCTTAACAATCGCAATATTCATGATACGCACACGACAGTACATTATCGGACCTAAAGCTTCACTTATATCAGTATTTTCATATGATTCATTACCTCACACAAACTTTAAGTACGAGAGTCAGAATTGGATATTTAGTTGGTTATTGTCAACACAAGAGAAGCGTCTATCTCTCGAGGCAAGGTAGGTAGAGTGAGAAAACGGGCAGTAAGGGTCGGTAATAGGTCGACGCTCTGATTAATTCACGTGGATGATGCCTAAAAGTGCTTTATGGCTCATGGTCATACATACTTGAATCGCTTATTCAATGGATTAAGCACATTCCTTCGCGCTACACAGAGACGTTGCGGATCTCTCGTATTCGGCAGACATAGTTGTCGTTTTACTGCGTGTGATCGCTGCAAAGTCGGCCGCCATTCCCATCTATATCGGTGAAAGTCGATGATCAATGCCCGGCGAAGTTCTTTATTCCATAGAACATTTTCACGCCGCAAATTCTCATGAATTATTCCCAGGGCTTTGATTTCTTTGGTTAATTTGCGAATTTCCCGGTGGAGCCACGGTGTCAGCTCCATTGATGCTGTGTTTCCTTCCCCCCCCCCCCAGCTCATCACAAGCATATGACGAATCTCTCCAGCTCCATGAAGAAAATAAATTTTCGCCAAGTCGATCGTGCCAAGAAAAACAGGCACAGCAGACCCTTGGGCCTTCCGCAGAATTTGGTATACCTGCGCTTCGCGGGAGACTTCTTTCCACAGCCACGATGTGGTTCCTTTTCCAATAACGGTGTAGCCATATTCAACGCAAGTGAGTTTGAAAGGTGCACCGTATGCCCCGCAACCTCCGGGGTGTGCATCGATCAATCTTTTCGTCTAATTGTGCTTTGAGTAAACGCACCAAATCTTCCGAAGTAATCCGATGTTGGCGATCACCTTTGTTTCGACGATGGGGCATCACATTTGGGCAGTGATCGTCAAGAGCATCGCCGGACTGCAGTCCAAGTATACATCGCTGGGTGCAAAATTGCGCATCACGGAGGCGAGACTGGTGGTCTTGAGTATTGCCAGTCTCGCGTTGACGAGCTGCTCGTTGGGCAGACGGAGAAGAGGTGACTTGGCTGAAGCCGCGTTTGCGCCCTGTCGCTTGGTTTGAGTCGGAGCCGGACGACTCCGGTGACTGCGAACGATGTTAAGGGCTAAGTGGCGTACATCTTGCTTGAGATCTTGCGGGCACTCGGCGACCATATTCCGTGGGCGACTTGAGTGGAGAAGACGACGGTTGGTAGTCGGAGGAGGTCAGCTCGGGACTTGAGGTATTTTCGGAGTGCGGAGGAGTTTTCCGTAGCTCTTCCTCGGGAATCAAAGAGCGAGCATGGTCGAAGCTGGATTCCCAAACATGAAGTTGCGATCGCGCAGAATTCCGCCACTCTTGGTCACGGATGGGAGAATGAAAACTTCGTAAGCAATGGCACAACACCCTGGCGACGGAAGTTTTCGGTTGCCGCAGATTCAGCAAATCCTCTCCGTTGATCTCAGTGTGAGGTTCACAAAAGTGATATAATAAGGTAGCCGGATCATTGTACGGCACATGGAGGACTCGAGCAAGGCCGTTCGTTAAAATAGCATCCGCACGACCTTCTTCAATCATAACATCATATGCCTGGACTATAGCTGAGTCAACTAGCCGTTCCGCATTGTATCTGAGTTTCTCCACAGGGTCCGTAGGCACTGTGTTGCATTTGAATATCTCTTCCCACAATTCCATAGGTCGCAATCCTGCCCAGAGAGTCTCAACGGAGAGTTTATGCGGCGGCTTATATTCCACGGTCAGGAGAATTAGTGCTGCCGTCCACACGGTGAATGCAAAATTGATCGGGCCGCGGACGGCGTAAATTGGGAGGATGATTTGTGTCTAATACAACCTGGCTTTCGGTCAACGTGTTGGTGTAATTATCGGACCAAATACCATCACCAAGCATAAACTCCTCTCGGGCAGCTGGGATCTTGCATAGCTCTGAGATGATATCGCGGACATGGTCTTCTACAGCAATCCGCTCGTATGTTTCGAGACCTTGTTCACTGCTGATAGGTCGAAGAGCGAATCGCCTAGCAAGCTCTTCAAGTGCAATCAGGGGAGGGAATAATTGCGCTCGGGATTCTTCAGTAGGTTGTAGGTAAGCGCATACCCGATCGTAGATGGCTTGCTATTGACGGACACAGTCCGTCTATGGACGCAGTCGGGTCGGGCAATGTTTACCCTTGGGAAGGGGTATCGTCCCGGTGGTTGAGCGGGACGGCGTTGCGACTTTCAGTGGTCGGGAGAGAAGGTTGTGGCAGATTCACATTTGTCCGACGGGTGCGTTCTTCAATCTGGTTCCTGCGTGATTCGGCCTGTTCCTGTCGCTCTTCAGCCTGCTTCCTCCTCTCTTCTTCCTACTTCTGTTGCTCTTCGGCCTTTTTTTGTTGCTTTTCGGCTTCTTTGCTTCTCTTCTCCGCCTACAGAAAAAGAGTATTGTAACCTGGCGAGTTGTTGTCGGCCATCGATGTGTCGAGGGTCCCTCGAGACAATCGCGACAGATCTCGATGGGTGGGTACCTGATCCAAGGAGGCCGATGTCAGCTGATATCGGATGCCGGTAGAAGTATTTTCCCGAAAAATTAAAAATCATGACAATGTGCCCCTCATCAACAAAAACGCCGCAGCACTCACCAAAATTTCTCAGATTTCAAATGGACTTTGCGCCGGGGTCAAATTGGTTCACTGGATCGGTTTCTCCCGTGCTGAGTCGTGAGGATAGCATCCCTCTCACCTCGGATCGCTTGACAGCGATGTGGCAGAGATTAAAAGGACTCGCGCCTGGGATCGCTATTTCTTCAGGGTAGCGCTCTGCCGCTTCTTGAAGCCTTCGTTGTTCTTCAAAGCTGATATCGTAAATCGGTTATTATTTACTCCATCCCTTGTGGAAAAGAAGTATTCAGTAGATAGACGAATGACGCAAAGTGAAAGTAATATAGTAGGGAGGTTTATACAGCGAAGACCCAGGCGGAATTCAGATAACTTTCCGAGAGGTACGGAGGCTTGCAGCTTATCGTATAGCTCCAAGAAAATGAACTCAGGTGCTCCGCTAGCAGATGGGCTTTTCGGTATTTGTTAAGCTTTCGACTGTTTACCTTGTCTGAAAGGTCTTTTTGGATATCCTAAAGGATAATTGCAAGTATTACTGCAGAATCTATAATGCCTAGAGTGCGAATTCGCGGAAAGTCTAACTATTACTGGACAAAAATATGCTTACTTCGGATTGCCGTCTGAAGCTCCTGAACTGTGTAGACTCCGAGCTGCTTCGATGACCCGGTGGGTTCTTTTGGGTCGCTCTGGCACGGGCATCCCGTGGTGAGATTTCCACTGAGGCAAGAGCGTACCCCGAGCGCGAGAGACGACCTACGTACAAAGAAGGCTATGTTGACCCTACCACTACGAGGGTCTTCCTCTCCAGCCGTTCCATATTCCTCTGAATTCGAAGTCGATCTTGATGATTCCATGATAGATGAGGATGAGCATGATACTCGGCGGAGTAAACCTGAAGAGGTGACTGTGTGCCTCGTCTTATATTCCCTACAATTTGCTCTGAACCTCTGCCTCCGCCAGAACCACGAAGAGCACAAAGAGGTGCGGCCACGCGTCGAGCGCAGAAAAGCCACCACCCGTTTCACCGGCATGCACGAATTTGTTGCAGAAGATGATGGTGGCGTTTGCAGAATGGACTGGCAGTCCCACGGATGGATGATGGGACATCCGTACTTAGCCATTCTCGAGGCCAAGCGTGCGTTCAAATACATCCATAGTGATGACCGGACGGGAGACTGCAAACCAGTAGTGTCAAACGAGACACTTGCTCAGTATCTTGGAGAAGCGGTTATAACATGGAGAGCAAACCGAGATCTCCTAGGGCAAGAGTAAGTACCACTTTTCGCAATTGCTGCCAAGTTGTTGATTTTTGTCGGGTGTTGACAGGGAGTATACGGGCAGTGTTTTCCTTATCGCGGCAACAAATACTTTCCTCCGTTTTGACTGATAATTTTGATTTGTCATTCCGTTTTAGTCGATCAAGTTCCTCTTGCATCTCTATCAACTGCTCGGGTGATGAGACAGTTAGTGTTCGATTCACCAGGCCGCCTGGAAGCTGGGCATAACTGCACGTGACTTTTGCTCACGTCATCCTCTAACTTTGGAGCGCAATCACGTGTCCTTGACCTCATCCTCCTGGTGCTCTACGTAATTCAACTGCCTTCCCCTTGATGCTGTGTGAATTCAGGACAGGTACGGTGGTCATTTAGCAAACCTTGGTATATTTCATTCTTCATCTCATTTCACACTAATGAACAACGTTGACTAGGCTTGATCATTTCTTCACCCTCTAGAAAACGCTCTTCGAGAACTGGACACTAGCTCTCAACTCTTCCAACCGGAACCACCTACCCACCATGTCCGGCTTGGAATTAGAAATAATTCCCTCATTATCACCTAAGTCGACTGCTGCTGGTCTTCTCGTCTTGCCAGTTGAGATTCGCCACCAGATCATCAGACTGGTGCTCGCTGTGCCGCACCTCCCCATCTTTTTCCAGGATTACGGAGGTCCACTGGAGTATCGCATGCCCCTTAAGCCAGCTGCATGGCTCGCACTATTGTATACCTGTCGGCAATTATTCCATGATGCTAGGCCAATTTTATACGGTGCGAATTGCTTCACTCTCGAAGAAGTGGAAACGAGGAACCACCGGAGCAACGTTCTGGGATTGTTCATAAGAAGCATTGGATCCAATGCAGGTTTTCTGTCCAAATTGCGTATCTCTTTTCCCGCTACGGAACAAGTAGATGGCCAGCAAGGAGAAATCCGTCTCAGAGAAGACGCATTACGGAATTTGGAGCTTCTTCGGAAGGAGTGCACCGGGCTAAGAACACTGGAAGCTTCTATTTATGGCGAGAGGCGGTACCTGATTGAAGAAAATCACTCCATTTTAGATTCTGTTGGTGAAATTTTGAAGGAAATCGACTCCGAGTTTCGAAAGATCGCTTCTCTGAACACCATCATTGTTGAATACTGCAGTGAACTCCCAGACCAGTCGATCAAAAACATCTTGGATAGCCTGGATTGGACTGTCAAGGGCCCCAATCGTCAAAAAGATGAAATGGCGCTTTCCCTCTGGGCTTGGGGTTTATACTTGGGTGATTAAGCGACCAGCGGGCTAGAAAGACCTTGTCATTGCAGCTTTAACGGGACTGTAATCAAGAGCAGCCTGTGTCAGACGCACAGCGCCAGCTATCCGAGACCAATTGGCCGAATCAGTGGCGATTGAGCTTCACTGCCTGAGGAAGCAACCCTCGAAAACAGTCCAAAGGAGCATTCAAAGTCTAGCTCTGCCGTCACCGACTTTGGAACTTTGGATAAGGGATTATTCTGTCGCCACTTACTGTCAATTTAAGAAGATTTCATATACCCTTTACCACAGAACGAAAAATTGGACGTGAGGTCGTCAGGTTCACAACTAGAAGGCGGGAAGCCAAGCGACTGAGGCCCAGGCTATATCGGCAAGCCTACTTGATTACTACTCAACCTATCACACAATACCGCCGGCTTTTTATTTTGGGGTAGCAGTACCTAGCCCTCAAAAACGCCTACACCAATTTTACTGCACAGAGATATTAAGCATACCAACCAGGCGAAAGCATCTACAAAACATTGCATGACGCGATTATATTGCTTGCAGTTTTTGCGATGGAAAGCTCACAGAACTCGCGCTCTTTTAGCGACATGTTACTGATTCTTATTCGATTACCCGACCGTGACGGGGCCCTTTTGGGGAGCGTGATATCGTAACGTGAACTTCCCTTAATTATTCAGTCGATTAGAGGTAACCAATCAGGGTCAGTGTGCTAAGGATATCCCTTTTCATCAAATGTTCTATATCGAGAGCTTTTTGAAGATCTCCAAAAGTCAAGGGTGCACTTCTCTTGCAGCAAGCTAATTCATGCAGCCCTAGCGCTTTCCTTTCGTCCCGCTACGCTCATTGTATCATGCCATGCTTGGTGTCTCTACCTCGATTCTCGAAACAAAGTTTTAATAGGCCCAGAAGTTGAATCCATTCAATCACATTCAGCATAAAGATTTGAGCAGAGAATTTCGCAGGAGGTCAACTTCCTGACCAAGACACATACATTCCAAGGGCATGCCCTCATTGAGGAGCACGATCTCCGACTGGAGTCTTAATCGCTCAGAGGTCGGCTTTGCACTCATCACTTGCTGACTTTTATGAAGTTCATCAAAAACATCGCCTCAATCGCACATTGATATTAGCTAAGTGAGCTACAAACGCTTAGAGTTAGCCGCGAAATTGAATAAAAGTTTTCGCAAGGTTCGACAGGCAGGAGGTGTACATTTAGCAGCAACATACCCGGAAAACTCTTGTTGATAACCTCGTTCCCCGCTATTGTCGAGCGGTTCGGGTCTTATTGCGCTATTTTCTTTAGAATGATCCGCGCTCATGGTTAGACGAGATCGAAGTATATATCTATCGGCCTAGTGGGTTTACGGTCCCGACTCAAGTCCTCCACAAGTGCAACTTAGGTAGTATATGCTGTTTCCGCATTTGACTCAAATTTGGAAAGGTCTCTTAAGGTAAATATCTACGCATATTGGGATGTATCCTTTTATGAGCAGTCGGTACGCTCTAGGGCCCTTCATGAACATTATGAATGTCAGCGCTATCCGGTTCAATGCCAACTGCTAAGCTTCGTATTCTTTGGATCTTGTAGTGCTGAATCCCTCTCATCGCGGAATATAACCTTCTAAGAATTATTGATATTTGTATTCATTCTCGCCGTATCTGTGAGCTTGTGGTGGTAGAAGAATTCCTATGTTCGAGTGATTCTCGTGTAGCTTACTTGCCTGCGTGGCAGTTGGACCTCCCGTCTTCTATCACTAGGGCGGGGTCGAAAGTGGCATTTAGCCCATGAAGACATGGTTTTCGCCCTGAAATATAGTACTGAGCTATATCACTGAAACATTCTAGGTGGGACATTGGAGCTTTCTAGTTCCCACCTACAAATTTTTGTTCGAGACGCGAAAGTAAAGCAGTTTTATCGTTGCTACATGACACTACGTCGTAACGAATTTGTTAGTCATTCTACTGTTCCAATGAATTTGCGTAATTGGCTTAGCACGTCAAGCCAGGTTGGGATCTGTGTTATAACTCATAGAAGGACTGTGACTTCAAAACATTCACTCAATGATAAAGAATGTGATATTTCCAGATCCTCGAACTTTGTAAGCTGTATAGGACGAACATTAGCGAGTCGTATTTGGTGTACTGCTACCAACTTGACCTGGACGTCCCATGCCATCACTCCCGGTGAAAGAGATAATGGCCAAGATAAAGGCTCTCTCTACTTCATCTATCTGGGCTGGAAGTGACCCTTGGAGCTTGACGTCACCAGCCACAGCCCAAACCAGACCAGGTGCGCATGCAAAATTTGACGTGGTTGAATGTGATTTTCTTAGGTTTAGTCCGCAGCACCAAGCTTGCTTCTTATAATGAAATACTCAGGCCCGACAATTAGGCAATTAGAGAGATTTCTGAAACCAAACTTTGTTCAGTTGTATCAGCGGAAGGAAGGCAAATAAACATGATATGCGAATAAACTTTGTAGTATGTACTCAGTAGTGTACCTCAGGCACAGTTCATCTTGCACTTGTCCCACGGTCTAGGGGAGCTGGACGTTTGTATTCCTGCAAATATGTGGCAACCCCTACCAATGGTTGATAGAGCCTTCAAAATTGTATATGAAGACCGTACTTCTCGTAGTTGAATTCCGCCAGGCTTGATATCTTTTCAACCCAGTCTTCGTCAAACTCTCGTACTCCCGTGTCATCTCCTACAGATATTATCCCCATCCCTCCGGTCAAGGCGCCCTCCCGCGAAACCTGGTATTCAGTAGCCAGATCTGGATGCGGTACCCAAATGACCCTCATTCCAGCCCTGAATCCAGCCCTGAACCCAGCCAGACTATCCTCGAACACCAAGCATTCGTGGGGCAAGATGGGAGTTGCATTGATCTCTGACTGCAGCGTTTGCAATGCAACTGAGTATATGTCAGGCGCCGGCTTTCCCTGTCGTACTCGTGGGTCATCACCAAGAATACATCTGTCCCGCTGGAAGTGGTTCAATAACTGTTTCGTTTCCGGCCTCGAAATCTTCAATTCGAGGCTTTGGCTTTTGGTACTGGACGCCAATGCTAACTGGATTTTGTCCCCAAAAGCATTACATACGCGACTGAGGTTTGACAGAAGCCTCTCAGCACCTGGTAGCGGTATGCAGTTCTGGAACTTTTCTCGCATTCTGTTCTTCAATTCAAGGGTGAACTGTTCACGGGAAATAGGCACCTTCGCCCAATTGTGGAATTCACAGCTACTTGTCGAGTCTGGAACGCCCATGAGCTTGGCTCTAATTGGTGCATCGAGAGGGGGCCTCCCATATTGCTTGAGGACCTGATTCACCGCCTTCGTGACCATATCTTCGGAGTTGATGAGAAGCCCATCCAAATCAAAAATACAGGCACGGATTACAGGCAAGCTGATTGAAAGCGTTAGTCAGAATTCAGTTTCTCAGACTAACGCAAAATCCACAACATACTCTGCGTTTCCACGCACCATGACTGAGCGAGAGAATTTCACGACTTCGTTGAGTGAATAGGAGCAAGAAGCAATAATGGCGGAATAACAGCTGGTGAATGCTGACGTAGTCTACCTTTGCCCCGTCGGCTCGCGCTGGCCCCTCCTTACAGTTGGGGCGGGGTCACTTTACGTCGGAGGAAAGGTTAACCCCGGAGAATGGGGATAGTCAACTAGTTAGTTAGTTATATATTCCCGGTCGAATTAGTAATAGACTATTGTTGTTAAATGCGTCAAATTTTCAACAGTAATCTATTAGTGACTAGTTTCCTGGTCGACGAAAGGCTTCTGGGCTTTCTCAGCGCCCAGATTGTCCCCCGTTTACGTAAGAATCGGGCCTGCTTTGCTTTCTTTGATATATTGCGACCGCGGGGTGCCCATATCTATGTTCTGCAGTAAACTTAACATGAGAAGCAGATATGACCGGACTGATGGAAGCTGATAAAATACCGATCATGCTTGATATCTGATATGATTGTATATAAATCCACAATATCGACCTGCATTACGCGATGCAAAGGACGCATACGAAGAGACGGGGGAGTGGGGTCCCTGTTCAGAAATGCAATTCCCGGGCAATGCGTGATTCAGATTTCCGTATTCGAGTGAAACAGGAATATCGTATTCGAATATTTGTAAGATGCATAAACGCAAAGCTCTGTATTGGATCCAGTACTGTAGCTATCACATTTTGTGACAATCACTATTACATCCCTTTTTGACCGCTATACACGAAGCTACAGGGGTTGTCTTGTGTAGACGTGTTGCACTTGCGTTCTTGCCGAAGTAGGTGGATGACCTTCATCCGCAGTAGCGTAGCGACAACAAGTGCAGCAATGCAGTCCTGAAGGTTTACAGCGCAAAACATCTAAACACCAAGGATTTGAACTGGATAAACTTTTAATCGCTCCTCTTGGGTACTTTAGGTAGACAGCTAGCTATGACCTTTCAACTCTATTTCTGCAAAAGCACCTTTAATCGGTAAATAACATCATACGGCCTCTGGTAAAAGGTCATTCCATGGAATCCAATTAATGCTAGAGATGAAACTCACGAGCGGCCGAAAGGGGATTGTTACCTTGAACTCGGCTGTAATCATTCTTTATGCCTCACTAATCATAGCGTGCAAGTTCTGTAGGTTACCTTGTATTAAAACTTCCCACACTAACAATATATATCAAGGTTCCGCGGGCCAAGCGAGCTTACCCTCGGGCTTAAGGTTCTTGCACCGGACGCCACGGGAACGATGCGATCAAGAATCGCATATCAACACAATGTAAAGCCTGCACCGCGACAATGTTAAGGTATATTGTCAAAGACCCTTAGCGAGTTCTTCGCATCTATAGTCTCTGTAAAAGAAACGAGAGTACTCAAAAAGAACGTTTGTGTATATAGGGATTTTGGTTTTGTATCTTCCTGTTACTTGTATGTCACGCGAGGATCACCAGTGAATAGAACTTTCGTTTGCTTGATCGGGAGGAGCGGACTTCGGCGTAAAAAAGCTTTGGTAGCACTCAAATTTTGAGTGACCGTCAGTAGCTGGAGGCTAACCAGCCAGAAAAATGATTAACAGGCTTTTCGCGACGCATCTGTAGCAATGGACTTTAATGCCTCGGCAAGTAGCGGAATGGAGCCACTAGTCGTCAAGTCTGATGAATTTGGTCGTGTGCGAATTGATCGCGCGTGATCATGATCGAGTATCTTTCTATCAAATCTGGCTCACTTCTCACGCGTATTTTACAGACCTCCCATGTAGCAAAGGCTAATGCGGGTGAAAAGGGACGGTTATTATGGGTCAACTTGGATCAGTCAGCAGCCTGAGATAGGACAATGTGACCAGGCAAGATAATTGTGCTACGACGGTGTGTGGAAATCACGTGATTCGTCATATCTTCGGCCATGATAAGCATGTAACGTGATGTGAGCGGATCATACCGAAACATATAAACCGATCATAGCCCGAGCAGTGTGTTCCGAGGATCAATTGATTCTCTCAATCCATTGAAAAGCGCAGATGAAGTCACTACCCTCCTTCTCTCAATATCTCTAGAATTCTTGGACGTGCACAATCGATTTTGATTTCTCTTACTTGTTGGCCGTGCTTTTAGTTCACGACCCATAAGCGGTGGCGATGCTGCGGGAGTAATAACTTTTGTAGTAACATGCGTGAATGAATCAGAGAAATTGCATATTGTTACGAGGGTAATTCTATGAGCAGTGGGCACTTCACAGTTCAGCTTTTAGACAATCTAGCCTTTAGCTAGGAGACTTGCTTGGTGATAGAAGTTGGTAATTATCCTCTTGACGAGCACCTCGAGCACGTCCTGCAAGAACCTCAACAAAATCAAACCCGCAGTAAGGCTCTACGAAGCGACTGCACGATTGAGAGAGACTCTTGGGGTTCGCAGATGGAATGAGGGAAGTAAAGTCCGTGGAGGTTTTAACCCTCAGTAATTGGTTGGCACCGCATAACGACAGTGTTCTGATACTATTCACAGTGATAGGAAAAGAAAATTGCCGTGTGGGGCTAATGAAGGATCAGAGCGCCGAGCTCGAGCACTGATCGTACTGTAATGCATGTTGAAGATAATGGATAATGCTATGAGCCACATAAGTCCATCGAATCATTGCAATAAGATTAACACATTGCGTGGATATGACGATATGAAGGTCTACAAGACTCTCAAATAGATGTAGTCCGGAGCGTATATGAAGGGTGTACGATTTTCAAGGCTCCGAGACTTAGGGTTCAACCGCGTAATTATAAGTGATCGACGTACTACCCCGTTATCCAGCTATCGGGAGGGATGTCAAACAGCCATACAGCCATAAAAATCAAGTGAGTCAGGGTCGGCCAGTTTCGACTCGAGTAAATGGTCTACAGGCGCCGGATCACCATCTCGTGCGACGTACGAGAGCGCCATTTGTCCATTATCATCTGTCATATGATAATCAACGCCCAGGGAAGAATCTGGGGCGTTAATAGTAATGATATGCTCACGTGTAGGAGCGATAATCAGTAGTGAGCTATACCTGGACGGCGGTAAGATTCCAGCTCTATGTGAGAGCCAATGATGCAATGTTGCTTTTTAACCGAAGGTTGCAGCCCAAAACATATCGCGTTATGAAAAATGTGCATGCCGACAGAACACAACTCTCTTCGAATGCGAGCTTCATTGTCAAAGACACATTGGTAGACAATTTCAGGTGGATAAAACACTCTTCCCGCCATCTTCTGTAAGCCTGCCTCGCACCTTGATAGTCATATAGCCGGAGCCTAGTCTGACCATTTCTTGCTCAGCCTCTTTGGATACGATACTCAGCATGGCCCCCGGCGAAAAGAGCAGAGCCTCGCCCACTTTAAGGTTGACGATCCGGTGAAAGATAGAGAGCCTTGTTGGAATATCGAGGAGTGCCTGCTCATCTTTTGCCAGACTGTCTTTCGCTGCATGTAGATTCAAGGCTGCCGCAGCCACATGAGATTGTAAAGCACGAACCCATGCAGGCGATGAGAATCGATGGACAATAGCGACAGAGCATAGATCGAGAAGATCGCTGGAGATGGTTGGCTCCTGAGTTGAAATAAAGATGCGAGCGCCGAGGTGACGTTGTAATCGAACAGTGGAGAGAAGGGTGTCTGTAAAATTCTGGGCTTCGACAGAGTCCTTCATATACTACGTGACGAATAAGTAGGACGAAGACACCTTGGGAGTATCATTCATACCTTGTGGGCCTCATCAAGAGCGACGATCCTACCAATCCTGGTATCTTGTTCCATAAAGATTCCAAAACAAACGTTAAAAAGGCTGCAGGCGGTATCAGGGGAAACACAAGGACAGGAGAGATCAACGATTGTCAACTGCGAGGCCTGAATCACAAGTAAGCTCAAGTGGCCAATAGGTGCGTTTTGAATACAGTACCTTGGGGACCCAGATTGAACCTCCATCATGGGGTTTTGCCTTCGTTCCCTTAACATTGTAATCCGTCCTTGCTTGGTTGGGGGGCATGAAGCTCTCGAGAATATCCAACCTTTGCTTCAAGGGCTCCATTTGACTAGTCAGCAGCCCAGAACCGAGTACTCTGCTCTTGAAATCTTGATAATTGAACGGACATCCTGTGCTTTGTTGTAGCAGACGCATCTCTCGCAGTATCCGTTGAACAGTCTGCAAGTATAATGGGCCAGCGCTGCTATTCCGGGCAACTGACATGAGATCCAGCATTCGTTTGGTGTTCAGGTGAGACTGATCAATCTGTAAAGGCTGCACATCGATGTTAAATCTGGAGTAGGTACCCTGTAGCATTGTAAGCGATGTGGGCTTTATTGATGCTTGCCCCCCTCACCTTAATAGTGCGAAGGTTGGTCGGAGCACAAAGTACTCTGACCTTCAGATTGGGATGAGACGACAGAAAGGCAGCTTCACAAGGCGACCCACCGCCATCACAGATAAATGCATCATAATGAAATACGACAGCTGTCAAGGGGCTCAACAGCCTGCCAGCTTTGGATGGAATCAAGCACCCTTCTAACAAACAAGATAGCGTGTGACTCTTTCCGGATCCCTGGGATCCGCAAATGAACACGCTCGAAGGTGATGAAACGTTGAAAAACAATCGGGGGTCTTTTTTCGTCAGTTCATCGTCCATGGTGGAGTAAATAGGCGTATCGATTTTCTTCACGCCCCCTAGGAGTCCATATTGCGTAGGGTCGAGCGACGGTTGGTTGAGAACCGGACCAGTCAGTACAGGAGCAAGAAGTACTTCGTCAGATTGACCATCGGATTCTTCAAGTTTCAACAAACTCAAGTGATGAGCGAAGTCTCGAAATTTATGTTGTTAGGACTTTTATTGGAATGTGTCGAGATGAAAAAGTGAAATCAGCCAAATACATACCAGCATGGTCTCCTCTATACAAGGGTGATGACATGTTCAAGTTGTGTCCTTAACAGAACTCTCCCCAGTATGATCCTGATACCTACCTCTTATGTACAAATCTAATTTCAAAATTTCATTCCACCCACTGAGTCACAGTAGCGGTATGTCTTGAAGCAGGTTTGCATCTTTAGGCCATCATTACTGATCCGGAACCTGTCAGCAGGAGATGCTCTTCGAAGTGCCGATTCTGCGATACTGTGCAAAAGACAAGAATGTGAAGTCTGACCATTTCCAGTACGTACATACTTGTCTATGCACAGCTTCGGAAATACATGATTCGCTTCTTTGAACCTTCTTACGGACAGAGCGTCCCAGATAGGACTATCTTTACTGTGACGATAGGGCCTACAGCCAGACAAGATAAATCTCAATTCATTCGAGCATCAATCTCTAAGCCAAGCGTCTTTTCACAATACGATAATTAATCAAAGCTCTCGACTGCTACTCCTGACTATAGATCATATCTGCCCGCGCGATTACAGCATTCACTGGATTCAACGAAACGCCGTAAGGATGATAGATCCTGTTTGACTCTTTCCCTTTATTCGCTCTTTCACTGCAATTCTTTGCGCTGAAACAATCTGCTTAGCTAGAGCTGAGTTGAAGAAGATGTCACGTTGACCTCGTTTCTCGCTCGTCGAGCTACTCGGATATGACAATTTATCTGTTTCCCTATTAGCTAAACTAATGAAAATGACATACAGCACCCATCGGAGAATCTAGAGGTATCATCCGCATTGGGAAGATACGCTTCCAAGGAAAAGATTTCACAGGGCCATGACCGTTCCGTGTGATAAGCTGCGAATTCGCTCAAATATAGCATGATTAGAATCGCATGACTTTCGAGTTAGGCGTGACAAGCGCCTTGCACTTAGCTCTACCTTAATCAATTGTAAATTTTTGGGTCACGCTAGTGGGTGGGTCGGGCTTTTACTATGTAACAGAAGGAGGACCGATGACGGCTAGGGGACATGTCCGCAATGATGGTGAAAATTATCATACTTGGTCTCTAGACAGGCTTGTAGATGAGCCATAGCATTCACTGCCACAGCTGTATTTGATTATATATTTGATGAAAACAAAAAACTTCATACAACGTATAATTTGCCAGAAAATTGCTGAGCTCAGGATTGACCTGTCACAACGTGTCAAAAGACAGAGAAGTTGCCTCGTTTGCAGTACCAACCTAGAAACAGAGATAACATAATCTAACCTTGAGTCAATATATTTCAATCAAGTGACCGGGACTATCATCGGTCTTCCGGAGGTCCGCCCTCGCATGCCAGATCTTTTTCCTCTCATGTGAAGCTATCTGGGTGAGCAATCAGAACAGAAAGTAGCGGGGAGAAGAAATGCCCATGTAAGTTGAGGATCAGGAATGCGCTATTCCAGAACTGGTGGTTTCACGCGGGAAATTCGTAACCCCCAAAACGGGCATAGTTTCAATCACGTTTGAAAAGTACCTTGATTCTGTAAAGAAGCCCGTGGTTTCAATTTGAGATACATTCCACAAAGCCCATAAGCACTTCTACTTGATATCTGATGTTCTACTATCGCAGACTTGTAGCTCAATGTATAGGCATTATGCACTCGGGGAAATTTATGAAGATTTGAAATAATAAAATCAAGCGAGACGATAGGATCTGTCGGAAAGAGGTTAGTACAAGGTGGTGGAGAGTACGGGGCGTGGTAAGTACTGTGTGAGAACATTTCATAAGCAAGGGCTATCGCACAATATTTCTAAGGGTTACCTGTCTGTAAATGTCTGGCTTTGTATGTTCATGGGCACACGTGTCATTATTGGCTGAGCTGACAATAATATAGCACAGGCTCATTCTAAAGCATGTTAGGGATACACCTGCCGCTAAGATGTTTAGAAAGTCTTCGCGGGAGAGGACAATAAATATGTTGTCCCGACGCTGATATTACACCAAAGTATGGTATCCCAAACCTCCAACTCTTACGTTTGAAATTATCTATCCTCCAATATGGTCCTGACACGATTCAACACCCATGCCTTGAAGGATCTGTGTTCCGAAGAACAGCTAGAACTCCTCAACTCGATCGACACTCTTCGTTCTCAAGGCATTGATCACTATGTCTCACTACCACAGATAATCGTCTGTGGTGACCAGTCTTCCGGAAAGAGCTCGGTTCTGGAGGCCATTTCCGGTGTTAGCTTTCCCGTCAAGAGCAACTTATGCACTCGATTTCCGACCGAGCTCGTTCTTCGACAGCACCCACGAGCGGGGGTTCGTGTATCTATCGTCCCCCATCAGACCCGCAGTGAGGTTGAGCAACGATGCCTGGGTGATTTTTGCGAACAACTTGACAGCTTTGAAGGTCTGCCGATGTTGATGGAGAAGGCGAAGGGGGCCATGGGAATAAACACTCACGGCAAAGCATTCTCCAAGGACTTGTTGCGAGTCGAGGTGTCCGGACCAGACCGTCCTCATCTGACCATTGTTGACCTCCCGGGGTTGATCCACTCAGAAACCAAACAATAGTCGGCAACAGATATTCAGCTTGTTCAGGAGGTAGTTCAGTCCTACATGCAGGAGCCACGCAGCATTATACTTGCTGTTGTGTCTGCGAAGAATGATTTTGCGAATCAAATTGTCCTCAAACTGGCGCGAAGCGCGGATAAACTCGGAACTCGGACGCTTGGTGTCATCACAAAACCTGATACACTGGCTGCTGGTTCGGAAAGCGAAGCAATGTTCGTCTCACTGGCGAAGAACTTAGATGTGGAGTTTCGGCTGGTTTGGCATGTGTTGAGGAACATGGATATGGACCACGGGCAATCGACCCGAGAGCAGCGCGACGTTGAGGAATTCAGATTCTTCTCTCAAGGCATTTGGAAAGACTTACCGAGATCGATTGTGGGTATTACCACTTTGCGAGGCCGGCTGAGTACGGTGCTCCTTTCGCAGATTGCTACGGAGCTGCCAAGCCTCATTGGAGAAATTGAAGATAAAGCCGGCCAATGCAAGACACGCCTGCGACAGCTCGGCGAGCCTCGAGTAAGCATTGACGAACAGAAGTCCTATTTGATGAACATAGCGCAGTGTGTTCAGGAACTGGTCAAAGCAGCTGTCGACGGCACGTACAACGACAATTTCTTCGGTGACGCTTACTCGTCCAGTGGGTATCAGAAGAGAATCCGAGCCATCATGCAAAACTCAAACGAGGTGTTTGCCGATGATATTGACCAAACTGGCCATCAGCGTCGTATAGTTGAAGCTGATGGGCAACAGTCTCCGGCTAAGCATCAAGTTGACATTACCCGAGAGGAATATATCGAGCATATCTGCCATCTCCTCAAGAGAACCAGGGGGCGCGAGCTCCCTGGGACTTTCAACCCCATGATCGTTCGTGATCTGTTTCTAGAACAATGTTCTCCGTGGGAGAGAATCACCTACCGCCATACTGATAGCCTTTGGGCCGCTGCCCAAGAATTTCTGATTCTTGTGGTCAAACATACCTCGGACGAGGCCACCTCAGCGGCGCTGATTAGGGAGATCATTTATCCAGCCTGCGACTCTATTAAACAGGAAATGAGCGTCAAGGTCAAGGAGCTTCTTCAACCTCACCAGATTGGCCATCCGATCACCTACAACCACTTCTTCACTGAAAACTTACAGAAAGTTCGAACGGCACGGCAGAGAACTAATATAGCCACAACTCTCCAGCAGTTTTTTGGCGTAAGCTCTATAAAACAGTCTTGTTATATGGATACAACAATTAAACTGGACGACCTCCTCACGCTGCTCACACAACATTCAGAGCCTGACATGGTTCGTTACGCATCGGTCGAGGCATTAGATTGCATGCTTGCCTACTACAAGGTGATTTATGCCCACGCCCCATCGCGTACATGAAATTGACTTGAGACAGGTAGCATTGGAGCGATTCGTGGACGACATTGCCAACGAAGTTGTAGAGGGCAAGCTTACGGCTTCCCTTTCGCGCATTTTGTCTCCAGTGACAGTGTTCGACATGTCCACAGGTCTGGTCAGAAGGATTGCTGGCGAGTAAGAAGAAAATCAAAACATTCGTGCGCAGCTTCGCAATGAGCTTAGTGTCTTGCAGAAGGGTCTTGAGACCTGCAAAGAGTTTGTCAAATTGAGAAAAGACGGTATGATTCTTCAGTCTCAACATTGATATTCTTACACGAGACCTTAATAACTTTCTAAGGTCATGGCCTCACAAATGCTCGGGATCTATCAAGGCAAAGCAGAATTGAATCGCTGCAGGAAGTAGCGACGCTGGATACAAAGAGATCTAATATTTCCGATCCATCAACTGATACGCCAAACTCACCTGAGATACCTGACGAAACGGTTGATGAAAATCTATTTCCTAACGTTGAGGCTGTGAGTCCAAGCCTCGAGCCAGTGGACGTGGTCCCTGCGCCCGTTGAAGAGACTGCAATCTTAAGCGACCATGAACCCGCGACAAAAAGGAAGATGAAGAAGAAGATGAAGCGGTCTAAGGTTTCTGCTCAGTCTGGCGGGACGTGAGTGGCCTCTGGTCCAAGGAGCTTTGATGTTTTCTCAATCAAAATGGATCCAACTCAAACGCGGTCACATTTTCCACTTCGGGAGACCAGCACTACTTAAGCATCTTTAGGAGAATGGGCCACATTCTCTCGGTTCAGCTTAACTTAACAACCATGATCACTTTGCCATGAACAATGTGTTACCGCATAGCTGTGTCAGGATTAGAGGTATAGCAGTAGAGAATCTAATGGCTCTTTACATCCCTGGATTTCAATGAACGTATCATATTCGCGCAGTCCAGACGACGCATTTTTTCCATGACAATTTCATACCAGAAAACATTTCGTGAGGATGATTTTATTAAGCTAAAAAGTGTGCCGAAGACAGAGAGGTGGAGGTTTCATCTAAGGCAGGAGATTTTAGGTATTTCACTCCACCTTGACCTTTACTTTTTTGTGGGTCCTGGCGGCCTTGAAGACAGAAAAATCGGAGTGAGTATGTTTACATCTCTATGATAGGCCTGAAGTGTGGTCTCGGAGGGGGGTGGCAGATACAACCGCAATTTGTGTGGGTCAATCATCTTCTCCTTGGACTGCTCACTGTTCACTGGGCATACTTGCCCCTTTCCAATTGGGAATCCCAATACTGGTCTCTTGACCTACCGTCGCTTCGCAAAGCCTTACTGCGGGTTGGATCTAGATGAGGGTCTTGCAGAACGTGCCAGAGGTGCGTGCCGACTGGATAATCACTAAATATTCCTAACGAGTGGATTCCTTACTTGTAGGTTGGGTTGTCTTTAAGGTGAACTGTGAAGTGCAAAGTGCTCGAGGTAGTAACCAAGTAGCAATGTGCAATTGATCGCGAAGATCTAAATACATGGTGCTAGATGAGTGTCCGTATATATCCAGTCCTTCCTATGGCTTGATGACTGCTGACTCATCAATTGATGCGAAACGGCTCATCGGCCGATGAGTCTTTCTTCAGTGCTCCCGCCATTAAGGGCTCATCGCCTGATGAGCCCTCCTTCCGTAATTCTAACGTTATCGGGGTGTTTCATGCGCTGCCGTGAGTCTCTCCTGTTCCCGGGGGTGTCCTTGTCGTGTGGTTGACCACAGTTTCCAGTAGTTGCCCAAGACTCGTGGATCATTCGCCAGCTAACTCGTCGACCGCACGGCCTGTCCCGTCTTATGATGGTTCAAGGTATATCATGGCCTTCCCACCGCGGGTCTCGGTTATCCCGTATCCTTTTGAGCATCCAGGGCGGTTTTTACAGTCGGATTCCTTACACTTGCAATGTTACACTCTTTTTGATTCTTGCCTTTCGTTCCTGACATCGGATTGTACGGTTACCTTAGAGGATTCCGGGACTTGCTTGCTTGTGGTTTTGGTTTGGTTCCTCTATGACTCGACCTGTCTGGTGAGATCAGACTGCCTTGAGCATACCCCTCTTCACTATACATTTAGTTACAACTTTGAGATAGTAGGAGAAATCAGTATTCAAGGAGAAGCACTTCCGAGCTTTGTGGAACATGCCTCATATTGAGACCACGTGCTTATTTCAACCCTTTTCAATCCTGGCTGGAGCTACGTCCTTTCGGGGGTTGCGAATTTCTGGCGTGAAATTACCATTTCTGGAATAGGGCATTCCTGTCCTTCCCCAGCTACTTTCTACTGTACTTTAATCACTCACCTACATAGCTTACAGAAGGAAGATGCGGGATGCGAGGGCGGCTGTCCGGAAGACCAATGAGAGTCCCGGTCACTTGATTAAAATATCTTTAACTTAAGGTGAAATTGTGTTATCTCTGTTTCTGGGTCGGTACTTAAAACGCGTGACAGACTTGTGATATGTTTCGAAGGTGGTTGTGAATATGGCCAGGAAACAATTCGCGACGATGATAAAGTAACTAGTAACTGAGGAATACGGTTCAAGATAATCAGGTAACTTCTCTGTCTGTTGAAACGTTGTGACAAATCAAGCTTCAACTCAACACTTTTGTAGCAAATTATGCTTCGTATGAAGTCTCCAAAAAAGCAGTAAATATAGACGTGGCAAGTGAATGCTATGACCCATGTATTAAGCTGCCTAGACCTAGTATTCAAACAGAATAAGATCTCAGACTGTGAAGTCCCTTGACATCTGTCGCATTCCATTATGATACATTTATTTGTGACGGCGGTGATTATTGTGATATCCTGCATATCACTTTGGTGAAGGGCTGGGGGCAATAGGACAAATACACATACGCGTAGTGTAGAGATACTCGCAGTATTCTGAGGGGTCTCGATTTGGTCTAGACTTCGATATCTGTTCTGTCGATGACACTTCACGACCCTTTCGAAAACGAGTAGGGCCGAAGATTGCCACCACCTTCTATGATTCTTACCTTTGATTATCTCACTAGTCTCGTGAGATGCAGCAACCCATTGCAAAGTCTTCCCTGCTCGCTCCCAAAATCGCAATTGCCAAATCCAGAGTCCTGCGCCTCTCTCGAATCGTAAATAAGTCATAATACACAAGTGCCGACCATGACTAAGAAAGTTAAGACTCAAAGTTGACAAGCTGGCCACGAAATTTTCGTCTGTAATATGAAGTGATCAATGACGATTCAGGAACAGATAGCTACACGTTATGGGTATTTCAAGAGCCACCGAGCTAGTTATGTCGCAAAAGCAATACTTGTTGGACTCGTCATTAGAGAATGCAAGAGCGGTTTTCCCGACTTCCGCGCCGCTTACTGACAAGCAGTTGAACGATTTTGGCAACTGGTGATGATAAAGTACTAGGTGTAAGGTATTTCTATCGAGTGTGATTGAAGTTGGCCAAATCTGGCTCGCTCTTTCTAGTGTATTTATGTTACGAGGCCTCTTTCTCCTGGGCCGGTTTCGAGGTTTTGATGCAAAGCCAGTGCAGGGGAAATCATTTACGGATACTCTTCATACTCTTCATACCGTGGGATATTGCACAAGCGTCATTTGTGCCAAGCGTTGGTTTCGTGGGATGCATTTTAACCGATGTAGGATCGTCAGATTCTTTAAAGGTTAAATGTGCCCCCAAAACATTCGTGATTACCGAAAAAGATACGTGAAGCTATGCCTTTCCTGGGGGTTGCAAACCTTCTGTGTGCAATTACCGTTCCCAGAATAGCGCATTCTCGATGCTTGAACTGCACAGACATTGATCACGCCTTGGGTGACTTCCTTCACTAACACCTCGCCACTACAAAGTATCGCATGAGATAATGGTGATAGCCAATGCGACCGAATATTCTGTCCAGTGTGACGTATTCACGGACAAATCAAAGTCAGTGTTTCGAAATTACGATACTCACTATTATGGATTGTACTATATTGAATGACTAGGCAAAAGAGATAAATTCCTCAAAGTAATGGAGCTTCAGAGGCTCGTAAGATTACTTACGTTCATCATTCCTGCGTAATTATGAGGTATTGTACGCGTCTCGCATCATACGATCTCGATCTGAAGAGAACGAGAAAGAATTGAGTTGTGATGTTTTACAGTGATAACCGTCAACATGGTCGGCAAATGGTTAAAAGCCATGGTGTGGTAGCTCGAGCGCAATGGAAATTCAAGAGTGCAACTTTCTCTCCTCCTCACAGGTCATCTTCGCAGCAGATCCACTCTGACTTGGTTACATTTCTAGCAAGAGAAGACCTCACCTCATCTTTGAAGTCTCTAGTACGTTTCAATACTCCCAACACTAGCCTTGCAAAATCGACATATTTCTTCAGACTCGAAGATGGAACTCTTCAAGTGCGTTGAACACATCAATCATTATGATACGCAAGCGGCAATAGAGCATATTCGTCGCTCTCATGCTACCTTCATTAGACGCCCCGGGCGCATTGGGGAGCTTGATTCACATGACCACATATGGTATTGCTACGGCTGTAGCTCCGGTTTCAAAGATCACCGAAGTTTCGATTCTGACGAAGCAATGTGGCAACATCTCAAAGCCAAACATGACCAGTTTGTGGATTGCATGACTCCTGTCTCATGAATTAATGCTCGCGCGAGGAAGATAAAGTTTCTCTGCCTTTGTAGTGACAGGAACGATCTCGGAAGAAAAAAAAATATCCGAATATCTTCAGTGGTGCACCCAGACAGAAGATCCTTGTTTTTTTGAATAGCCGTAACTGCTTCCGTTCTCTTGGGACAAATGCTATCTCGTCTTCAATCCACAAGATTTCATAAATTTGAGCTCAAATATCTCCACGTTACAGGAAACCGCGAATCCGGGGCCTAAAAAAGGTTTCGAGAAGGTCCATGTTGCATCAGTCCCAAGACATTGTGCTAGGCCGCGTGTGACACAGATTTAGGCCCTTGAATCAGTGTGCTAGATGTATGAATCGTAGTGTACTAATCGTAAAATATAGCATAACATAATTCATTGCTAATTAGTACCGGGAATTGAGTAACTAACAGTGTTATAAGATCTCCTAATCGTCTATTACCGGCGGCTCCGAATATGGCTGAGTCTGGACTGTTCTGACACAAGCCAGGGTGTCACGGCGTAGGCTTCTGTCGCATGGGGAGACGATTCATGGCGGAATCGCCCCCGCGTCACCTAAGGGAAAGAACCCTATGGGGCCCATGTGGAGATGTGGGAACTCGGCAAGCGGGACCTTGATGTATTTATTGTGGAATCAGTGGGGTCCTAACCAAGACTCCAAGATTCAGTCTTTGGAATTCAGACCCCACAGACTTGGACTCTCTGAGCTGCAATCCAGACAGCGTAACACAGGGGGTCAACACACACACACAATAGAAGGTGTTTGATAAGGACAGAATGAGCGAGCGTTTGTGCTCCTAGATCCGGCCCCGAACTCAACACCATCCCACAACTGAGAGTTGAGCCATTGATTGCAGCAATGAATTTGAGAATCTTCAGGAGGTACATACCTACATATTCTGCGACAACCTGTGGGTTAGTTGGGGTTTAAAGACAAGTATGTTATTGTCCTGCGTCGCCTCGCATTCATCACTCCTCATATCGGGTAACCATGCTGTAACAGAGGTTATGCAACGGTTTTATTCGCGGCCTTTATTGCAAAATTCACCCTCGAGGTGGGGAATCTCCCGATTCCGGTGATATTGGATCCCAAATGCGGCCCTACTTAAAAAGCTACAAGGTTAATCTACCAGTGTATTATCTCTTTTTATGGATATTGAGGGATATAGTCTTTTTAGATTCGAAAGTAATTTCATCCTGCGAATCAGGTCTTTCGGATATACTCTTTTTTGTGAAACTATATCAATAATCTACATTTTAAGAAGAAGCTTCGAGTTACGGATGTTAACTCCGTCGAATCCCGAAGGTAGAAAGACTCGAGTACCACTGACCTTTATCAGCCACTGTTACATGACTAAGCTCGGAAGTAGTTAGTTAACTAACTAACTAGTTATGAGGTACATCCGCCAAGACTCATAATCCTTATCTTAGCCAAGATTTGCCAATACACATCGACTAATTAGGTTGCGCTACTGCATGAAGGTACCTTTGCTAGAGACTGCTGTTTTTGGTTTGAAGCGAGGTAGACCTTTCATAAAAAGGCATACCTACCTCTGAAGATCATCTAAAGACCACGGCTCTGCGCTAAGTGCATCCTCTATCGACAAAATTGACGGATTCCCACGACTGACATCAAACATTTGAGATGACACGCAAAAGACGCAGAGCCGCAAAACTATGGTCGCTTCACCCAAGCCTCCACCAAGACGTTCTACCAATCCTCAATGAGGAAGGACTTCAAATGAAACTCCTGGACATCGACGACGAGATGAGCTGCGTCGTCGAAAAAGACACTAACATCCTGGGTTTGTCTTCCAATCATTCTGATGCTTCAACAGGCATGTCAAGGCAGATTTTACAGCCGATAATCTGCAGCGTGCTGCTTTTACTCGTTCTCAAAGAGGTGAGCTTTGTGAGATATGGAACATGAGGCATGGTAATGACTATTTGCAGTACCTAAGCATGTCAACTGTGTAAAGTCTTCTGGTCCACTCTTTATTTGCTTCGTGCTTCTTTAGAACAATTCTTATCTTGCCACTGTCAACTTATTATGTGGTCAGATCAGACTCAATGGTCTACACACAGAGGTTCAATTACTGAAATGAAAGATACAGGGGCACCGCAAAATCCCATTTTCTCTATTCATGATCTTTGTATATGAGGATACCTGTGTCCGTGAGCGGGTGTCTCGCGCACCCGGTTGGATGTTTTGAGTATCATTTTACGGGAATGAGAAAGGGCCTTGCCTCTTCTGGAAGAAATAATGGGGTTCAATTAATGCCGATCGTATACAGCGCGAATTATACCCCTAATCCATGGGATGGTCCCTATGTGTCGTGATTCAGATACTCACCTAATCGTGATGCAAGATAGGGTGCCCTCGCATCGAAATCTTCTAACAATGGAGGAGCTACATAAAAGTGCATCTCCCCGATTGATAAGTCACCCTATTCACCTGATCTAAATCCAATTGAGCAGCTTTGGGACTATATGAAAGATTGGATTGGAGATCGATATCTAGTAGCTCAGGATCGCAAGCTTTCGTATGATCAGCCGCATGAGGCGGTTAGGGCTGCATGGGACGCAATCCTTACGTCTATTCTAGACAAGCAGATTGATCTGATGCAAGCGCGCTGCAAGGCTGTGATTGATGCGCAGGGAGGACAACCCCCCTACTAACTACTATATTATTTTGATGTACAGTATTGTGGTGGTTTAATTACATTCTACTAAAAAAGTGGCAGGATCTTACCTAACAGTTTTACGTATCCCGACCACAGTATATTCGGTCCACCGCTCGATTTGACGGGACGCACAGGAAGTGGCATGACTACTCTGACCAAAACAGACTAGCGCTTACTATATTAGGATTAGTACAGTTCTAGCGGCATACTTTCATTAGGCACACCGAAAGTCTGTCGCACGGAGGCCCTGTGCCGAAAACGGGAGTTTACTGTACCTGATTTGCTCCAGCTCGATCTCATTTGCCATATGTAAACACTAACGTAATCCACGGCCGAGGAGGCCACAGTAAATGCGACTTTCCAGGTCACTGTATATCAACAACAAGAAGTTTCTTCTACTTGATCTTTTAGCATGATAGTATTTTTTAACCCAAGAAGTAGCTTAGCTTAACATATATATAGAGATTAACTGATTATTTACCTGCATTACCCAAATTACGTTCCGATCGAGTGATTCGAAGGGGTATATCTACACTGGCATCCCTTAAGTACTTCTCGACCTAAAAAACACTTTACTATGAGATAGTGAGCACTGTGATACCGTTAGACACTTTACTAGGTCTTGGTTGCTGAAATATCAAGTTGTAAAATATCGCATTTACTATGTGTTTTAGGGCGGCAGGCTCGGCCGGGGATTAACGTTCGTACAGGCTGTCCTGGCTAATTCGATCTTATTGTCACCGAATCCTTGCCCACGATCATGACCTGTAAGCACGCGCTCCCTGTCTGGCGTTCTTCCGCTCGTGTACCTTTCTCCACTCTGCTTAGGACTTTCAGACTTGCTCTTTCCCACCAGACTCCCAGTAGATATAATTAAACCTTTGTTCAAGGAACCTATTCGATTCCGCCGTATTTTCTTCTGCTTATCTTCCCGTCCACCATAAGCCTGGGTGTCGCATTTTACTCCGTACAGTACGCTGCGTAAATGTGATCGCCTTGTGGGGTGGGGAGGAGGGGTAAAAAGAGGGACGCATGTGATCCACCAGACGCCCAATTTGCTACGCATTGATGCCTAACCTGCGACGCACGCGCGTCCCCCATCAAACCCATCGAGCCACAAAATCGAAAGTGCAGGTCAGAGTTTCCTTTCTTCCGTCACCCGTTGACTTTGTTCGAGTACGCACGAATTACACGATGCGATTCGGTTTGGACCTGCCTCAGCATATGGTGCCGGAATGGGCATTGTTCTATGTTCCCTACAATTCATTGAAGATCTCTTTAAGAGCAATCTTGGTGGAATCTGTAACCGAAAATAAGCAACCTGATTTCTCAGGTTTGTCAGCTACCATCTCCAAACGCAAGAAGGTTTGCTAACATGATGTTCAGAATTATACACGACTATCAGCACAAGCGTTGATAGATTGAGTGATTTTCTACAACAGCAATGCAAGTTTCATCTTCAAGTGCAGGCGGAGCTCACCAGGAAATATGGACTTGAACGAGTGCACGACCCAATACGATTCCATTATTCGATATTCTGCAACAAAAAGAAATCCTGCGAACTTGAGAATTTAAGCAAAGATTTTATGAAATTACAGTCGTTTCTCCTGGTGAATGAACAAGCTGTCGACAGGATATACAGAAAAATTGAGAGCCGCTGTGCTCCTCCGACAAAGCTCCATCAGATGTATAAATCCCGATGGATGGAGTTGAAGGTTCATTTTCAGGAGAATCTTTGGAAATTGAATCGAAATCTGGAAAGTATCTTGGCAGGTGCTTTTTGCGCTCGTTGTGAAACGCGAGCATCTGTCAACCCGATTATTTCCGAGCCGACCTCCGGCCAACCTGTTCCTTTTGCAAAGGAAATACTCGCTCTAGAATGTGCCATTCGAAATGACGAGCCTTCGATACTAGCAACATCTCTTGCACTCTACCAGGTGAACGATGCTCTTGCGTCAAATTCTGAGGCAATTCTCGACTATCTTCTGGAGCTCTCAATAACTCACCACGCTGGAGGTTCAATTCAGTACTTGTTATCAAAAGCCTTTCCGGCGAACGGATTAATGGCAGACCATAATCTCCTGAACCGCATGATCACCAGGGTGGGCGAAGAAAACTTGTTTCATGATCGCCTGGAACATATTCAAAACAGACAGTCTCTTTGTGAGACCTGCCGTGATGGGACTCGAGAAAGTACGGTTGGTCTCGCTGTTGACCTTGTGAGCCGCGGCCAGAAAAACATCATTTTGGCTGTGGATGAACTTGGCCGCTTGCCGCTTCATTACAGTGCGTTATGCGGCCTCGATACTGTGTGCCAAAAGATCCTCGATCAAGTACAAGATCAAGGACAAGCATCAAAGCTCATCCTGTCTTTGGATTCTCGTGGATATACACCATTCCATTATGCGGTGGCTGAGAATCACATGGCTGTTGCAAAGATATTCTTTAACACCTTGGAGGTTGAAGGTCAATTGAGTGGGCAGCTCGGCTTCAAGATCATGGGTCACATGCAAAGCCTCCTCAACGTTGCGATCCGGTATCAGTTTGACGACATAGTTGTTCTGCTTGGAAAGTTCCGGCTTTTTTTCCCATGGGGCCTCGCTCATGAAGAAAGCCCAATTTATGTCGCAGCTGAGATTGGACGGGATGATTATCTCGGAACCCTACTAGAGGTCGACAACAAGACAAATATAGACGATCCCCAGTTACCTTGCGGTTGGTCTGCTTTAACCATTGCTTGCATAAAGGGTCACAGGAAAGCCGCCGAGCTCCTCTTGCAAGCTGGGGCGAGCCAGCACATACCTGATTACCGTGGCTGGTATGCCATAGAACATGCAGCCTTGAGGGGTCATTTTTCCTTGGCGGAACTTCTTAAATCATGGGACAAATCTCAAATGACTGGCGACCCTGCTATCATGCCCTTGCCACCTGTCCATCACGCGGGGCTTGGCGTTTCTGTCACTTCTGATCACGCAATTGTCAATATTGGTGTTTTGCAGAGTGGAAAACAGGGGAAGGGCGTCGATCTCAGGAATAGTTCCTCAAAGGACAAGATTCTCACCGGTGTATTACCACCGCTTGACATGTCTGTATCAGTGGGGAGTACCGTTAGCCAACTGATTCGCTTACCAATCATGAGTGATATGGTAAACGAACCATTTATATTCCCTATGCACAATTCAAACGAAGCCCACCTGGTCTTCAAATTTTATCGCCAAGGCTCGTCATGCGGGAAAGGCGATCTAATTGGCAGTGCTGCGACCCTACTTCGGAGTGAAGAAGATTACTTTGGACCAAACCGCGAAAGCCTTTCCAGGGGACGTACCATTCCTATTTTGGCAAAGGAGACTTCTGACTTCCTAGGAACTGTGACGTTTACCTTCTTGATTGCGAAACAGCCCATGGACCCGAAAACACCACCACCTATTGACAATTACTTCCCAAAGCAAGAAACACAACTTGTTGGTCACAGAGGTAATGAAACTGGCCGTTGTATGTTATGACCTTCTGGCTGACCGAGATTGCTATAGGCTCTGGTCAAAATACTGCAGATTGGAGCTATCTTCAACTTGGAGAGAACACAATTGAGGTTGAATAAGCCTCCTCCCACAAATCTGTACCCAACGTCACTAATCATTGAATAGTCCATGCTTTCGGCCACAAAACAAGGAGCATCATTTGTTGAGGTGAGACTTATCCTGTGCTTAACTTGTGTGCTTGCCTAACGTTAAACAGTTCGGTAAAACAACATGAGAATAGTATGACACAATCTTGTATTCGCTAATATGTAACAGATGTGCAGCTTACTCGAGATTTTGTACCCGTCATATTCCATGACTTCTCGTTAAGCGAGTCAGGTACTGATGTACCCATCCATGATCTTACTTTCGAACAGGTAAGCATCCTAAGTACGACTAGGGGTTCTCAAGGCTCACTATGGAAGTTTATGCACGCTAGCAAACTTCAATTCCCGAGAGAACATTCACAGTGGAGACATGGAGACGGTAGTACAAAGTGCAGCCCAGAACACCAGGTCAGATACAGACATCGATCACGCTCATTGACGACAACCCATATACAAGAGACCGATCAAGTTCTCGATAGGATGAGATATACTGTTGACGTCAAAATTAAAGGTTTCAAGCCAAACACGAGAGGATCTTTCATTCAAGGCCCTTTCACCACGCTAAAAGAGCTACTCGTGAAGCTGCCAGACTCTATTAACTTCAATGTTGAGATAAGTATGTCTCTCAGTCCAATATCCAGTTTTCCTGACCTGTGGCTTGAACTTACCCGAACAAGAATATCCGAGATTCCACGAAGCGATTGAAGCCGGTTTAGCCCCGATTGGGCTTGAGATCAATGAATTCGTTGATCGAATACTAGATCAAATCTTCCAAAATGCTCGAGGACGAAAAATAATACTTTCCTCCTTCACACCGGAAATTTGTATCCTTTTGGCCCTCAAACAGAAAAGATATCCGGTCATGTTCATCACCAATGCCGGAAAGCTTCCGGCTAGTGATTTGGAAATGAGAGCTTGCAGTCTCCAAGCTGCAGTCAGGTTTTCCAAACGGTGGAATTTGGCCGGTATTGTCTTTGCTTCCGACATATTACTTCTATGTCCGAGACTTGTGGGCTATGTGAGACAAACAGGGTTTGTTTGCGGGTCTTATGGCTCCTTAAACAATGTTCCAGAAAATGTGAGGGTGAGTAATAGGGCCAGCAACAAGTGAATCTGGCTGTCTGACAAGTAATTTAAGGCGTACATAAGCGAATCCAACAGCTAACGAAATTATTTCAGATACAACAAGCGGCAGGCGTTCAGATTTTGATGGCCGATAGAGTTGGCGTTGTCTCAACGGTGCTTAACGAGAGCCATATCGACTCATCAGTTAATGCATCCACTCAATTTGACTAGGCACATGTGATCGCCTTTTTGGGATGGGAGGGTTGTTGAAGTTATTGGGTCTCATAGATCGATGAGGCGGGCCGGTCTTGTAGTAATACCCACGTTCGAACAGGTTGGAAAGTGTACCAGCTGGCGGTGGCTCCGGTTCTGTCTCGAGATATCAAGCTACCTAACGCAACCCTTAGCGCCGGTGTTTCCAGAAACGCCGTTGTCAATTTTCAATAATTTGTTGTGGAAGCATTTTGGATCTATAAAGGCCAAAGCGAGGCCCAGGCACCTTACTCTGTGTCGCAAATTCAGGTGTACTCGATGTTTGGAAGAGATCGCCTTTCTTATCATGCAAATTGCCTCTACGTGACTAAACGGACAAGAAAAGGACAAAAATGCCCTGCCTCTGGATTTAAGCAACTATCTCATGAATGTCTCTTTTGAGCTCCTCGTGCATCTGGAACATATGTCAGTCAACGTTCATGAAGGCTGTTAGGCTCGTCGAGTTCGATGGGCTCAGTTCCAATCTTTGATGGGTGTATTTGGAGGTTCGGCATTTGCAGCTGGCTAATTGGCCACCTCGGACACGAAGTCTTTGTACGGTACTTTAAGGGGACAGCCATACATGTAGTTTTAATATATTGTTGTTAGTTAGTTACAGAGCCTGCTTACAGTCTGGCTTAAGTAACCACAAACAGATATTAGTCAAATAGCAAATGGACTTTCCTAGAACATTATTGAGAGGCTTAGACCTAACTATCAGGTGATGGGATGCAGCTACGGTAGGGGCAGCTGCACGATGTGTGAGAGGGATAAGGAGTGAGATTGCTACTAGGGAGAGATTCTATCTAGGCTATGGACTACGGTAAGTCGGCAGTATCACATGCTATATAAATACCCCCTGAATCGCGACTCTGTCGTAATCTCACTGCAAAACTGAAATGAAACTATTGTATATTATTAAAATAACGAACGAGTTTTGTTTGTGTCGAGACGCTTATGAAGGTAGTTTCTTCATGCCTAGAAGGGTCAAGAAGCGCTCGAATTAAACTCGTTATAGTGGTTTAGTAAGACTATTAGCGGCCTATTTGGAGGACGTAACTTTGACGAATTTATATACGCCTCTAGCTACCTAGTCACGAATATAATGATACTTAATATCAATATACTTCGTAAGTTGATGTAAGTTATGGCTCTTAGTAAGAAAGATAGTACCTTAGTTATCCTTATAGATTAAAGTAGGCCGGTCTAGTAGGTCTTCGAAGCCGGGACTAAGCTTATTTAAAAAGAGATATAACTATATAACTTCCTATATAGCTAGGAAGGCTATAATATATTCGCTTTCCGTAGACGAGAGAGCTACATATGTAAGAAGAGAAATCAGTGCAGTCTTATTAAGTGCTGGGAGCTCGGGTACGCTCGGTCGGGGACTTGGCAAACTGAACGTGAGGACACCCAGGATGGGTCACGTGGGCTCTAGCCTGCCGTAAGTCAAGAACGTCATGACTTCGAAGGACTCGCAGATTCCCCCCAAGATAAATAATCCGAGGAGGATAGTTTAGAGGGAATCAAGAGTCAGAGTTGTCTTCTGCCGATACATACGTTGACGCACTCTGTAGCTCATAAGATATCCTTTCCCCTACGTATCACTTCCTAATCCCTACCGTCTCTTCTCATGACTCGTATACGACCCAGTCCCCCTCTCGGACTATTCCCCTTTAGGAATTGCCCTTACAACATAGGTCTGCTTTTTGGAAGCCTAAGTAATAGGGCTATTTATAAGCTTAAATATAAGGCCGGATATAGATATATAGGAATTAGTATACTTACTAGCCTAATCTATATTGATAAAGCCGAATAGGCTACTTAGTAAGTATAAGTAGATAATATATAGGTCCTTAGACCCCTTAAGGTAACGAAAGATATATTTTAAAGTAGTTATATACTTAGATAAAGGATTATATATATATCGCGTATACGATGTGACGGTTAGCGGGGCGCAGCATCTGGCTCCCATTGAACCGTCGCCCTGCCGCCTCTGACCGCTTGCCGGATTCCGCTTGCCCCCTGCTATACTGGGGATAGCGCCCGCACCCGGGACCAGTTTGGGTTTAGTGCGATCTGTGGCCGCTTTTACCGCCCCAGCTCTGCCGTCCATCTATAAAATATCGGTCTCCGTCCTCTCGACTCAACCACGCACTTTCTCTTCTTTTCCCCTTTGTTTTCCCTACCCCCTTTTCCTTTGAGCCCCCAAAAGTCTATGCGTCTTATATCTCCACTTGACGCTCTGACCCCTCTACCTCGCCGGAGATGCCGCTTGAACCGACGGTCAAGCCGCGGTGACTGGCGTTGCGGCGTTGGTCTTAACACAGTTTGAACTTGTACTACTGTACGGCTAAAGGCCATAATTTGGGATGAAAGAGATTATCATCCACGGCCGACTATCCTTCCATTGCATACAACGGCTATGAACGCGTCGTCTCGTTAGAATCTCGATCTTGCACCATTATATTGGCCTTCTCTACTTGGTACCAGATCAGCGCGCAAGGTGTCTTTGGCTTATTCGCCTTTCCAGAGTTCAGTCTGCACTGTACAGCCTCAAAATTTCCCGCTTACGCCCCCTACTGCCTTGATTCTCAACCTCATTGGCAGCCATTTGTCGTCATCGTCGGTCTCTCCGAAGCTATCTCGCCCCGTTGATGCGCTCTCGAAACGATAGACTCACCATTTGAGCCAATGGCGAAAATACCGCATTCAATCCTAGCTTCAAGCACTGACTCTCGCTAATCATAGGGCCAGAAGTGGATTGCCACATGAACCACAGGATACTGGTCCTGATCCGATTAGGCTATTTCTACGTAGCGCATGACGATCAGAATAACGACTCCCAGGTACATTCTTCAGAATTGAATGGTCGGAGGTATCGCAAAAACTCTTCCAGTGACTAAAAATTATCTGCCACTGTACAGTTGCTGCCGAGCCCCTTCAATGGATTGGGCGAGCTTCAAGGATCTGATTGGACCAGCGGTCAAGCTGCGGGTTCCTCTACCATAGCTCTACCTATATAAGGACTTTCATCCTCCTGCTCCTGGCATACTCAAATCACCATCACATACCCCCCCTTCCCTCGCTCCTCGAACCCCTCATCTCCATGCCACTCTTCCCCCTCCCGTCCCCTGTTGCACACGTGCCCAGAATCACCCATCCCCGAGACCAGCCGTCCAATTCTCCCAAGATGACTAGTGCAAGCTATCGTCTGGACTCCTTTCGTCCCTGGAACCCTTTTCATGACAAACCAGAAGCCCTGAATATGACTGCGAAACTTTGTCGTTACCCAAGCCCCATCTCTATGACAGCCACTCCAACTGCTTTATCTTATGATAATCCACCAAAGGCGCAGAGTTATGCCGACAAAGCTCGACGACATCCTCTTCCTGCCCGCCCACCAGAAGAAGTGTGCTTGAATGCTGAAACTAAGTTGCGGTCTCAGTCGACCACCCTGTCCGAGTTCGGAACTTCGCAGCGAACTGTCACCGTGGAGCACGGCGACCTAACTTCCTATCCCGAGGAAACCGTCCAAACAACAGAAATCGAAGATACCACCGCACACATCGATCCTGCAATTTTGAATGACAACCCAGCTTCAAGTTTTGAATTTGCCAGTGAGGCTTCACCCTGTCAGGAGCTTAATCTTGCAAACACTACGGACAGCTCGTCTCCACAAGATTCGACCTTCGACACTGTACTTCCTGCCCCGCAACTCAGACAACATACCCCAGGAAGCTCTGCGACTTTGAATAAACACACCACTTCAGTGACGAAGCGCTGTTATATCCGAAAGAGACTCATAGGAAATGGCTCTAGTCGGGTTCTCTTACGGGAAACCAGCCCTCGCAGGCGGGAGGCTCATAGCCCCACTTTTTCCGCTTTTCGTACTCAATTCTTCGCAATGTCATTGCAGGATCGGTTGCAGTTCGTTTCCTGGTTGTTTGAGAGCGCCCTATCTCAATGTCTTGCTCAGCCTAGTAGCCCGGGCACCAAGTCTCTATCAAATTGTGGAACAGGCTGTGATCCTAGTACAAAGTCCGGTCCTATGCACCAAAGCTCAATTGCCGAGAGCGTGCGTTCCTTCGATCAGTCTCCCTACCGTGAATTAGAGTGTGGACCGCAGCACCACAGAGAATCACCACTGGTCGAAGACAAAGATCAACAAGACGATGATCAGCTTGAGTACGAAATCGAAGAGATCCTCGCGCATAGAAAAGGCGCGCATGGTTCCGTCTCATACCTCGTTAAGTGGAAGGGCTACGAAGAGTCTGAGGCCACTTGGGAACCAGGTGTTTCAGTGCGAGATACGGTTGCACTAGAGAATTATGAGTTACAAATGGCCATCACCGCGGACAGAACTCATGCAACACGTGATTACAATGGTAGCACCGGCCGTGCACAAGGCAGGAATCATTCTTATTCCCGTCGTCCAGACTCAGTTACCAAGCATACATCTATGCGCCATGAACCTCCTACAAGGAAAGGTTTACCATGGTCTCCGGATGAATTCGCCCTTCTGTTAAAGCTCAGAGTCGAAGACAATCTCCCTTGGTCCGCAATCTATCGGGAATTCTCACGGAAATTCCCTGGTCGGACTAAGGGCTCCCTCCAAGTGTATTGGAGCACAAAAAGAAGGGAAATCTAAAAGATGTGTGCTTTGACTGATAGCCATGCTTAGTTCACCTGTTATCTCAAGCGAAAGAAGAAATTTATCATTCGAATGACCTAGTTAAATAGCAATAATTAAATACCGTTTTCTCCAGGACACTGAGGCAATGTGTTCATTCGCTACCTTGCTTTGGACAACGGTTACTGGTCCTCTTTCCCTTCCTTTCTTGAATAATCTTATACGTACTTGGTCCCCGGGCACAACAAAAAATTCTAATCGATGCATTCAAACTGCTCGGGGAGCACTGAAAGTGGCTGGCTCTATGAACTCTGTAATTTGTCGAGGGAGAACACTAATGAGGTCTAGTTAGCATCCTATGGGGGGCGCTGATGAGCAGTGCACTAATATGAGCAAGCCCCAGATATATTCAAAAATCCATCAATATAAGCAAGCGTAGTTATTACAAAGCCAGGACACGAGGGCTTTCTAGCCACTCCTATGCTGACCCATAATCTACAACTCTTCATTCAGCCTTGATTCAGCGCTTAATCTTCTACTTATGCTTTAGCAAAGATGACGCTTAGGCTATCAATTCGGGGAGCGATCGCCTCCTGGTCTCTATGCTAGTTTAGTCCCGGCTGCCTCGTAAGCAATACCGGAGCACTCCCGGAGCAATCTTGGAGTAGCCGGGGCGAGCCCTGGAGCAATCCGGGAGTAGTCGGAGTACTCTAGAGCACTCCTGGAATACTCTTGGAGTAATCCGGGAGTAGACAGAGTACTCCTGGAGCATTCCCGGAGTAATCTGAGAGTACCCGGAGTGCTTCCAGAGTGCTCCTGCGGCGCGGCGCGTCCGGAGCAGCTCTTGAGCGACCCACTTCCAGCGTATTCATAATCAATTGATACATAAAGAACTTTTGTACTGCACCCCTCCGATGTTACAATAGCCCGCTCTAGTGGGGGTTCCTGGGATCGCAGATAGACAACGTGTTCTCACGTCCCTTCCACACCTAGTAGGTCTCGGTTACTACACAAACCTGCCTCCGATAACGCTTACGTCCTCCAAAATCGAAGGCTAGGGCTCAGTTTTTGCTACTAATTTACTGAATCCAAGGGGCTTCCCGCCGTTCTTTTTGATGGGTGCTACTGCAGGAGTTTTCTTGCCGAAAATAGATTTTCTTGATTGTCCTGCCTCGCGATGCTTCCTGCTCTCAGAAGCCCCTTTGTGCTAGCGATCGGGGGCTACACATAGCAATCAAAGAGAGATGGGAAACGGGACCAAGCACTACATAGGGGAGCGTTTAGGTACATCTAGACACTTTCGCTGTGTTAATGTGAGAGCAGCAAACTGCAAGGTATCCTACGATCTAGAACTCTAATTCCCAAGTTGTTGACTCTGTGATTTGACTCGGTATTCAGGATGGACTTAGTTCCCACATGGAGTACAATATCTCATCGCCAATTTATTCTCATCAAAGCTAGAAATTCAGAGATTGATTGACGTCGCAGTTCTGTGTTCACGTCCTACGCTTTTTACTTCCAGTGATGTATCATTATGTCAGTGCTTCGTAAAGTCTTCTTCTAAATCCGAAGTAGAGAGTGGTAGAAAGCAGAGAGTAATGCTCACGATTAGTAGAAAGGTCCACAGAGTGATCGGCTTCCGAAACTGGCCATTGCAAGTTGCACCTAATCCTGCCATCGCTCAAATTCAATTCGTGGTCGGGATCGTATTGCTGTAATTAGACAATTGGGCATGTTGATGGCCATGCCTAATGAGGTTACTGCTTGGTTGATAGACATGTGCGTTTCTGCGTGCCAGTTTGCTCGTTTTTTCGGCAGTAAACGTGGAACCTGGTGGAGATTGTCCAACACTGCGACGATTCCAGGATCCAGCTGATTCTCCCTGGGACCAATAGCGCCCCGAGGATCAAGTTCGTGGTTGATTGATTGATTGATTGATTCATAGTCTGTCCCAGCCGCCCTACTAGCAGCTATGCAGCCTTCAACTATCAATACATGTCTTCCTGCTTCCTGCATTCGAAAATGAGTCGCTCTGACCAAAGTGACCTTCTTCTACTGCTTCCAGCAGTTACACCATACTCATAGTTATAATAGTTGTTCTGTATCCATGACTTGTTAGACCTTTCCTGGCCCCTTCTGCTTCTGTTTGACAGAATCACTCGTCTGCGGTAAGTTGAGCACCGTGGATGAGCTGCCGGTAGGGCCCCTCCTGTAGAGACTGTTCCTTGTTCTCTAACAGTTTCCCTTGTTTTATGAGTGCCTACAGTCACCACATCCCGAAGCGTTTTTAGCTGTCTCTTTCACATTTTATGTCAAACGTGAGTTTCCCCCTGGAATTCTTTCGGCCGTGGAGTCTTTTTTTCAGAAAAAAAGCCCAGCATCTATGAGATTTTCTCGATATTTGCCGCTACCCCAAGACTTTGGATAACGCTCAATAAACAGCCGATTCCATTTAGTGGAGGCCACGTAGAAAATGAGATCTTTATATTAATCACCGTCAGCTTTTCACATCCTTCTCTCTTGTCAGCATTTTTCCAACGTTACAATTATTCTCCACACAGCTTCGATCAGTTTCATAGATTGTTTAGTAATTCCACCTTTCATTGCCTTTGCCAAGCTTTCCCGTATATCATCTCTTGAGACGTGAGAATCGTGCGAGCGGCGCTGGAGTGCGGGAAAATTGCCGATACCAACGGGCAAGACGATCACTTTGATTTCCATTGTTCAAAATAGGACAGGCAGCTGGCTGAAGCATTTAAACCCCTCTTCCGGTGGTGCAGCAACAGGGGGGTTTTGAGGTAGGATCGCTGACAGTATTAAATGGCGGTGAGTCTTACCTAGGTTGTCTGTAGCAGTCCACTCAGTTCTCACTTCTCTTTACATTATCTCAAGGTTCTCTCCTGGGCGGTCCTACTTCACGACAATGACGACTTATGTTCTTTACAGTCCTGACGGCGCAATTGATGAATTCTTCAACTCGAACACTACTGTCACAAGACAGCATTGCGATGAATACGCCATTTCTCACGCTGGTGCTGTGTCCACTGCTTTACAGATGCAAGGAGTGTGCAGCTATACCGTGACAGTGGGGCCCAACAAGTCCAAGCTCTTCCAGTTCCGAGATGAGAACTCTACCATTGACATGGGCAACATTTCCCTTGCCAAAGCAATCCATCCCGAATTTGTGGCTAGCTGCAAGTATCTCGGTACCATGGGCGATTCGCGGCCAGTCTATATCTACGAGATGGAGCATCTTCCTGGGACTGCTCACATAATGGCGCGCATTCTTCCAGACGACATGTCCCGACAGCGTAACGCTATCAAGGACTTTGCAAGGTACGCCTAGCAAAGATTTTGCTTCATTTGTAAGAACTAACATTTAGAACAGGTTCTTTACACAGTCATGGAACAATGACCTACGGCCATGCTCAGATGCAACTGCAACATTGCTTATGGAGTTTCAATCAAGTTTTGACCTCCTTGCTCGAAACCTGCCATCTCGCTTTGCACCGAGCCTAGAAAGGGTCCGCAAGGAGCTCCTGTCTCTCTTCTCAAAAGCCCTCCCCTTTGTTCTTAGCCACGGTGACCTTAACGGGATGAATCTCCTCGTCAATCCTAAAACCGGAAATATCACAGGGATTGTCGACCGGGCTGAATCAAGGATTCTGCCGTTCGGCTTCGCCCTATACGGGCTTGAGAATTTTTTGGGCCGGATGGATTCAGAAGAATGGCACTACTACGATCGCTACCGTGAACTCGAGAGCCTCTTCTGGCAAACCTTTCGAGAGGAGGCTCATGATTTCTCTTTCACTGATTTGTATTTGATCCGCGCTGCGAGGATGGCTGAATTATTTTACCGTTATGGATTTAATTCTAATGTGAAAGGCGTAGTGCAAGGTGTGCGGATGGACCAGCCGGATGGTTCGCTCGCATATCTCGATGCTTTCTGTGCTGCTGGTGAGTGGGCTCCTCTTGCCTGAGCCTGCTTATGATGTGCTGCAACGCAGGCAGGGTGGTAGGATGTCATGTGCGGATGCAGGTACTTCTATATGTATTGGCAGTAAACTCTGAGCGTACACATTAATACTTGGTCAATCTAGTGAGTGAAAGGAGACCACTTTAGTAAGACATCGTTAGTAACACCCCCGATTTTGAACTATTTCGATACTATCTCCTAGGTAAAGATACACTCAAAAGACAATATCTTCATTTCGAAGGACAGCCATAACTCAACAGAGTGTGGGTGACGCGGGACGCGCATGATATCTCATAATTACGCAGGAAGGACACACGTGAGTCCACACGTGATTAGTATGTAGTCTTACGAGCTTCCAAAGCTCCTTAACTTAGAGGAATCCATCTCTTTTGCCTCTCAGCATCCAATAGTGGGTGATCCCACGGGAAGAATCTGGCTTAGTCAGCCTGTTTTAGCCGAGAGATTTAAAATTCCAGATGTTGCATGGAACAGTGCAAGTAACCCGTGGCTTTCAGACGAGGAAGCAGTCGCTTTTCAATCGAGAGGGCCACATGAGCCATCTTTCGCACAGTTTGGTGGGTTTTTTGACTTACATCCAGGAGCAGACGCGATGAGAAACAAGTCTATATTTGTCACCGTAATACCCAAAGACAAGAACTTCTTTTCCGTTTGTCCCATCATTTCAGTCCAGGAAGTAGATTTTCTTCGAGTTTTTGCTGGGATGATTCGCTATTCAGGGCCCTGCAACGTCACATATGGTGTGCCTGGCCCTGAAGAAAATCTCTGGTTGGACTATTCCACAGTCACTGGGGCACTCAATCTGATGAGCGTATCGCGCCCTGGCGAAGATTCCAATGTTCGCCTTGACTGGGAGCTCATTAGTGAGCGGAAAGGAGAAAAGCCGTTCTTGATGTGGAGGGTGACAGTCCGAGCTCTTCGGCTGATTAGATCGTTTGAAGAGATGATTAGAGCTGCTCCGCGAAAGGAACAATACCTTTTGCATAAGCTAGCAGCCGGCGCAGAAAGGGGATTCAGGAAAGGTGAATAGTAATGGATTCAGAGGGAAGAAAGATGTTGAGCCGTTCTTTGCTTTATTGGTTCGATCTCCTGTAAATTTTCAAATCGAAGGCTTCATTTTATTGATAGCTTTGATTCAAATCCTACCTCGATCAAGTCTGTTCTTCCACGGCCCTGCCCGCCACTTCTGTTGTTGTTCTGTTTGTTCCGCTCCTTCTCTCCAGGGCGTTTGTAAACAGGTTGTGGCCAGTTTTCAATATGGAGTGAAAAAATCGCTGATAAACCTGGAGAGGGGGAAAATTTGCACGCACCGCTGGAGAACAAAGAACGCCGGTTTACGCCATCCACTTTTAGCTACTATCCTAATGCTTTTAGAAGGATTTACACGACCCATGAAGATAATTTGTGATACTGCGGGTAGAATATTCATTCCTGGGAGCCAAAATTGCTCGGGGAGCGAGGGTAATTTGCCCGGGAGTGAATGGGAGTGTGGCTGGGGATCTCTGCGCTGATCCCATAGTCAATGCGGCTGCCATGTACATCCTGTGGGATTGTGAGGAGCTTCCTTGCGTTCAGGGAAGCCAGGTAAGCTATGTGGGGCCCTCGATATTGTATCTTCCCCAGTCATCGCTTCCTGGCTAGGTAAGATGAAAACTCCTAGCTGAATATCGATCCTGGATAGGAGGGATGCGTGCCTGGTGCTGGTCGATGCGTAAAGGTAACCTTCTGGAACTTTCGAGTGAAATGGTCGGGGACTTGTGCCGCCTATAAGCAGAGAAAGGTCTGACAAAGAACCGATCATATATTCTAGTTTGTTCCCAGAATAGCAACACCAATAAGTTCTAGCTGGGCCAGAACATGGAATCTGTATTTGAGGTGTCTCGATCTGCTGAAGGACACGTACTGTAACCCATCATTAGGAGGAAAGATAATGTGGTCTTTGATCGAAATTCGCCATGCGTAATTCTATCTCAGTTACCTGCACCAAGGCAAGCAAATATCAAGCATTGTGGCAAACAAAGGCGCCACTCGCAGGAGAATGGCCAACAGACATGGGTCGGGTGAACCAAGAGATGTCATTTCTGGCAGAATACAATGAATATGAAGAACACTAGAAATATTCAAAGCAGAAATTTTCACACCACGAAGATGGAAACTGTGCCATCTTCTCCTGGGATCGGAAGACCCCTTGCTACAAGAGTTCGTGTTCGTTTAGCCCTCTTCCTCGAAGACATGCTCTTCCAGTTCTGATATAAAGCTACATCCTCAAGCGAAACTTTCGGCGGACGGAATTTATCCGGGGAATCCTCAGCAACATCAGGCTCATCGGAAACATCAGGCTCATGAGCAGCATCAGGCTCATGAGCAGCATCAGGCTCATGAGCAGCATCAGGCTCATGAGCAGCATCAGGCTCATGAGCAGCATCAGGCTCATGAGCAGCATCAGGCTCATGAGCAGCATCAGGCTCATGAGCAGCATCAGGCTCATGAGCAGCATCAGTCTCATGAGCAGCATCAGGCTCATAGGCGGCAACAGGCTCATCGGCAACATCAGGCTCATCGGCAACATCAGGCTCATGAGCAGCATCAGGCTCATAGGCGGCAACAGGCTCATCGGCAGCATCAGGCTCATCGGCAGCATCAGGCTCATGGGCAGCATCAGCCTTCACAGAAGCGGGATTTCCATTAGTCGACTCTTCTGTGTGTCGCCCATTAGTTATCTTGTCCACTGATTCGTCTATTGCTGCGTTTCCCTCTCCGTTCCCATGGCTGTGCATCTGTTCGCAGGGGCTCTTCCCGTCCTGCGAGGTGATTTCCTGGGAATGAAGGAGTATATCGAGCATCATTTTCGTCACAGTATTATCGAAATAATGATCCTGGCCAAGGGCATTGTAAAGTTCATCCAGATCGAATTCTGACTTGCTGGACCTCAACGACTGCCGGAGGTTTCTTTCGATATACTTCGGAAGCCAGGTTTCGTCGTTGGGAAGTTTTGAAAAAACCTCCTTCGTAATCCGCAGTATATCAGTCATAGAAATTTCTTCGCCGAACCGTTCTATGTAATCTCTGGCAAGGGCTTCAAGAGCAGGAAGCTGGTATGTCCTGGATGCTTGGTAAACCAGGACACTTCTCTTATACTCTCTTACCACACTAGATGTGCCGTCCTCAACTGACGAGTTGATCGTCTCGTAGCATCCTGAATATAGGAAATGCACAAAGGTATGGCCGACATCCTCGTGAACACCAGGCAGGGTAATGTATGAATACAAAAACGACTGCTGCTCAAATTGTGGGCATTTCCGAAGACAATATCCCGGAATGCAATATTCCTTACTCCCGATCGTGGCGGTCACGACTGGGGCTTCGTACGGTCTATAGAAAGTCAGATATAATTAATTTTAATGGACCAAAAGCACTCACGATGACAATGGCTGGACATAATCGATCTTTGGAGATACCTGGACAGACATCGGACTCGCGTGTTCCTCTTGGGTTCGACGCTGCTTGGAACTCTTCTTTGCCATTTTCGTCGGTCCTTGCAGTATGGAGAGAGAAGGAAAGTGGAAACGAGGAAAGCCAGGCCAATTTAAGAAATATCCAAAGCAGCGGAGTGTGTGCCATGACTTTCAAGTTCTTTGGGCGGCAAAAAGAGGGGAAATGCAGGAATGCAGGTATGAGTTGTTCTGCATGCGCTACCATGTACGTACCGCCATCGCCAGATTCTCTAAAAGCTGCAGCACGTCCAGTCCTCGTATTACTACGTCCCTTCGAAAGACGCAGTCCTCTCAATGATCTGTTATGATGGAGCATTTTTGTCCTGTTCGTAAGCTGTTACTACTCATTAGCACCAGGAACGTGTGCCTCGTCTCCAGTATCGCGCTATTTATTCCTGGGAGCTACGAGACCTCCGAGAGCCTTACTAATAGCTCCTATGGGTAGAACTGTATCTAGGAGCTTTACCCTAGGCCGAGGGTCCCAGCCAAGCCAGGGTGTGTTGTCCTTGGAGCCAGACGCCTCTTACGGCGGAGAGCCTAAACCCATCACCTTTCGGAAAATATCCCAGCCGGAGCTGGGAGCTTTATTGCTTCTGGAGCCTCCAGTACAGTTTCCAGAGGCAGCAACAGGTCCTCCCGGGATCAAGTGGAGTGTCTCTGGGATCGGTATCTCCTGACTCGAAATAATAAAATATTGGCGGCTACATGCGCTCACGGTTTCCGTGTCTTCTTTTCTTGCGCTGTCCAGGAGCCTTGTTTGGCATAAGCAACTGCCACGAGGTACAGAAAGTTGCCATGTGCTGTCTATTCGGAGCAACGCTAATTTGAGCTTCCATTTCCTGCCCGACTCATCTCTAAAACACGGAATATCAACGTTCGTTGGGACCGAGCCAGAGCAATGACGTCATTCAACCTTATTGGTGGCGACCAGTGGAGCTCGGTGGAGATTCAGGGCTCCCAAGAATAGACCATATTCCCTCAAGAATGTAAGGGCTTAATATTAGACAACGCAACTGCGCAGTCTACCATGTCGGCTAGTCCTAGCAGGCCCACTCGAACACTACTACTAATTCGAAACACAACCAGTCTGGCGAATCTGAGTGTTGAAGTCGGCATGTCAAAAGATGAGGCATACAATCCGTTGTAGCTAGGATGCTTGCCTGGCCTTTAATTAAGCATTAGTGAACGATAGTCAACTGGGGAACGATATAGTCAATGCATCGGGAGGGATACAATGAGAAGCTAGTTGGCTCAATTCTTGAGGTCGATTGATCTTGGGAAAGACGAAGAGATGGGCCGATCTACAGTACCAGATAAGACTTATTTCCGTTCAGAATGTTATGCACCCGTGCTGATATTTCCACAATGCCAATAAAGTGCGGTCTAAAGAGTGTGTAAGGGTAAGGTATGCGAGTTCATTCAGCTGGCATTTCATTGGATACAGTAGTTTTCGAAATCAGTTATACCTCCACACTCTTACGACTTCAATCCCGGAAAATAAACCCGCTATATGTGAGCTCTGATTGGATCAGGTATTTCAGGCTTCATTTCAGACCGCTTTCTAGAATGGTCGCGGTATTTTATAATACAATGATAATACCGCGGGGGTGTATTTTACACGAAACTTTCATACACACGCTACCTCTCCGGCCCCTCCTTTCCCCGTCCATCAGTCAACAACTTCCCGACACATCACAATTACAAGTCTTCCCAGTTTTAGCACGGATTGACTTCAAAGCGATATGGCTCCAAGACTCTCCCCTGCGAAGCTCGTTCTCATACGTGATATGATAGAGAGCCAGTCCTTCACCACATCTGAAATGGCCGAACAGGCTGAATGCAACAAGCTAACCATCATCAATATCCGCAGAAACTTACGACAATTTGGAAGCATTTACGCCCCTCAAACCCGAGTAGGTCGGAAACGAACTGTGACACCCCAGATGATTGAAGCCTTCTGTGATCATCTATTTGAGAAACCTGGCTTGTACCTTGATGAGATAGCTGTATTCCTTTGGGATGAGTTTCAGACCATGGTTACAACCTCCAGCATTCGGAGAGCCCTTGTCGCTAAAGGTTGGTCGAAAAAAACTGCACGGCAACATGCGAGAGGACAAAATGCTGATTTACGAGATTATTATCTGCATAATCTGTCCGACTTCAAATCGTACCACCTCGTATATATCGATGAATCTGGATGTGACAAACGCGTTAGGTTCAGACGGACAGGTTGGGCACTACTTAGCAAGGCCCCTTTGCAAGTAACGCAATTCCACCGTGACCAGAGATACCAGATATTGCCAGCGTATGCACAGGATAGGATTGTTCTCTCGCGTGTCTTCCGCGGTGCTACGGATGCAACCGTATTCGAAGACTTTATAGCCCAGTTACTTCACCACTGCGGGAGATAGCCAGAACCTAAATCTGTCCTCGTTATGGATAACGCGTCCTTTCACCGGTCGGAGCGACTTGTAAAAATGTGTGAAGACGCAGGGGTGAAGCTAATCTATTTGCCACCGTACTCGCCAGACCTAAACCCAATCGAAGAGTTTTTTGCTAAACTTAAGGGATTCATCCGGCGTAACTGGAATTACTACGAAAAGGACCCCGAGAGAAGATTTGCTACCTTCCTTGAATGGTGTATCAGTGTGGTAGGGGCAAAGGAAGAGAGTGCTAAAGGCCATTTTCGACATACAGGGTTAAAGATCGAACAAGTCTCAGGAAGTTGTTAGGCCCGAGCTAGGATCAAGTTTCACGAACAGTCAGCCTAGCCTACTCATTGAACCACGGGTCATCAAGGATCTGCCTCGCTGATGCTCTTGCCGACGGTTCAAAACACAACAATCTTCCAATGATTTCTCCCAGCCTCGTTATATCCTCTCTTGTGAGATCAGGGGTCCGGCGTCCATCAAAATACACTTCTTCCAGCCATTCGTGCAGGTTGGGCCCGGAGCTTTCCGCGGTCACGTCCCCTTTATCCATGGTATCCCATATCTTTTGCCATCTTTTAGGTAGATCGTCACTCGCCATCTCTTGCATTTGACTGATAAGAATTGGGGTCGTTATTAGAAAGGTGTCAAAAGGTGGCTGGCCCGTGAAAAGTTCAAAGAGCTGTCATAGTTCTCAATTCAGTCATATATAGCGTTGGGACTTCAGTCACTTCACGTACCATGCAGCCCATACTCCACAAGTCAACGTGATAATCAATTGGATCCTGGAATAGAACTTCGGGTGCCCGAACTGGTAAAGGTGTGTGCAGCGTGTGAGGAGCGGCATTACATAAAAATGATTCTCCGAAGTCAATTATTTTGATCGACTGAGTCGAGTTCCAAGAACGTGTTCGATATGAGGTAGGCTTCACGATATACTTCGGCACGCCGAGCTCGAGGTCTTTCCCATCGTGCCTCTGGACACGGCCTATTTCAGGTTTTCCTAAAATCTCAAAGAAAACGTCTTCGGTTACCTTATCCATGCAACGCATGGTAAAGGCCAAATTGCGGGTGTGCAAATCTACTTTAGGTGAGAATTGTACGGATTTTCCCCAAGTGAGTGAGTTACAGTACCTCCATGTCCAATATTTCGTTGGTGTAAATCATTAAGCGCGGCAAGACTTTGCTTGGCAATGATTTTGGCAAGCCCTCCAGGGAGTCTCCCACCGGTAAAATGGGCATCAATCACGTCCGGAATGTTTGGCCCCAAAAGCTCATAAACGAGGCATTTGTGAAATCCATTTGGGCCCGTTAGGTCGAAATCATCGAGCAACTGCACCACATGCGTCGGACTAGGGTGATAAGATGCCAATTCCCTCATGGTTTGGAGTTCTCGCGTCTCCCTATCATGGTCCTGTTCTGCAACGGAAATCTTCACAGCGACGTAAGTCTCTGTCCTGCAAGCGTATATTTTGATTAGCTGGGACTACCATCCGTTACACTTTGTATGTATTACCTGTGATCTCTCGCCGCCCAAACTGTCGAGTAACCACCCCATCCTAATTTATGCAACACCTTATACCTTCCAGCTTTAAGGCATTCTCCTAAGGTGACTGGGTGGTAACCGCCTTGTCGGTAGCGATGAAGTGGCTCCGCTTCAATGGGGCAAATATAGGTAGGCTGATCCATCGGGCTCTTGTCGGCATTGGTAGACATGAACTTCTGGAAAATGCAAGAACTTCTCAAGGGAACAATACGTCTCGGTATAAAGGAGGCGATGTTCCTCATACTGGACCGATATCGTCGGTACAAATAATATTGATATCGTCACGAGCTCAAAATAGGTGAATATGTCCCACGCGCCCTGGACGCGGATGACGTGGCAAGAATAGCCAATCACATGATCTGAAAAGCAGTCTCAAGAGTTTCAAGCGGCAATTGATTGGTCAGCATCGCACCTCCAAAACATGTCATCAAGGACGTGTCAGTATGAGACGGGCGTCTATGCACTCTTAAAGAAGCTATCCTGGCTATTAGAGCACCATGCCAGAGCCTAGGAAAAGCGCAAATATGGCGGCGCTAACCAGACCTATGCATGCGATGGAAGAATATATATAATGATCCCTTCTGCTCTTGGGTGGTGCTACTACGAAGATTCCAGACACACTGATTTAATCCACACAGAACCTTTATGAAGCTCAGAGGCCACCATGTCCCCCATTCCTCGACATGCTGTTAAATTCACCCAGAGAATCCGCAACTCTGTTCTACGTAATCGTACCCTGACCCTCATTGAAACCGCTACGGAGAAGCCCGACCTAGCGCATTTCACCATCGCCACCCTCAAGTAAGCAAAATGTCAATACATACTATGAGGTCATTACTTCCAAAAACTTACCATTGCAGAAACCCGTCGCACACGAGTCATACCGACCTCAAAGCGCACGCTACAGCATTATTGGCAACCGATGAACAATACAAGAACAAGAAAGTACAGCCGGTTCATATCTATCATGATGAAGAGGGACGCTATACTGGCCATGTTCTGTATGCCGAAAGAGATATGAAACCGTCGGATGAATAAGCTACAGCCCGTGCTACGATGACGTTTCGAACGCCATTGCCCATACAGTCATTCTCGAAATCGCCTTGACCAACATACACTGAGAAACTCTTTGCTGGCCCCACCGCCAAGGCATTAGCGCAGACCATTTATTTCTGTTAAAACTTTGTCCGGGTGCTATTATCAAAGACATTTTCTCTATTCCTTTCCTGTTTGCCTCTTAGAGAAATCGAAAGGGTTGCAGGCTCAAGTACATTTGAAAAGGGCTCTGGCCGGATAGTCCGGCTCTTGTGACTAGAAGTAACAGCATCTCATCCAAAGAACGATGTCACACGACCTGTAACCTGGGTTTAGGCCATTAAATGTTGTAGATTTGCAACTCGCCCATCAGCACTGGCTCCCCGAACACATGATAGCCTTATCTGAGAAGAGACCAGAAACCCTAGAGATGATCACCATCGGCAACGTCCTCAACCCCATCAGCATGTTGAATTTCGTTGAGTGCTTGATCAATTTGGCTCTGGGACAAACGTGGTGGGTTTGCTTCTTCCCATGAGAGCAATTCTTGGAAGTCTCTCTCTGCGGTTTCCCGGATATATCTTGCCTCCATATCCTCAGATGTCGCGCGAAGTAAAAACCGAGGTCCTCCCAAAGCTAGGGCCATAACCTCAGGTAGATTGCGTGGCCCTGCACCCGGGACCCAAGATTGCAGATCTTCCAAGCTCTGCACTTTTCCACTCTCAGCACCAGGTGAATATTTGATCTTCACTTCACTCCACAGCTGTGCGATCTTTTCTGTGCTACGCTCTATTCCTGCTGTGAGCCTCGCAACAAATCCAGACCTTGGCCGTTGAAGAAGACCCAAGAGGAGCAAGATCTTGAAAGCATCTTCCTTCAATTCTTTTAGACAGTTTAGACTTTCGTGAAGTCTCTTCTTGTTGCAGGGCCACAATAATTTTCGATAGCAGGAGATTCTAAGGACTCCGTCAATCGCAGTGTCCATTGGCATATGGCATGCAGTGAGGAGCGTCCTCCAGAGGGCTTTCAAATGCATATCACATTGCTTGAAAAACATGAGGATAAACGTGTGAACTTTACTTGAAGAGCCGGACGTTTGATTTGCCCGAAGCTCATTCAAAGCCGCACTATTGGTATTAGTATTTTTGATATTAGGATTTTGTGGATTATGACACATGTAACACTTACAAATATAGGCAGATAATCCGTACCTGTTCCTGTATCTTTGCTGCTTCATCTGATGCCCCGTAGACTTCTGTGCCATAATGCAGAGCGTGTTTAGATACTTGCAGTCCGAGGTTGACAATAGCGATGGCCGCCGCTGCTTCACCAACTCCTGACATGGCGATCGATCCGAAACCTGAAAAAAAGAAAGCAAGGAGTAAGATAAACAGAAAAGGGATTCACGAGCCGATATGTAATATCCTTCTCGTGACAAGCTTTTGTAGTTGATTAAGAAAATCTGCACTCGTTGGTTGGGGTGCTCCAATTATATAACAAGGGTGGGTGGAATGTTTCGCGTGGTTAAAGCTTAGACTTAAGGTTTGTTCCATGGCAGGTTGTGTCACAAACGATGCTCTGAGGGTGATGGAAGTTCTAGATTCTGCAAAGAGTGTAACCTAGGACCTAGCTTCCGAAAAGCCTTAGGCTGTTTGCAGTACTATACTAATAAGCGACAAATAGAGACTCAAAGATTCTAGTAGGATGCGGCCCGTCATCCGAACTCTCAGACGTCACAGATCATATTTTGACAAAGTTTTGACGACATGTAACCTGTGAAGACAGATTCGATGACGTAATTCCTAATGTACGACTGCTCTAAAAAGTCTCTGTATGATCCACCGACATGGGCGCTCGTCTCACCTGGAACACTCAAACGAGCTCCCCTGGAAGCTGTCTTTTCGTACGACTCCGGGCGCAACGTGTAAAAGTGCTAGAAGGGGAGTCCCAGGCACAATTTGGCGATGGAGTTACATCAGGTTAACCAGGAGGCTTTACTCGGTGGACCCTCGTTATATGTTCGACCTTCCTCCTAATCACCGAACTGGAGTAACGGAAGACTATATTTTGCGAAGCAGTTTGTTGAAAGGCGTAATCGACTAGGGGTATAGGATCGACGTTGGCGCAGCTTCTGTCAGACGGAGAGGCGGGTGACCAACGAAAGTTGCCAGGTGTTGGTACATATTCTGATGCATTGTCCCACGGGTCAAGCGCCATACTTTGTTGAACGCCATAGTCATCATAGCTAACGAGTGAGCTGGGCCTCATTTTCCTGGCCTACGGTAACGACAGACTAGGAGTGAGTGATTGTTAGTGAGGCCTACGCCATCACCGGCTGTTGGGGTAGTTGTTCGCCTGCAAATAACTGACAACTGGCCAGGGCGGTCACTTGCCGATAGTATCGCTCGTGAGGTTCTCTGAGCCAAGGAGACACCCTCACAAGTGAGGACAGGCACACGCTGTACAGGAGGAAGGAGGAGGGATGTCTTCCCCGGGAGATCATTCGGTTGCGTGGCGCCAGGTGGCCTCTCCGCACATGATTTGCACTGACCCACCATAGGTTTCCATGGAATTCCATGAGCTTCTTTTCAAACGCATAGTGTAATCTTACGTTGCATGATATTGTAACATACACGGCCAAGTTTACTGCGCTCCTCAATTTAATGCCACTCGCTCAATAAATGATCTGCGCTAATGCCTTGGCGGTGGGGCCAGCAAAGAGTTTCTCAGTGTATGTTGGTCAAGGCGATTTCGAGAATGACTGTATCATGTTCAGAATGCAATGATGATCTTTGTTGGCTGGGGCTGATCCCTGTCTTTTTGTCATACGAACGTTTTCTTTTGGTCATAGCCTTATAGTGCGTGGAGGCATGGCCACTTATTCATCCTTTCAGCTTTCTCTGAATACTTTTTGCCCAATGCTATCAATGAACGTCGGACACTGTTAAGAGAATTCGGAATCTAATAGTTTGAGGATCGGTTATCACAAATCGTTGGATACACCTATTGCTCTCGAACGGTTGACCATGGTGAATGATTTTGCTGCAAATGTCTCAACTTGTTATCATCATATGGCACCTCTAGCTTGTGTTGTCCAGGGACTGCGGGCATGGAGAGGCAGGCGTTTGGGAAGATTTAGCACCACGTCGAGTACATGAATACGAAGACTGATACACTAATTTCTGCTATATAAACAATCTGACAATCTGGAGCTACTCTGTCCAATAATCGATTTTGGAAGCCCGAACGCCGTGATGCTTCAATGACCATCTGTCTGTCTAAAGAATCTCATAAATAGGCACCGCTTTCTTCACCTCCTTGACCCACTTTGCGATATTCTCTACAAATCGACGTGCGATGCCTATTTTTATTCCTCTCTCGATGAAAAAATTTGGGTCTTGGTCCTTGTACACTTGCTCGAGATCAAGGCCGTTCTCGAGCATCACCTCACACGTTTGTCGGAATGCGGCTTTGAGGGTATCCCTTTCGACAGTCGACACTAGCCATTCAGTATACTCCTCGACGGCTATGTCTGTGGCACCCGGGATCTCAAGGGGGCTCAGAGCCGTCAAGTCAACCGCCGCTTTAGAAGTAGAAACATCTATCCCATGGATGGTAGACTGTGAGGGCAGGACATTAATATTAATGGGAGGATATGGTGCTCTAGACCCATCGACGTGGCCTCCTTTGCGCTTGCCTTTGCTGAGCCTCTCTTGCTCCTCCCTGTATAATTCGTCGCGTACGGCTTCGGGCACATCTTTATGACCTTCCAGAACCCCTCCCTTCTTAACGTGGGCGATAAGACGTTTTATATGATAGGATTTGAGTGGATAGTGTTTTTTCCCTATTGGGTCCACCTAACAATGAGGGCCATGCTAACATGTCGACGAGTCGCATCGCATTAAATTATAGACGCTACGCCAGATTGGCTTCTCGCCAGAAGTATTTTCCTCTGTATTAAGTTGTGCATCTCGTTCGTTGAGCATCCGTTTTGTAACAGATGACTTTCCTCTTTTCTCTCCTTTCCTACTAGAGGTTGGGGAAGAGTGACGATCGTCTATGTAGTTGAAACTGATCTTTAGTGTGAGCTCCTTACCCTGGAACAAAACATCAGACCACATCACAAGCTGTTTCTCGATAGCGGTCCAAATGATGTCGGTATCGTCAAATCGTTTCGTCAGTTTGCGTTTGGTACGATCACTTGTTAACACGGTGATGATAGTATTATCAGCTGTCACCCGACGGTGGCGGCTAGTCTTCCGTCGAAGAACTTTCTCGAGCTTTTTCTCTAGGGATAATTGCCAGAAGGAGCTTGGGGCCAACGTAAGGTCTTCTTCCGTGTCCTGCGACACCTCCCGATTGTTGATTGTTACTCGCCACTCTATTCGGTAGTGGATACAGGTTGGCGGGTCCTCCTGGTAGGCTCTTCCTTCTTCCCATTCAGATAGCTGAATGAATCTGAGAGAATTGGGGCTAGGTCTAATTGTTCGCTCGATTCTAGTCTGAAGTACGCTAGACGGAGAGGGACTTGAGATAGATCGCGTGGCGTACGGGCTGCCGAAGTACCCGGGTGTTGGAACGTATTCCCATGGTTGAGGCTCGGGAGAGTGAAGTGTGTCGTCGACATGAAACGGGCTCTGTGTCATCTCTAACAAGTAACGTAATCCACCACCGAGCGGGTCACACCATCGAGCGGGTCACCCTATCCAAAATCGCGTTTTCCTACCAACCTACCTAATTCAACCACCTACTATGCCACCAATTCGCACTGAATCTTCGCAGAAATCGGCTAATCAGGAGGGCAGGATCCTCTTAGCCCTCTCTGATATTAAAGATAGCCGAATTGCATCTATTCGCGCAGTAGCAAAGCTATATGATATACCCTTCTCTACACTGCAAGCGCGTGCTAATGGCCGAATCTCACGCGATGACACACGCGCAAACGGCCATAAATTGACTCAATACGAAGAGGATTCGCTTACTGAATGGATTCTCTCTATGGATTCGCGTGGAGCAGCGCCTAGGCCCTCTACTGTACGAGAGATGGCTAATATCCTTCTTGCAGCGCGTGGAACCAACCCCCTATTAGCCGTTGGCGTTAATTGGGCATCAAAATTCGTTAAACGGCGTAATGAGCTTCAATCACGCTATTCTAAGCGATATGATTATTAGCGCGCTCTTAACGAGGATCCAAAGGCTATAAAAGAGTGGTTTTTGATGGTGTAACGTGCAATTAAGGAGAATGGGATTTAACTGGAGGATATCTATAACTTTGATGAGATAGGCTTTGCGATGGGCCTTATATTATCGCAGAAGGTGGTTACACGAGCAGAATACTACGGTCGGCGATCGATCCTATAGCCTGGTAATCGCGAATGGGTTACTACGATTGAAGCGATATGCGCTGACGGCTATTCGCTACCGCCCTGTATTATATTCAAAGGCTAGGTTTATATCGCTGGTTGGTTTGAATCAAACCTCCCTAGGGATTGGCGAATCGAAGTATCGAATAATGGCTGGACTACCGATGAAATCGGCCTTCGCTGGCTTCAAAAGATCTTTATTCTATGCACTACTTCGCGTGCACGAGGGCGATTCCGGCTATTAATCCTTGACGGGCATAGTAGCTATCTTACACCTTAATTCGATCGAATCTGTGCCGAAAACGATATTATACTACTTTTTATGCCTCTATATTCGTCTTACTTACTGCAGCCGCTTGATGTTGGGTGCTTTGCAGTGCTAAAGCGTGCGTACGGTCGCTTCGTGAGCGACTTAGCCCGAGCGGGCTATAATCATATCGACAAGCTTGATTTCCTTGCAGATTATCCTCGCGCACGGCTAGAAGCTTTCTAGCCGAATATCGTCCAAAGCAGCTTCGTAGCTACCGGTATCGTACTAGTTGATGCCGATAGGGTGCTTTCTAAGCTTAATATTTCTCTCCGAACGCCTACACTACTAAGTAGCCGGCTAAGCAGCAGATCTAGCTAATTTATACCAAAGACGCCTAAAATAGCGATTCAGCTAGAAAACCAAGCTTCTATGCTTAAAGATCTTCTGAAATAGCGATCGCATAGCCCGCCTACACCGTCAAAACTTATACTTGATCAAATTATCAAAGGGTATACGACGACGATGCATAACGCCGCGCTACTTGCGAAGGAGAACGCCGATCTACGCGCAGTAAATGAAAAGAAACGTCAAAAGCGTACTCGATCGACTAGGCAGATTGCACACGAAGGAGGCCTAACAATCGAAGAGGGCCTACAGCTAGTCCAGCAGCCAATTCAGCTAGTAGAAGCTGATGAGGTGGTATCGCATGAAGGGCCCGATTTGCCTAATCAGCCAATTCAACCGGCTAGGAGGGCTCCGCCTACCTGCAGTGGATGTGGTCAAGTTGGCTATAGGATTACTTTATGTAAAAATCGCATTATCTAGTTGAATTAATGGGTGTTAGTTGATATAATCGAATTTGAAGTTTTGTAATGGGGGTAGGTGACCCGCTCGATGGTGTGACCCGCTCGGTGGTGGATTACGTTACTATTATTGTTTTGCCAAACTTTCAGAGCGGTAAGCCAAAGAAAGTTAGCGTATTTCGGATTTATTTTCCGAGAGTGAAGTCGTAAGAGTGCGGAGGTATAACTGATTTCGAAAACTACTGTACGTGGGTATTGCCTGTGTTGGTTAGCCGTAGGCCGTTCTGGCTCCTGCCCTGGATGTCTTTGCCTTGGGTCCCCTGGGGTACGCCCAAGTATACCGAAACGCACGTGACAACGCTAATCCCTTAGCGTCCATAGAATGATGGGCTCACGGCCGCTACTCAAATAGCTGCGGCCCCCGCGCTTCTTTGAGGTCCGTAACAGAGGGCTACTCATTTTAACAGAATTTCAGACTGCCAGCTACATTATCATGTCTGCCTATCTCACGATCATACACAATTAACAGTCAATCCAAATGGTGGCTATTATGCTGCACGACACGCGATGTCGCCCGGATAAGAAGACGACAAAGGCCTAGTGCAAGTCTCTGAGTTGGGAGGTAAAAAGAAACTCAAAAATATCAATTCAAGTCCAACCCAACAATGCTAATTCGATTCCAACTTCATCTTCGGCTCGAATTTCTGTCTTTTCAGTTATCCACGAACTGTCTTCCAAATAATCATCCATTATCACAAGGGTATACTCGTCGAGGAAGACACGGCCGCAACGGTAGTTGTCTAGATCAAGCTCCCCTTCCAATTCCGGGGCGGATGTTCCATCAAGCAAGCGGCCATCAGCGTAGTAATGTACCAGCCAACCGCAGTCTTGGAGAGCTTGAAGCTCTTCAATTTGCCATGATTCTTTTAGAGGACCACAGACGATGGTTTCATGCGCGCTTGAGGTGGAGCTGAACGGGACGTAGATGGCTTTGAAGGTAATTAAACATATCTCATGTGTCGCGAAAAAGTGAAGCATGTATTTCTCAGCGAGTGTCCCGAATCGAACCCACTCGCCATCCCTGTATTCCTCAGCGACTCTCTTGACTCGAACCCTCTTTCTATCGTGGCACCTCTGATAGGATGAACCAAAGGGCCCCTAGAAAGTGAGCGTTAGCTAAGCAATCACACCGAAGGAGACCCGTCCATTACCTCGTCTATGCTGTAAGAGGCGTTTGTTAACAGTTCGTGCCAGAGAAAGCCGAATACGGGGTTTGCGATATATATGGTTGCTCTTTTGCATAGTACAGGTTCCACGGCTATCATAGCCTCAGTTCTTTTAATCAAGACGTTTGCATCAGTCACATCTCCGAAAAAGATCTGAAGTAAATGATGTCGATCAATAGCCGGTGTCATTTTCTCCGGTTTAAGAGCTTTGAATGGATAAAGTTGGATTTTATATATTGAGCACAATATGGACCCCGCTCGTTTAGTAAAGTGTCTGGATTATTTTGAAGAGATGATGAGGGAGTGGCTACCCTTATAGTGTACCAACATCTACCGGGAAAAGCCGCAGCTGAATGCATTCTCTATAGGATCTTATGGTTCCCCGTAAGTCCTTTAGGGACAGTTAAACAACTTATGCCAGGAGTGAATTGAAAGTCACCTATGGTGCAAGATGATGTCGATGACAGAAGCAACGACTTGAATGAAGAAAAAAGGTCCACCTTGCAATTTGGTGCACGGCAAATGCAAGCTGGGCCAAGTTGATTCACAACAAAATGAAGAGTAACTTGGTGATGGTTTTCACCGGACCTCTAATCTCTCCGGTGAGCCCCAATCTACAACAAGCATCAACGGGCATTCATTAAGTTCTCAAAGAGGAAAAGAATAAAGTAAAAAGGTAATTGGAGCACAGATTGAAGGCTCGAAATGTGACTTTGTTCTGAGAGCATGAGAAGTATTACATGACTTGATGAAGAGGTCAGGGGACTGACGATACTCTTGAATTATTGGCTACCCACGTCGTCTGACCAGATTGCAGATCAGCGAGAGAAGAGGAATACTCAACGGTGAAACCGAGTTTAAGTGGGTCGAGTGGGCCCCACGGTCCGACATTCCCAGGAAGCACCCGTTAAAGCTCCCTTTACAATAGTAAACCATCACCGTGCACTTGTAAGAAGATGAATTACCTGCAAATTTAGGAGAGTTGTATTTGTTGAATTGTGATGAGAACTCCCGTTTAGTGTTGATTCTCAAATTGCAGAGCAGTCTATCGGGTCATGGAGCGTTTCCAAGAGGGGCCGGTGAAAAGAGAGGGTGGTGGAAAGACGGGGTTGTGAACAGTGAACAATAAACAGAGGCTATAGCTCCAGCTAGGAGAGCGGTGGGCCAAAATGTGGGTCAGGCGGGACGGTTAAGCAACGGTGAAGTGTCATCAGTTATCGTCAAAACTTCATTTATGAGTTACCTGTTCTACACCACAGAGCTCATCGATAATAGCTCCGTCGCAGACGATGTTGCAGATCAAAAATTGCAGAAGCTGAACATTTACTAGTGGATGTTAGCGCCTCGTAAAAACCCACGACACCAGGTTTCGACTTACCAGACTTATGTGACCGCGGAGATAATCTGTAAGTATCTAGGAAAGAAAGCCACAAATTTGAAAATGGCTCAGATGAACTCTCTCTTCCATGTATCACCTGTATTCAACCAGAAAGCACATGGTCGCAGACTGCGTCAGGCAGCAGCCAAAGCATTCCCTGATAGTAATCTGAAAACGGATCCTGAGGAGATGGTGCACATCCTCCGGGCCCATGTGCTATAAATCCTTCATTGGGTGACGAGTTGAGCGCTTCCAAGGTTCGGAGGTCTCGGAATAGTTCCATTAAACGAAGCTTTTGAGGATTCCTGGGTTCTAATTTTAATCATTTGGTCGCACCCGTTACTTATATGAAATGAGAATAGTGAGGACGATGCGTCATTTGCTTATTCAATCCTTTGCACTCCTGTTGGTCCACGGAGCAGCTCGAAAATATCCCAGAGAACCCAGAAATCGAAAGAGATTGTGATGAATAACGTGCAGCAGCAGGGCTTGAATATCCCACTTAAGCCAACCAGGTACCATGGATGCTCTTGGCTGGCCTATAGTTCTAAATAGGATACGGCTCAAGAA